CTGTTACTGCTGCTGCTGTTACTGCTGCTGCTGTTACTGCTGCTGCTGCTCCTGCTGCTGCTCCACCTGCTGATGTTGCTTCTGCTGCTGCTCCTGCTGCTGTTACTGCTTCTGCTGCTGCTGCTCAGCCTGCTTCTGCTGCTTCTGCTGCTGCTTCTGCTGCTGCTCCTGCTTCTGCTGCTGCTACTTCTGCTGTTGCTGCTCGTGCTGCTGCTGCACGGGTTTGGCTGCGAGGTCTCTCATTGGGGAGTCGTTCTCCTCACTGAGACATTTCCATTCCTCGCCTTGCTGCCAGTGACGTGTCTGGTTTGATGGGGGCGTGCGCGCTGCTATCGTTTTGAGTGCCCACCCTCTTTCTAAGATTCATCTCCTTCCCTTGACTGGTTGGCTACCACCACCACGGACCCTTGCCCAATGGCAAACGCTCCACTGTTATCTATAACTGGTCGTATCGGTTCTAGTTTTTAACGTGAACTACGAATCGTTGCGCGAAAACGTAAACACGCCACGTCAGTGCATTTGGTGATGTTTTGGCTTTGATTACCAAATGTAGCAATCTTGTTTACCGTAACGCAAATGTTTTAAATTTTTTATGACCAGAAAGTTCTACAGGGACTCCTCTCCTGATGAATATTCGACTTACGAACATTCAGAGATACGAACAAACCTGTCTGTACGTCCAGTTTGCCTGTTCGGACCGGGAGTCGTAAGTTAAACCGCCGCGCAATAGATGGCATTGGTGGCAGCTACATCTGCAGAACATGAAAAACCAGTGGCATCTATATTTATAGGAGATTATACAACTTTTAAAGCCATTCTCCATATTTAGTGGACATGTCGTACAAAATGTTCTGAACCGACATAGGCCGCTGTCGGTAGCCTAAGAGGCCTAGAAATAGGGTTTCGTTCCACCAAGTGGGGCACTACCTACTTTTTTAAATATTTAACATCAGAAATATATAGAGATTCCTTAGGAAAAAGTTATCCGCACACAACCTTGCAGTTTTTGAGAAAAATGATGCTAAAGGTGCCCATTTTGAAAAAAGGGAAACCATAGGGAATGTTGCACTTTTAAACCTGTTTATCATATAAACCCAAAAATGCAGAATTACCACTTGAAATACAAAATTAACCAGTTTGAAATGTGTGATATACCTGAAGTTGCTATCTATGCACAGTAAACATGATAAGATTATCAAGAAAACTTCTGCTGTAGCATTAACATCCCAATTACTTCTCATTATGTTGTTCCAATTGAAAGGTAATATTTGAGGTAAAATCTGAATAACAAATAGAATTAAGCCAAAATATAATATATAAAAAAGCACTTTTCAAAATAACACATTTAATGGTGAATTGTCAATTCGCATACATGAGCAGCAACTGCACTACATGTACATATTCACAGCAATGATTATTGTAAACAAGATTGAATTTTGATTGATTTATATTAAATATATATGTCCTATATTAATTTTATTATCATATACACATCACTAAATCTCAAGATCACTGTCCTCACTATCAGATTCACATGAAACAATATCCTCAGTTAATCTCACATTGTCACAATGAACACATTTACATAGGTCAGTGCAGGCCAGGTCAGCCTTGTGGCATGAGCACCTTCCACCTGTACAAGTACGAGACTTACACCCACAGTGGAGTGACCCCAAAATCTGTTGAGAAGCTGGATCTTTAGTCCTCCATGATATGATGAGATCACCATCCTTGACAATCCATCCAAAGCCGTCTGGACTGGGAGCATTTATAAAAGGATCCAATGCTCTCCTGTGGATTGCAGCTAGGTAGTTAGCACGCTTGAAGTGCTCTGTAAGTGCATCTTTTGTTGGAGGTAATGCCTGTTCGGAAGAGGCCTGGACACAGAACCTATTGTATCTGGCCAAATTAACATCTGATACCTTTTCTCCATACAACTCACACACAAAACGTTCTATGGTCACAAATGTGGTGCTGTCCATTTCAAATTGCCTCCCAAGAGCAACAAATACACGGATGTACTCTGCATTTCCAGACACTATATTTAGTGGTTTCTCTTTTCCTTTCCCATAAAAGGAACTAGTTGAGTCTCAGCCAGTGAATGTGTGTAGTCCTATCAGTGCCTCTGTTAGTGAAGGACCCAAAGCAGAACCAATAGCCTGGAGATCTAACATTCTTTGCCTGTCTTTTGTTCCTGTCAGAAAGTACATCTTTGCTGAGGGAAGCTTAGCCATTATTGAAAGTGAAATGATAGCAACATCAGTGTCAGGACTCTGGATGATTATCTTATTATAAAGTTCACTCCAGGCATGTTTTGCATGAAGTAGGAGCCTCGTGTCCGCTTCTTCATGGTCACAAGTCAAAGATTCTACCTCTTTGACAGACATAATGCCATCTTTAAGAGTGAGTTGATGACATACATTTCTGTGTGCCACAAAGATAGCTATGTCTGTTCCAGCTGCTTGTAAAGGTACAGTTCTCCATGTCTCAAAGAAAAAGTCCGTCAAGGCTTTTTCATTTTCACCACTGGCTAGAAACTTGGTCCACTGACTTGGAGTCTTCTGCTTGATGCTGTATATTTGCAGTAATTGTTGTCCAGCAACAGCACGTCTTGATCGTTCAGCATTTTTGATGCTCACTGCTGAGTAGCGATCAATGACAAAATCGACCCTTGGACAACTTTCTACCCATCTTAATCATAAGTTGAAGAAGATCATCAGCAAGCTCACCCAATGTGTCTGGTATATTCTTGAGACTCCTGATCAATGCCATGCCATCTATCAGTAGGGCACCATTATCACCAACAGTCTTGTTCACATGACAGTCCTTGTTCTTTGATTCTAAACAAGCTAGAAAAGCAGCCTTATTTGTTTTGGCTAATGAACCATCAGTGCTTGCTAGCGGGGATGAGATATTGGCAAGTGAATATGTCAGAATCTCTTTCAAGTTTACAGACAGGGATTGACTTATCACTAACAGTCGTGCAAAGAGTCTCCTGTCATTTTTTAGAATGACTTGATTTCCATCTTTTGTCTTGGATGATTTCTTCATTTGATCCCCAAACGCAGTGAGCTTCAATGACTTTATTGGAGAGAAGAAGTCTGTTTTTGATGACTGGACTCGATCTTGGATGAAAATTTTCAGAGCTGTTTCACCTTTATCACAAGCACGTTGTATGTCATCTCTGACAGTCTTTGTAGCAACAACACCAGAGCTAACACATACAAGATCTTCACGAGGCAGCAAGGGATTGATCATAGACTCAACCGCTGAAACCAAAGATATAACAGCAGCATTGTCTTTTGCAATTCTTGTTGCATCCAACTCTTTATGACCCCTCTCTTCATGTTGCATTCCAGCCATCATTTCACACTGCCTTGTGATTGCAGAACGTTCAGGATGAGACAGTATCCATCGCTGGATGGCACCTCTGTTCAATGTTATCCCAGTTATGCCGCCTTTGGTCTTTGAATCACGGTTGCAGGTTTGTTCTATTGCTTGGTCACAAGCTATGGATGAGAACCTGTTAGCATCCTTACGCTGTACTGTCCAGTTTCCTTTTGCAGTAACTTCTTCATAGCAGTGTGGATGAGTCTTTGGAAGATTGATCATCTCGACCCAATATGCTGATAGGTACCTTGCATAATTTTGGCGGTCATATGCAAAATACCATGCCAGCATACGTCTCACTGTTGCTAAGTGAAGGCTCCAGTCAGAGCATTAGATAGGACATGTATATTTAAAGCCCTACCTTCTATAGAGAAATAATTTGATTATGGAATTACATTGCATTCACACGCAATATGTAAATGTAATTGGAGTGACCCCACAGATTTGTGAACAAACATTTTTTTTTACCTACCTATATGTTTTTCAGTTTTGCTGAGAAATCTTGTGTAATCTCGATAGCAGGATTTGTGGTATCGGACCTCGATTGCAATGCAGTCTTTCCCACGAATGTGTGTCAGAATGCTCTCATCTGATTTCATTTGAGCTGCCTCACGAAGAAGTCCTATATTAAAGATATGAAGAATAAATTATAAACCCAGTTGGCAATATATTAACTTGCATAACATTCAATTCAAGTGAGTAAACATACCTGTGTTAATCGAGTTTGATCGTCGCTATCAGATGAAGCTGCGCTGCTTAAGTCCTCCATGTTTACATGTGCGTAGTGATATTGGCTTGATTTTGGCTCTGACCTACTTACATTTTCGATGCTGATTGGTTGAAAATCTAGCTCAACAGTTTTATATGTCTCAATACGCAGTCAATATAGTGCGCCAATAAATTACACTTTTCTCATTAACTGCAGGATAATGCGTGGAGAACTTTTTGCTTGGATACCTTTTATTAACGTTGAACATATTGAGCAAAATAAAAAGTAGTGCCCCGTTTGTCGGAACGAAACTGAACGATACAGCTCACGTACAGCGGCCTAACAGGAGTAAGTTGGACTTACGAACAGATCAACTTACAAACTGACTCTAGATTTGAAGCTTTCGTGACTGCAAGGATTCATACTCTTTATTTTTTGCAGTAAAGTCACGTAGGTAAAAAATAAAATAAATGAAAACTAAATTTAATGACGACGTTTCGGGCGCAACACAAGCGTCCGTCATCAGGTGGGAAAGCATGGCCTGCTGCTGATGCAGAACCCAGAGTTTAACTTACGACTCTCGGTCCGAACAGGCAAACTCGACGTACAGACAGGTTTGTTCGTATCTCTGAATGTGCGTAAGTCGAATTTTCATCAGTAGAGGAGTCCCTGTAGAACTTTCTGGTCATAAAAATGTAAAACATTTGCGTTACGGTAAACAAGATTGCTAAATTTGGTAATCAAAGCCAAAACATCAGCTGATGCTCTTGGTTCTGACTCGTTCGTAAGTAGAGGAGTCCCTGTATTTCCAAAATCGCCCGCGTTAACGGGTGCCTGCTCACTAGCACAACGAGTAAAGGTCAAGTCGCTAAACGTGACCCCTCTCTCGCTCCCCAGGACCATGGCTGCCCAGCGCTCCTCGTGGCTCGTGACCGCCGCAGTGCTGCCAACGCTGCTGCTGCTGCTGCTGCTAGCCGCCCGCACGTGCGAGTCGTGCTTCAAGTGCACGGAAGCCATCGCGGTGCCCCTGAAAGCGCTGCTGAGCAGGATGCAGATCGACAGGCCCTTCGTTCGCGCGAAGACGTACAGGGGCGTGCAGAATATTATCTCCAAGCTGCTGGGAGAACAGTCCAAGCGCTTGATCTGTGAGTCCCCCTGTTTGCTTTCATTCTTTTTTTACTTTTTATATTGACCAACTAAGGACCACTGAGCTATTTAGTTATTTCTCAGAAGCAACTTGGCTATCACAAGTTATAGCTCAACAAAGTGGCTTATCACGGGGAAATTTATAGCAGCCAAATATTCTAAACGCGATGATGTTGCATTCTAAATGTGGAGGGAAAACCGGAGGATCCGGAGAAAAATCCACGCGACCACGGGGAGAGTGTCACGTTTTCTCCAAATATACAGCAGGTGTCAGGGTCGGGATTGAACCGACAACCTCCTGCATACCAGGCGAGGGAGTTAACATCTCCTAGCCACCGAGGGCAGCCTGTATCTCGGCTCGTCACATCAACTGACAGGCTCAGCGGCATGCGGTGCAAAGAGTAAATATGTTTAATCAGTTTAAAATGCGCAACTTTAAATAAATACAGACAACACATTCTACTTAATTAAATATACTTTTTAATAAATGTTTTCTCCTACAACATCAGAGTGCAGCGCCACATTAAACACGCACTACAATGACAATAGTTTAAAGCGATTTGAAGCATGTTTTATTTTAAAGATGGAAACATTTTTTTTTTTGGGGGGGGGGGCAGAGCTTTGAGACGTCATATTTGAGTGGGGGGGTCTGACTTCTTGAGACGCCGTGTGACGACGGGGGGTGGGGGGGGGGTCAAAAATCGTCCAAAATCGCGTGACGTCATTTATGGACGGCCCCGCTCGCTCTCCCCCCTCCGTCGGTCCTTCTGCTTCTCTCCTCTCGCACCGCCCTCTCGTCTCCTCCTGTTGTATTGCCCCCTCTGGACATTCGCCCCCCCCCCCCCAGGGCTTTCCATTCCCCTCTCCTCCACCGACTGTCCACCAGAGATCGTTTCGTTTGGCTCGACCGCTGACGGCCTCGTCCCTGCCCTGCTATTGGTTTAGCCATGTTTGTTTGTTGTACTACAGAGTTAGACTGATGGCCTTAATCTAAGTTGTCTTGTGGTTGTTGTTGTTGTTTGACTTGCATCCCACTGGGATTTTTGCACACAGCGTTGGTGTACGGTGCTTTTTTTCTGCAATATTTTGCTGTCTTTTCTTGGATTTTTTTTGCACTTAGTCACATATTCACTTTAAGATGTTTTTTGTTCATGTTTTTGTTTTTTGTTTGTTGCGGTTGCACCCGATTCAAGAGCCGAATGGCTCACAGGGCTATACCTAATAAATGAACTTGAACTTGAAATGAACTATTCCTGCATGCAAGATCAGGATATGTATTCGTGCTGGAGGAATCCGATGAGCTATGAAACTCTTTCTCACAGATGCACAGTCACCGTGCCCCGACTCCTGCCCTCTGCTGGCTCCACACCCCGGCCTCTTAGATGTCCCATGCGCCGACTCGCTTGGGTGATACAGTTATATATTGTGATGAGACAATTAGGGGAGGTTTCGATTTAAAGCTTTCGTGACTGCAGGGATTCATCTTCTTGGTTCTTTCTTTTTGTATTTTATTATGTTGTATTTTGATTATTTTATTATTTCCCTTCTACGTGACTTTACCGAAAGCACCAAGAAGATGAATTAGGGGAGATGTTAATTTACAAGAGAAGAGAGATGCATTCGTCAAGAGAGCTTTCAGATGATTTACATTTGTAGCGAGGTATGAAAGAACGATAGGAATTAGAGGCAGTAATTCGAGAAATATAAGACGTAGGTGAGAGGCATTCAGTATAAATACACGGAGATATAATTACGATGAATCTGTCCTCTGTCTCTTTGTATCTGGTTGTCTCATCCTGCGTACATCATGCGTCTCTGTCTCTGTGCCTGTCTCGATGTACGTACACTTGTCTGCGTGTATCCATGTGTGTCTCTCTCTCTCTATGTCTCTGTGTGTCTCTCTCTAACTGTTTCTGCTTGAGTCTCTGTGTGTGTCTGTATCGCCATGTCTTTCTGTGTCTCTATGAGCCTGTCTCTCTATAACTGTCCTTCAGTGAGTCTCTGTGTGTGTCTATATCTCTCTCTGAGCCCATCTGTTTGTGTGTCTTTCTGTAACCGTCTCTCTGAGTCTCTGTGTCTGTCTCTGTGTGTGTCTCTGTGTCTCTCTGAGCCCGTCTCTCTCTGTCTCTCTGTAACCGTCTCTCTGTGAGTCTCTGTGTCTGTCTCTGTCTGTGTCTCTCCGTGTCTCTCTGAGCCCATCTGTTTGTGTGTCTCTCTGTAACCGTCTCTCTGTGAGCCTCTGTGTCTGTCTCTGTCGGTGTCTCTCTGTGTCTCTCTGAGCCCATATGTTTGTGTGTGTCTCTGTAACCGTCTCTCTGTGAGCCTCTGTGTCTGTCTCTGTCTGTGTCTCTCCGTGTCTCTCTGAGCCCATCTCTTTGTGTGTCTCTCTGTAACCGTCTCTCTGTGAGTCTCTGTGTTTGTCTCTGTCGGTGTCTCTCTGTGTCTCTCTGAGCCCATATGTTTGTGTGTCTCTCTATAACTGTCTCTCTGTGAGTCTCTGTGTCTGTGTCTGTCGGTGTCTCTCCGTGTCTCTCTGAGCCCATCTGTTTGTGTGTCTCTCTGTAACCGTCTCTCTGAGTCTCTGTGTCTGTCTCTGTGTGTGTCTCTGTGTCTCTCTGAGCCCGTCTCTCTCTGTCTCTCTGTAACCGTCTCTCTGTGAGTCTCTGTGTCTGTCTCTGTCTGTGTCTCTCCGTGTCTCTCTGAGCCCATCTGTTTGTGTGTCTCTCTGTAACCGTCTCTCTGTGAGCCTCTGTGTCTGTCTCTCTACTTGTTGTCTCCGATTCACTCCACTTCTGGCAGCGGGCGCGTGGTGGAGTAAGTCGTGGGTCCTTCCAACCCGTTCGAAGGCATCTGGCCAGCGGGGATGAGTAGGCCAAAATACCCTCTTTAGTGGAGGCCCTTCCGCAGTAGTCACACGAGCAAGACATCTCAGGAACGCACCTTTGCGTGACTGATTATTTTGATTTATCTCTCTCTCAACCAGCTGATGCACCCAAACCAAACAGATAGCCGTGGACGATTGTAGTTCCATCTCGCGTGTGTGCCTCTCATCCCCACGAGCCTGTGTTCACCAGAGTGCGCGCTCCTTGTCGGTGCGTCTGTGTTGTTCGCCGTCTCGTAGATTCGGGAAAAGGCTATCCGTGTTAACTGGAACGCTCTGTGTCCGTGCGTGCGTGTTGTTCACCGTCTTGTAGATTCGTACGAGCAGGTCGAGCAAACCATGGGCTCCAAGTTTGTGGAGATGAACAACAGAATTGGAGACGGTACGTGCGTTCGGACTCTAGGGGGCATGTCAGCGGGCTGACTCGCACGCTATCGGCAGAAGTCGTTTCAGCCCCTGGCCCAAGAGAACGCAAACAAAGCGACACTTTGCTCCACAGTTTTCCAGATTTTTGGAGAGAGAAAAAATCCAACACCTGAATGTGTTGTCTAACATATTTATTTAAGCTGCAATTAAGCAGCGTGATGCCAAGGTGTAATGGTTTGTACACCATATAACTTGTAGTCTAGTGGTCCCCTGTTAACTCCCTCGCCTGGTATCAAGGAGGTTGTGGGTTCGATCCTGACCCTAACGACTGTACATAATGGTCGCGAAAGCCTACGTGTATATTTGGAGTTCGCATGTCTCTCTCTCTCTCCCCGTAGTCGCATGGATTTTTCTACGGTTTTTCCCTCCATATTTAGAAACATACGTTGAGAGTATTTGGCTGCTATAAATTTCCATTTGATAAGCCACTTCGTTGAGCTATAATCTGTGGCCAGGTCGCTTCTGAAAAAAAGATATTTAGCTCAGTGGGCCTTACCTGGTAAGAAATAAATTAAAAGAAAAAAAAATCTTTCTCCGCCATGGCAGTTGAAACATTCGTGCAAGTTTATGAAATATATACCTTGCAATTTGCAATTTCATATTCATGAGCATCTAAATTCAACCAAGCTGTGTTGTTAGCCAAACGCAGCACCTGCAAAATCCACTGATCTCCTTTGCTCCAATGTCCAGCCCTCACCACTGACTCCAACCCACACCGACCAGCATGGTGAAATAACCGCCATGACTAGTACGGCATGGGGAAACCCTCATCCATCAGTGGATTGAGAAAAAAAAGTTATCTACGTGTAGCAATGCATTGGCATATGAAGACAGTGTACCGAACAGAGGGGTATGTGTGTGTGCTAGTGGGTGTATTGACCATTGGCACAGTAGGGAGTACAGCTGGTGCATCTGTAGTGCCGTAGATGGGCCACGCTTACCGGCAGTGGTAGACGAGGTCCATCTGCAAGGGTGCCCCGTACCGCCAGGGGGAGGGGGGGGCTGCAGGGGATCTACGATCCCACGCAACGCCACCCCTCGATGGGCAAAGGGGCATAAAAGGGGACCTCCCCAGCCGATCGGGACCAGTCGCAGCTCAAGACCCAAGACCAGCCAGCTTAGGACCCTGGAACCCCTCGCCCCGCTTGTCCTTGTAAAGGCCGGGACGCTGTGCAGGCCAGTGGTGGGACTCTGGGACTCCCGGCTCCACGTCCTTGTAAGGGCGAGTTCCGAGGAAGATAGAGTCGAGACCCGCACCTTGGCTGGGTCGGGTCAGCCTCCCCTAGGGTAATCGTAGCCGGAGGACCCGAGAGCATAGCCAGTGTCAGGCACGCTAGGAGTAGGCTGTGTCCCTAGGCTCTAACAGTGTATCAGGACTGTTGGAGTGTTGTATTGTAATAAAGAAGTTACATCTACAAGTGTCTCCGGAACCCATTACATATCTACCAGTCGTCTCAGTCAGCCAGCCCATGGCACCTGGGTCTGTCCCAAAACCTCCTGTCGGCGAGCCTTCGATACTTCACGTGGCCTCAATGCACCTGGTCTGGCACAGGCGCCATGGTGACGTCACTGTCACTTAGTGGCGAATGGCGGGTGTTGCTATCGGTGTTGCCCATTGTGTGGAGAGCGGTAGCGTAGCGGATAGCACAGTGCGCTACGAATCCGGCGACCAGAGTTTGATTCTTGCTCACAGCCAACACCAGTGACGACTATCTGAACTGGTCCTGGGTCTCCCCTAGGTCGACTCAGCCTCAGATGAGTCGACCTAGGGTGTGTAAACATCGCCACTGGAGAGACAAAGGTGGTCGGGCGTGGTGCTGGCCACACACCATCTGATGTGCCGTGCCGGCCTTCATAGGTGCTACTCGCTAACAGCACTTGCCCCAACAGCCTGTTAAGGCTATGCGGGGGATCTTTGTCTTTGCTGCCCATTGTCAGATTGATTTGAAATATCCAAAAACGGGCCTAGTTATATTTTGGATGATCTTTCTTTTTTTGCCACTTTAGTTGAAATCGTGTGACGTCACTTTTGTAAGCTCAAAGGTACTTCGTAATTACCTCAAATCAATGATCTGAAAGTAACAAAAAAGAACGTCAATTTGTTTTACAAATCCTAACATCGAAAACGTTGAACTCTGAAATATACAGGCCTACTGTGTTTGTGCAAGAGGAGAGACGGTCACCCGTGAGTGTTGCTACTCACGGCAAAGACTGACAATTGCACGCATATCGTGGGTGTTGCGATGGTTAACTTGAACGAAAAGTTTAACTACATGAAAGTAATCAGGGCCTAGATTGCTACGAATTAAAACAGCTTTCAAAGTAATGACAGCGAACATCGTGGATAACAAATCGGTTAATTGAATACAAATACAGTAATGGCATTAATACATTTCAATACCTCCCCACCCTCCATGACAATGTGGAACGATTCAATGACACAATTGGTGGCGAGATGTTAACTACCTCGCCGGGTATACAGGAGGTCGAGGGTTCGATCCCGACCCTGATGCTTTTATGTTTGGAGTTTGCATGTCTCTTTCCACGGTCGTGCAGATTTTCTCCAGGTCCTCCAGTTTTCCCCTTCACATTTAGAATCAACGTCATGCGTTTACAGTATTCGGCTGCTATAAATGTCCACATGATAAGCCACTTCGTTGGGCTGTCACTTGTGGCCAGGTCGCTTCTGAAAAAGAACGACATAGCTCGGTGGGCTTTACCTGGTAAAATAAAACATAGTTTACAGTTACATGCTAATCCCTCACATTAACATGCTTATCCCTCACATTAACATAGCCACTTCCGTGCCCTTGTTGAGGAGGCCGCTCTCCTATCTTACAGTTACATGCTAATTTCTCACATAAACATCACTAGCCCCGGCCACTTCTTTATAACCCTTGAGCTACACCCATTTCAAACATTTTACAACAGTCTGCCTCAGCAGCAGACCATGCTTTCTCAACTGATGATGGACGCTTGTGTTGCGCCCGAAACGTCGTGATTATTTTATTTTATACCTACGTGACTTTACCCAAAGAACCAAAGAGTATAGTTTTAGTAGTTTAGTTTAGCATTACAGCAAGACCTCAGTTTGATTCCCAACATGTACACCGTTCTGCGTGCAGTTTGTTCTTCGCCTGCTCTGCATGGGTTTCCGCCCAGATCACTGATGTCCTCCCATAGCAAAAAAAACATACAGTATTACTGGTATTGGCCAAACACCCGATTGCTGATCAATTATCTGCAACATAACCAAATAGGATTTCTCAAAGCAACATCACCCTCTTCCGCAAAAAATTGGCAAGACTCTCCAGAAAAGTCTCGACATTGTTGAGGGTTTCCTGGTCCAACAAGAATAATAATTATAAAATATTTATTTGATAATGGCAGTCATGTTCGTGGCCACTCGTCGTTTCAAGAGTCACGTGAGCCCGTGACTCAACGTAAATCAAAAGGGATACACCATGGACTCATACACGAGTGATTCGTTGCACGTATCGTCAGCTGAAGACTCAACGGTTAATCATTCCACCCCTGGTATCTAAACACACGATGTCTGTTACTCGCACCTTCAATGCTGTCTCAGTTTGTTTGTAATGTGCGCTTTGTACAACTCCGTATCAGCATAAATACAAACACTGCCGTTTCTTATGTGCTTGATCACTCCTGCCTTGTTAACTCTGTATTTATCCTGTCATTCACAGTTTCCAACCAGCTGAGTGAAAAACACTATGCCAGTAAGTGTGGGGAAACACATTGAGCCTGACTGTGGGAAATTCAGTTTTGATTTGTTTTGAGAGATCTGACTGGTTACTCTTTGCTATGCTTGGGAATATTTCGTCTCTAAGTTGCGCCGTAGACTCTTGTAATATTTTCACTAAAACTATTCAAAAGATAACCCCTAAAAAGGAAACTAACCACCCGGCTGTTATCAATACCAAAACCCAGAATTAGATCATTCTGGGGCAAAACTGGAAACTAAATATTTATTAAAACGTTATTTTTACTTAATAAAGGTACAATCTTTTGGGTAGACATTCATTTCAATCTCTGTGTGCCTCAAAAAGCGCAATAGTGATATAATTGGTTATGAAAATCTCGTAATCCAAGAAATTAGCCTGGCGATGGTGGCCATGCATCGCTGTATTCCAGCACTGTGGAGGCAGCGAGGGCTGGTGGATCGCACACAGATGTTGCGCAACTCCCTTCCTGTGGGCGTCTAGCTGCTGCTGTGCCCTGGCTTGCCAGGAGAAGGCGCGACAATAACAACATAGACTCCACCTGTTCCATCTGTGGGGTTATTCCGGGTGTCCTACATGTAAACACTCGTTGATTGGCTGATAAAACCTTAATATGTAGAGGGACGCAGAGCTTTGGCATTTTTTTCACCAGCTCACTGCGTGGCTGCCTTCCCGCTTGTCTGTTGCCCCTCGTTGCCTCCGAGTGGTTCCGTCTCTTCGAGAGCGAGCAAACGCTGTTCACATAATTTTAAATCATCATTTGGTTTAACACGTAGCAGGATTTTGCAACCAATATTAATCATAATAAAAGTTTTTTGGGGTTACATTTCATGTGTTGATAACCCAACACCATTTGACACAGCCAATTAGTAAGGTTTGTCACGGAAATAAAGCGTGCCAATTAGTTACTAGTTCAGCACACCGGTGTGTTGAAGAGTAAAGGCACAACATTTACAATTTGAGTAGTACGACGTTTCGCTGGTAATTACAACCAGCTTCATCGGGCGATTAATATTTACGTGATTTAACCCCAAAAAAACACTTTATTATGAATCATTATTAATGCAGCAGGATTTGTAAAATGAGCTAAATACTGCTGGCAGATCTACAGGGTGGCCCAATAGTTAATTTCCCGAAATATAAATATGGAATTAATTTCTCACTGAACTTATTTAGACCACTTTGTACAATAATATTCATTATTTACCAAAGAAATTCTGACTGAGTCTCAAAACTCCTCTTCAGGAGGGTCCCACTGCATTAGGATGTTTTGCGAAGTTAAATTTTTCACGAATTAGAGTTTTGGGATTCATGTGAGAGGACACCAGGGAACTCCACAGGCTGTTATCAGGAGCCTGAAACACACACCTGCCTGGTTCGTAAAGTGTTCTGCAAAATTTCGATTTAAAGCTTTCGTGACTGCAGGGATTCATCTTCTTGGTTCTTTCGGTAAAGTCACGTAGAATGGAAATAATAAAAGAATAAAAAATACTATATAATGAAATAATTCTCACGACGTTTCAGCCACAACGCATGCAGCCGTCCTCAGGTGAAGAACATGTATGTCGAGAAGACAAGAGTCAGACTCTTGCGTTGTGGCCGAAACGTCGTGAGAATTATTTTATTAGATTAAATTTTTATTATTTTATTATTTCCATTCTACGTGACTTTACCGAAAGAACCAAGAATATGTTCTGCAAAATGTTTAAAAGGGATGCTTTAATGATGTAACAAAATGAATGATTTACAGGGCCAGATTAAGGTTCTTGTAGACCCTAGGCACTTGTGTTTCGTAGGCCTTCAGTGATAACTTTCTACAGTTGCTGCTGCTGCTGCTGCCCCGTGTTGCTTCTACTGACACTGTCACTCGCTTGTTTCACGCGGTACTTCGTCCAGCAGCTGGACAGATGCCGTTACTGATACGTTCATGATTTAGTATGTGCCCTAAATTGATGGGAGCGCGCTGTGTGCCACAGATAACATTGACGTGACTTTGCCTCTTTGTACACTGTGCCTATCCTTGCTATGCAACATATATTTATTCAAGAAGATATCCTGGTTAAAATGTTTTTATCATACAAACACAAAAATGTGGTAAAATGTGTTTTCTTAAGCACTTTAGTTTTCGTAGGCCCTTTAGTATTTGTAGGCCCTAGGCCGATTGGGTAATACGGCCCTGATGATTTATCGTCGAGACACCAATAAGCAAATTGAAACAGGTTGCATGTAAGTATGAAGACATTGCTGGCATCCTTTTCATGGCTCGCAATATTCATGACCTTTTGGAAACTGTCGTTATGAATGGAAATGTGGGCCCCCGTCACAGAAGTGCGACCAGTTCCTGGAACTGAAAGCTGTCATCTGTAAAAAGAGTAAATTGCAAGTACAAAGGACAGATATATAAAGTCTTTGCACTATATATACAAATTGTTCACTCGTTTTTCTCTATTTTTCTCTCTCTCTCATGGCAGTCTACTGGAGGGAACTCGTCAGGTTCTGGAAGGATTTTCGGGAAGCTTTGAAAAGTAAGTCCTGCCCATTGCACCCTCACATGAGCAGTGTTGAGAATGCCGGTGTCTAACACGTTGCCGTGGTGGGGACGAGACGAACCATAGTCCGGCATTGTTGATGCTTCACGAACCTGCATCAGGCTAACACCTGTCCCCTCTCACTTGCTCTTGTGCGCCGTACAGATTTGTAACTTTAACTCTTAATGTATCCATCCATAAGAGGTTTTAGTTTGGTAGAGAATCATTATTATTAATACAGCGGTATAATTAGCTGTCGCCCGATGAGGCTAGTTGTAATTACCGGTGAAACGTCGTACTCGAATTGTAGATGTTGTGGGTTTACTCTTCAACACACCGGTTATTGCTGAACTAGTAACTGACACGTTTTGTTTACGTGGCAAACCTTACTAATTAGCTGTGTTGGGTGCTGCTTGTGGTGGGATTAACGACACATTTATACTGGTAGGAACCTCCTGGTTCCACCAGCCCACAGGGGATTATTGTGTCCGTCCGTCCGTCATGCAGGGAGGGGCTGGGTGGGGAGGGGAGGGTGGGGAGGGGCTGGATGGTGAGGGTGAGGCTGGGTGAGGGGTGGGAGTGGTAGGTCACCCCGTGGTGCCCTTATAAAACTCAACGTTTAACCTACTCACGCCGGCTTGTGCCCGCCCTCACAGTCGGCCATATTTGCGGAATACATCACGCCGCCGTTGACCCTGGCCATTGACCGAGCAACCCAACGTTCCTACCAGCTCCCTCCGCAGGAATGTGTTGTTAACACGATCTAACCCAAAAAAAACCTCTTGTGTATATTGGTCGCGAAAGCCTACACATTAAACTTAATGTATCCATGTTCGCTTCCTTGTGTCCCTAATGCAAGTTGGTCAAATCTCCCTTCCTCTGTCCACCGAGCAAGAGGCATGGGGACACATCACAATCAGTCGATCAGCACGGTCAATTCGGTGTGGCAAAGTGTGGATATTCCTGTCTCTGGCCAGCATGGAAGAGTAGGCCACATACTCTCCAGACGGGATCTCTATACCTCGAGTGGAGGCCCTTTAGCCAGTAGTGGCATGAGCAGGACACCTTGCACCCTTACCTGGTTACACTCCCTGCTGTGCGTGGTGGTGATGTATGAGATCTGTGACTGTGTTGTTAGCAAACTAATGCGAATTCTAATTTAACTAACCGTCACGTTTTGTCCTTTTCTTTTTGTTTTTCAGCTTCGAAGGAACTGTCATGCCCTGTCTGTGGTAAGATTGTGTCCACCTGTATATAGGCGATTCTGAAAGATGGTATGAGTGTCACCTTATCACGAGACAGCATGCATACGTGTGCACGTGCGCGTGTGTGTATGTGTCAGGGGAGCGGTAGCTTAGCGGTTAGCGCACTGCGCTGCGATCCTGGCGACCCGAGTTCGATTCTCGCTCACGGCCAACACCGGTGATGATGATCTGAACCAGTCCTGGGCCTCCTCTAGGTCGACTCCCCCTTGTGCGCCGTGCCGGCCTTCATGTGCGTGTGTAATGTGTGCATGTGCCCGTGTGCGTGGACAATTTACGAGGCATAAAGATCCGAGCGTTATTCCGTAAATGCCAAACGGTCTTGCATGGAATTGGCCAGACATCTAAATGTAGGACCCTGCTCAACAACAGTTTTGTTTTTCGTCTCATCCTGAACGTAACCGACTGATTGGAGTCGTCACATGTCGCTGATTTCGACCTTAAACTCGCTCACCGTGTTCTAAATGCAATTACTTGACACGATCTACTGGGCTTGTACGTGTTTATCATTCTTATCGTGTCGGTGTTGCGGTGGTTCGGGCGGTACCACGAACCCCACCGTCTGAGTTTGATCGCTGGTCATGTGTAACATCACTCGTGAGTGATATCCAAACCGATCCTGATGCCACGACCAACCCTAATCCCCCCGCCACGGTCACCAACTCACACTGAACGGTGTGATGAGTAAATGGTCAAACCACGTGACCGATATTCCTGCAGGAAATTTACGTGTTTAGTTTGTTGTCCTGCTTCCTGCACCTCCGATTAGCACGGTTGGCTGTATACAGCAGTTCAACATACATACAAATTGTTTTATATTTGTATCTATATTTGAGAAAAAAAGCTAATTATTCGTTAATAAATAGGCTGATAAATGGAACTTCGTAGAGTTTACATTTGCCCCTACTGAAAATGCACGTGACATCTGGTTCCATCACGTCGACTTTCGTGACCCAGTCTTCTCTCAATCTGCAGACATAAACAGCCTTTTAACTCCGTCCATGTTTTGTTTGTCCGCAGAACCCACGTACATATCTGCGCTGCGCTGCAAATCCTGCGAGAAAGAGAACAAGGAAGTCTGCCTGTCTTATTGTGAACGTACGTCATTCTGGAGCTCTAACGTCAGGAATGCCTCACTGCATGCAATTTACATCACTCCTGAAATATGACTCTCGTAACATCTAGTAGTAGGTTTTTACCCTTTCAACTGGTACAAAAACTGACACCTTTATACAAGGGATCATGTTTGCAATAACCACAACACAAGCAGTCAAAATGCAAACAAAAATAAACAACTCTGATAATGATAATGATATGCACTGTCCTTGTATAAAGGTGTCAGTTTTTGTACCAGTTGAAAGGGTAAAAACCTACTACTATATTTTGCCACTGGTAAATCCAAGTACGACGTATCGAAGTATTCATTTAACTCATTAACATCGATGCATCGTTCCATGCATGCGCAATGCCTTGAGATGCTCAATTTGCATAACTGGGCAGGGGTAGAGCAACAACCAGAAACATTAATTCTAGATTTGAAGTTTTTGTGACTGCAAGGTCCATACTCTTTGGTTTTTTTCGGTAAAGTCACGTGGGTGAAAAAGAAAGGCGGCTTAACTTAACCCCCCCCCACGGCCCATCCTGGCTCCTCCACCCCTTAACTTGTATATATAATATCGTGTCTCTTAAAGCTCTCTTCACTTGATACAGTTATTGTGCTGTGACGGTTCCACCTGAAGACGGAAGCTTGTGTTGCCTCCGAAACGTCGTGATTTAATTTATTTTTATTTTATTTTTTACCTACGTGACTTTACCGAGAAACATTGTAGGAACAATGAATTTCACTCGCACTGTGGTGACGTCAGAGCAGTAACATTTTAAAAAGAAGTGTCACCGTGTCATTACTAAGTCTCCATATCAAGCCTACTAAAGAAGACAATACACCTTACAGGCACTTCCTTGTCTTCTGAATTGTTTTCCTGGTGCACTCTGGGCATCGTTGTCAGGAGGCAGAGAAACCGTTCTAAAATGTCACGGCAGAGCAACCTCACGAGTGTGGGAATGGCCGAAATAGATTTGCTCACAACTTCTGATTGGAGCCCTTCAAGCAGCGCTGTCCAGAGTGCTGCTGCCAGCTCGTATCACCCAACGCTTCTGCCTTCTGATGATGTTTGTGTTTAGTTTGTTGTCCCCCCCCCACCGCCGCACCTCCGATTAGCACGGTGGCTACGTACGGTGTGAAGGGAGTTCAACGTAGATACAGCCATTGCACATTGCTGCCAGGGATACGTCTAAATTCACTCTGATTTTTTAAAAAGTCTCTAAACGTCACTAACGCACCTGCGTGTGTATGCATGTGTGTGCTACAGGAAGTATTTTGGAAAAGCAACGGCGAGCACCTTTGGAGGTTCTGGATGACGTCGATCCCGACGTCATCCCAGAGCCAGACTACGACCCTGAGTTTGAGCCCACGAAGACCAGCGTGATTGCACTGATCGTGCTCGTGCCAGCCATGCTATCCTTAATCGTCTTCTGCATCGGTGAGTCTTTAGCTTGTTCCTCCAGATAGCAGAGGCGTTCTCAACACCAAGTAGGGTCCTCTGCAGATCGTAGTGGGAGATGTACGAATGTTGAACTTCTTTCACACATTTCCGTAGCCAACAGTGATAATCGGAGGGGGCGGGGTTCAGCACAGCCAACTAAACACAACAACAAGCAGTTTTTAAAGAAATTAGTTTTCAATCTCTAAGATCTAGAGAGACACAGAGACATGTTTACAAACACTTTGAGAGACACGAAGGACAGACACAGACAGCTATATACAGGGATAGTGTCCGACACGTACAAAAATACACGCGGAAAGATGCAGGCAGAGAGTGACACAGAGAAAAACACAACACGCACAAATAGATAACTACAGATACTTCCATGCATGTGAATTTAGTGGCTCACACTAACCTGTTTACTCCCTTGTCCCCTTTTATTTTCAGTAATGTGCTTCACGCGAAATAAAAAATCAACGTCTGCCCCCGACGTGAAAAAGGGATTGGACGCCGCGGAAGCGCAAACACGACAGAATCCCAACGTGAAGAGGCCTGGGCATCCAACGAAGCCTGCCCGGGAAAAACAAACCAAAAAAGACGGCACGCACAAAGCATCCCGCGTTGGACCAAAGAAAGAAAAGCCACGCAAATGAAAGTGCGGGCAATCCCCGACTTACGAACGGGGTCCTTGTTTCTGAGGCCCGTTCATGAGTCAAACTGTTCGGGTTCACAAAGAAAGACAGATACACACATGCGCTCGCACACTCACTTTCACACACACACATATATGAGTTTGCAGGGATTGTGTGGTGCCACGGCTTCGAAGCCACACTGCAAACTCCGTGACCGCCCCCCCCTGGCCCCCACACTGAATACACACACAGCGCACACACGTAGTGTCCTGGCGTGGGATTGCTTGGCACAACGGGTTTTAATCCGAAGGGTCCCTATGAGGAAAGTCCCACGGTTTCCCGGTGCCAGGGGATTGGCTGACCCTCGCAGGACAGTTTACAACGCGGTGCCCCTGAGTTGGCTGAGTAGTGTGTGGGCGCAAAAAGGTGACCGGGCCAGCCGCGATGAGTCATTCACGACATCGGGGAAGCTGGGGTGGAAAAAGCGAGAAAGGCAGACGATGGGCTGTGTATTTGGCAGTGATTCGCCGTGAGTACAGCTATGAGGTACATGGTAGGACGCTTGGGTGAGCAGGAGTGCAGACAGTAGTAGGTCGAGGCTTTTCTCGCAAGATACTCCCCCCGGGTAGTGCCGACTGGGCAGCTTTAAGGGATTGTGGTTTGCGCCGAGAATAAAAGTTAGCACAGACCATCGATGCTGTGGTGTCAGCAATTTATGTGTGGAGCGACTGCGTGTGCAAGCCGAGTCCTGGGTAGCAGTGGGGGAACATGAGGCGAGAGTGAACGCGGGGTGATCGCGGGGTGATCGCTACCATGTTTGCGCGAGTGAGTTAATCGCTCAGGTGTGAGCGCGCTCGCAGCCCCCTTTTGTTAGTGGGGCCGAGGTGTGCATGGGCGTGCGCGTTAAAGAGTCAATCGCTCGCAGGTGGAAGCGTGCGGTCGCTGCAGCTGATAGCTAGTTCATCGCTTGCAGGTAATAGCACGGTTCGCGGCCCCTCTAATAGCGACAATGTGGTGTGCACGGGCGTGTATTTTAACCCCGTGGGCTCCGAGGCCAGCAGCACAAGCATGGGGGGCCCCGTCACTCGGTCAGCGGGGGGCTGGCGGGAGCCGACCGACGCGGTGGAGGAGGGAGAAATTTGAGACAGATGCCATCCAGACATCCACCCTACGTCCATCCTTGTGGAAGAGATACGTGGATGACACGTTCGTCATCTGCCCACATGGCCTGTCAGCACTGAACCAATTTCTCAACCACATAAATTCCATGCACCCGTCTATCAAATTCACCATGGAAGTGGAAAAGGATGGCAAGCTACCATTCCTGGATGTTTTGACCTGATGGCTCGTTGGGACATTCGGTCTACAGGAAAGCCACCCACACGGATGCCGATCTAAAGCCTGATTCCCACCACCATCCAGCCCAGAAAAATTCCCTTATCAAAACACTACACCACAGGGCTTGTTGTATCTCCGACCAGCACCACCTAGCCAGTGAGTTGGAGCACGTACACCAAGCCCTCAGGATGAACGGATACTCGGACCGTACAATCCGCAAAGCTGTCTCCCCAACCAAAACCATCACTTTGCCGTACATAGCAGGGGTTACCAAAAATATTTCCAAAATCTTAAAGAAACACAAGATCCAGGTTCGTTTCAATACAGTACACAAAATCCGTGATTTAATCCCATCTGTAAAGGATGTGATTCCTGACATGCAATACCCTGTTGTTTACAAACTAAGTTGTGGTTGCGGCAGCAGCTACATTGGGGAAACAAAACGACATGTCTCGGACCGCGTTCGTGAACACAAGGCGGATCTGAAACACGGTAGGACCAATAACTCTGCCATTGCCGATCATTGTTTTAACGCTGTGGGCTCACACGAAATAGATTTTTCCAAGAAGGAGGTACTCTGCAAACCTACCGGCTACCTTCAGAGATTTGTTCATGAAGCCATCCAGATATATAAACACAGACACAACTTCAACTGAGAGGATGGGTACAAACTGAGCAATCATTGCAAGGACGTTATTAACCAGGTGAAGTCTTAACTGATTGTGATGTTTCCATCCTACCTTCCTATGTCAGCTGTTATTTCCGACTCTCTGTGTCTCTCTCTATGCCTCTCAGATCTCTCATGCTCACATGCCCTTTGGATTGCACCCGTTGGGTTGCACTCTTGCCTTTGGATTGCACCACTCTTCGATGTCACATTAACATCATGCTAATCTCTCACATTAACATAGCCACTTCCGTGCCCTTGTCGAGGAGGCCGCTCTACTATCTTACAACTACATGCTAATTTCTCACATTAACATCACTAGCCCCGGCCACTTCTTTATGACCCTTGGGCTACACCCATTTCACACCTTTTTAAACAGTCTGCCTCAGCAGCAGACCGTGCTTTCCCACCTGATGACGGGTGCTTGTGTTGCGCCCGAAACGTCGTGATTTATTTTATTTTATACCTATGTGACTTTACCCAAAGAACCAAAGAGTTTGTATCCCTTTCCTATACTTTGCACTCCTATGTTGTAACGTTCAAAAAAGTACTTCGGCTCGTTCTGGAAAACTCATGTAGCTCATCCAGAGCTTGGTTTCCGAGCTTCACTCCTATTGTTGCTGTTGTTCAAATTACGAAGCTATGTTTTTTTTTATTTTACCAGGTATGTCCCACTGAGCTTTGTAGCTATTTTTCAGAAGCGACCTGGCCACAAATGATAGCCAAACGGCGTGGCTTACCACGTTCAGTTTCAGTTTCATTTATTATGTACAGTAAAACCTTGGATTGCGAGCATATTGGTTCCGGAAACGTGTTTGTAATCCAAAGCACTCGTATATCAAAGCACTCGTATATGAGTTGTGATCACGTGACGCTCGGCAGACAAAGCATGTACACGTAATACTCGTATTGCAAGACCTCGCTCGTTTATCAAATTAATATTTATTTTAAAAAATTGCTCGTCTTGCAAAACACTCGCGGACCAAGTTACTTGCAATCCAAGGTTTTACTGTGTAGCCCTGTGAGCCATGCGGCTCTTGGCTCGGGTGCAACCGCAACAAACAAAAACATGAACCAGGAACATCTTAAAGTGACTACGCGCAACAGAAAAATCCAGGAAAAAACAGCAAAATCTTCCAGAAAAAGCACCGTATATCAATGCTGTGTGCAAAAATCCCAGTGGGATGCAAGTCAAACAATAACAACCATAAGACAATTTAGATTAAAGTGATCAGTCTAACTCTGTACTACAACAAACAAATATGGCTAAACCAAAACGTATTCGAAATCACCAAAATAAAGCTATAATAAGTATAACCCGTAAAAACAAAGTTTTTCACTCTAAATCCTTAATATGCGTGGCGGCTAGAGTCCTCTCGTCCTCTGGCTTGAGATGGCTGCCACCTATGGGTCAGATGATTGTCTGCAGTATTAAACAATTGGTAATTAAATATTTAATTTGTTTTCCCTAAACAGTGTAAAATTTTGGATTTTTTTATTCACGAACATTAATTGTCTCGCACAACGAGTCTGTGTGCAAAATGTCAGCTCGATTGGATCACGGGAAGTGGGTTAAAAAACGACCGAAAGGTTTGCACGGTCGTAAGCAAGCAAGCAAGCACGCGAACTTAATATAAAAGATTTAAAAACAATGTAACAGTGATCATAGCAACTGTGATTCAAATTTAACAATAAACGATTTACATAACATGTGCGACCAAATGGCCACATGGCCATTCATAGCAGCAAAATACTTTGAACGCGCGATGTTGATTCTAAATGTGGAAAGAAAATCCGGAGGACCCCGAGAAAAATCCACGCGACCACGGGGAGAGAGACGAAGACTCCAAATATACATCAGACCTCATGCATAGGGGCCGTCCATAAATGACGTCACGCACCTAGGGGGGGAGGGGGGGTCAGATATTTGTGACGATGCGTGACGATGGGGGGGGGGGGGGGTGATAAATGTGACGTCACATCAAAATGCGCAACTTTAAATAAATATAGACAACGCGTTCTACTTAATTAAATTGACTTTTTAATAAATGTTTTCTCCTACAACAGCAGAGAGCAGCGCCACATTAAATACGCACTACAATGACAATAGTTTAAAGCGATTTGAAGCATGTTTTATTTGGGGGGGGTCTGACTTTTTGTGACGCCATGTGACGATGGGGGGGGGGGGTCAAAAATAGTCCATAATCGCGTGACGTCATTTATGGACGGCCCCATACCAGGCGAGGTAGTTAACATCTCGCACACCACGGATCTTCCTACGTAAAATAGTCGGGCGATAGGCTAAACGGGATCATCCGTGTAACAATTTAAATAGAAAATTAAACTTTAACGAACGAGATGGGAAAGACTGCACGTACCCCGATGACGTCACGCCTGCGGTGACCTGTCGGGAAATGACGTCATGTTATGCTGCAACGATGACGTCATCACGCAGCTGTTCCCCCGTCAAGTGGAGCCGGCGCGGGGTGAGTGGAACGCGGGTGACTCAATCCTCCTCCACCTCACTCACACCCCTCACTCACCCCTCACTCACCTCTCACTCACCTCTCACTCACTCACCTCTCACTCACCTCTCACCCACCTCTCACTCACTCACCTCTCACTCACCTCTCACTCACCTCTCACTCACTCACCTCTCACTCACTCACCTCTCACTCACCTCTCACTCACCTCTCACTCACCTCTCACTCACCTCACCTCTCACTCACCTCTCACTCACCTCTCACTCACTCACCTCTCACTCACCTCTCACTCACCTCTCACTCACCTCTCACTCACCTCTCACTCACCTCTCACTCACTCACTCACCTCTCACTCACCTCTCACTCACCTCCTCACCTCTCACTCACCTCTCACTCACTCACCCCTCACTCACCTCTCACTCACTCACGCTCACCACGAGGGTGACTCCTCACTCACCCCTCACTCACCACGCGGGCGACTCACCCCTCACCACGAGGGTGACCCTCACCTCACTCACCCCTCACCCCTCACTCACCCCTCACTCTCCCCTCACTCACCCCTCACTCACTTCGTGGGCGACTCACCCCTCACTCACCCCTCACCCCTCACTCACCCCTCACTCTCCCCTCACTCACCCCTCACTCTCCCCTCACTCACCCCTCACTTCGTGGGCGACTCACCCCTCACCCTCACCACGAGGGTGACTCACCCCTCACTCACCCCTCACTCACTCACCCCTCACTCTCCCCTCACCCCTCACTCACCCCTCACACTCACCCCTCACTCACCCCTCACACGTGCGTCTGGCTGAGCACGCGGTGTCACCTGCAGGTGGTGACGGTGATGGACCCACCACCGACTTCTGCCCACGTGGAGTCACGGATTTGTCTCGATCATATTCACGACTGGAACTTTTAGTTTCTTCACGCGTCGTGTTGTTGTGTGCCAACACGAGAACTCTGATGAAAGAGAAGAATAGGTGTTAACCTTGTTGGCAATCGGATGTTTAAACACCAAATAGATACATCAAGTCAGCAGTAACGACACGGACTGGTGGTGGATATGCAAACACAAATATGATCTGAAAAATGTGGAATCGTCTTTGAAACGTGGACTACACCAGAGACAACCTTCTTGTTTGAAGAGACAGCCTTTCTTATGCTTGGTTCTTTCGGTAAAGTCACGTAGAAGGGAAGTAATAAATTAATAAAATTTTATTCTCACTACGTTTCGATTGCAACACAAGCAATCATCAGGTGTGACCCCCACAGCAAGAAAATTTGAAAAAAGTGGCGGGTTTTTTTCCCTTGGTGCTGACGTTAAGATAAAATCGCCACTTTTTTCAAATGTTCTTGCTGTGGGTTTCACACCTGATGATGATTGCTCGTGTTGCAATCGAAACGTCGTGAGAATTTTATTGTTTTATTTTGATTATTTCCCTTCTACGTGACTTTACCGAAAGAACCAAGAATACAATTCGTATCAGTTTAAAGTTGTGCAAAGTCAAATGGGCCCTCAGAATTTGGCCTGACAGCATCGAGTGCCAAGGGAAATGGGTTGGATTGTACGCATGCTTTGGTGTGTGCAGGTTGTGACTATCAAACGCTGTGCTTGAGAACACGTTTTTTTTAGTCTCCAGCTGGGAACCGTGATTTGAATTCGGGACCTCACCATCGCTCGCTTATCTCTCATACACAGGGCATTGCTTTAGACCCGAAGCCACCTGTCACCCTCCTTTGTGCTGTTTCAAGGAGCTGTGTCACCAGTTTCAAGTGTTATTTTCTTTCACTAGGTTTACAACTCAAAACAAGAGACCAGGATGAATCTTAACTTACAAAAGCGACCTATTTGTTTTGGTAATATCCCGTCTCTTCAGTTGAAGTCCACCGTTGCCGTGTGAGTTTAATGTTTATTTGTCTTCGCAGACCGTGTCGTTTGCCTTCCTTGGGGGTGGAGGCGACGCAGAGGAACAATATTTTCTTCTGCGGCCCCCAGCCCTCAAGTGACTGACGCATGAGACTCCTGGCTGCGGTGATGTCACGGGTGAGGTGCTGTGGCCGCCCAACAGGAATCGAGCATGCAGCCAAAGCGGTGGAGCCAGCAGAAAAGGTGACATCATTTAAAATACAACATTGGTGTTGTTTCAATGTCTGAAAACACGTTCTTAATCTCTCTGCAACCGGCACCAAGTCACGAGACATTTCCTGTTGGTACTCTGGTGGAAAAACTTGGGGTCCCCTCATCTCCCGCATCTCACTGATGAAGGCCGGTCATCATACGGCTGTGTGCGGTATGTCATAGTTAAAATGCAATACAGTAAAACCTTGGATTGCGAGTAACTTTGTCTGTGAGTGTTTTGCAAGACGAGCAAATTTTTAAAATAAATATTAGTTTGATAAACGAGCGAGGTCTTGCAATACGATCAGTACGTGTATACGCTTTGTCTGCCGAGCGTCACGTGATCACAACTGATATACGAGTCCTTTGGATTACAAACACGTTTCCGGAACGAATCATGCTTGCAATCCAAGGTTTTACTGTATTTTAAAATAATTAGAAAAAAAACACCATAAACCTCTCACAAACAGTCAATGCTGTTGCTACCACCACATCTCACAAACTCACTGTGATGGTCAATGATGTTGCTACCACCACATCTCACAAACCCACTGTCACAGTCAATGCTGCTGATACCATCACATCTCACAAACCCACTGTCACGGTCAATGCCGTTGATACCACCACATCTCACAAACCCACTGTCACAGTCAATGCTGTTGCTACCCTCACATCTCACAAACCCACTGTGACGGTCAATGCTGTTGCTACCATCACATCTCACAAACCCACTGTCACAGTCAATGCCGTTGATACCACCACATCTCACAAACCCACTGTCACAGTCAATGCTGTTGCTACCACCACATCTCACAAACCCACTGTGACGGTCAATGCTGTTGCTACCACCACATCTCACAAACTCACTGTGACGGTCAATGCTGTTGCTACCACCACATCTCACAAACCCACTGTCACAGTCAATGCTGTTGCTACCACCACATCTCACAAACCCACTGTGACGGTCAATGCTGTTGATACCACCACATCTCACAAACCCACTGTCACAGTCAATGCTGTTGCTACCACCACATCTCACAAACCCACTGTCACAGTCAATGCTGTTGCTACCATCACATCTCACAAACCCACTGTCACGGTCAATGCCGTTGATACCACCACATCTCACAAACCCACTGTCACAGTCAATGCTGTTGCTACCCTCACATCTCACAAACCCACTATCACGGTCAATGCCGTTGATACCACCACATCTCACAAACCCACTGTCACAGTCAATGCTGTTGCTACCATCACATCTCACAAACCCACTGTCACGGTCAATGCCGTAGATACCACCACATCTCACAAACCCACTGTCACAGTCAATGCTGTTGATACCACCACATCTCACAAACCCACTGTCACAGTCAATGCTGTTGCTACCATCACATCTCACAAACCCACTGTCACAGTCAATGCTGTTGATACCACCACATCTCACAAACCCACTGTCACGGTCAATGCCGTTGATACCACCACATCTCACAAACCCACTGTCACAGTCAATGCTGTTGCTACCACCACATCTCACAAACCCACTGTCACAGTCAATGCCGTTGATACCACCACATCTCACAAACCCACTGTCACAGTCAATGCTGTTGCTACCACCACATCTCACAAACCCACTGTCACGGTCAATGCTGTTGATACCACCACATCTCACAAACCCACTGTCACAGTCAATGCTGTTGCTACCATCACATCTCACAAACCCACTGTCACAGTCAATGCTGTTGCTACCATCACATCTCACAAACCCACTGTCACGGTCAATGCTGTTGCTACCACCACATCTCACAAACCCACTGTCACAGTCAATGCTGTTGATACCACCACATCTCACAAACCCACTGTCATGGTCAATGCTGTTGCTTCTGTATCTCACCATTCTTCATTCTGCCAGATCCTGCAGCACAGTCAATACCTGACCCTCCAAGTCTTATTTACAATATTATACCACCAACTGGGCGTGGGTCTCCCCCTTCATCGCTCACCTCTGGGTGACAACTTCAGTGTCTGTTACAGTTTCAGTTTCATTTATTTGGTATAGCCCTGTGAGCCATTCGGCTCTTGAATCGGGTGGAACCGCAACAAACAAAAAACAAAAACATGAACAAGAAAACATCTTAAAGTGACTATGCGCAAACAGAAAAATCCAGGAAAAAACTGCAAAGTCTTCTAGAAAAAAAGCACCGTACACCAACGCTGTGTGCAAAAATCCCAGTGGGATGCAAGTTAAACAACAACAACCAACTTAGATTAAAGCCATCATTCTAACTCCGTACTACAACAAACAAACATGGACAAACCAAAAAACCATTTTTAAATCACCAAAATAAAGCCATAAGCAATGTAAGAGTGATCACAGGAACTTTGACCGAAATTTCACAATAAACGACATCAACAGTAACCTGCCTTCCTCCTCCATCCAGCTCACGCTGTTCAACGTCACTCGGATTGTTACAGGTGCGCTCTGACCAAAAAGTAAAGAGACGTGTGATCATTTCGTAACAATTTCTGGCCATGCTGCAGGATGTCTTCGACAATTGCTGAATGCTGTCATTCAGCTGCGTTATAGCTGAGTCTGTTTAATAAAAAATGAAAATATTGATTTATAATGGAGAAATCCGATGAGCTATTAAGCTATTTTTTTACAGATGCCCAATAGGGGTGGGTTAAGAACGTTACAGCAACAAACAATACGAAAACACGATAGCAGTGCAAAGTACAAGAAAGGATAAACAATTTAACACGTAGGCTTTCGCGACCAATATTATTCATAATCAACGTTTTTGGGTTTAGATCGCGTTATTTATAAATGTGTCGTAACCCTCCACCACCCGACACGGCCAATCAGTAAAAAAGTGTCACGTTGACCAAAGACAATTAGTTCACTGCTTTAGCCCACCGGTGTGTTGAAGCGTGAAACCACAACAATTTACAATTTGAGTACGTGTCGGTTGGTGGAGGGTTACGACACATTTAGAAATAACGCGATCTAAACCCAAAAACGTTGATTATGAAAGGTAAACAAATCACCCAAACGCACACACAAATAAAACTCAACCATCCCCATCCTACCAGGCAAAGCCCACTGAGGTATTAACTTATTTTTCATATATCTGTGACAGGATTTGTTGACGCTGTTTTTGATTTGTACGTAAACACCGTTTATTGTTTGCCCTGTTTGCAGAAAGTTCCGTTGTGGGTTTCGCGTAAAATAAAATGAAAATGTTGCCCGTGTTAGTTTGTCGAATGTCCTCTAACTGGTGCCACAGCCGAGCGTCTTCAGCTGCGGTTGTCCTTGGGAGTGCGCTGCTCCGCTCAGTTGGCCTTCACAGCTAAAATCATGAGGCCCGAGTCTGATTTCAGTCGGGAAAAAAATTGCACAATGAATGGGGTGCGAGCCTGCCGCTTGTGCAAAAATTTTTTTCCCAGATGTTGCGACGAGATGACACGTGTACCGCGATCAAAGGTTGGCGGCACCTTTGTGCAACCGCACATTAGACGAGCGGCGAAACTGCGCGTAGTTTTTCTTCGTCATTTTGGAGAAAGGAAAAATAAGTTGGGTTTGAATTTTTGCGACGTTTACAATTGGGTGGAAACGGTTACATCGAAACAACAATGCATTAGCCCTGATATGGGAATGTGGCTGATGAGACATGACATACGCGCAGCCTGATTGATGTATGACCTCTCGTTAATATGTTTGGCATTCCATGGGGGATATGGTTTTCGGGAATTCATATTTCAAGAATTCACTGAACGAACTGTCCACATTACTGCTAATGTGTGCGCTTAATTCCTCCTTGCCGGTCGCCCCACAATCAACCGCTCATCGCGAGCAGCATTCATTGGAGGGGAAGCATAAATGTCCTTTACCACTTTTGTCATCATCACAAACATGCTTATGACCTTGTAAAATGCATTGTGAATCTCCGCAGGCTCTCACCTCAATGCTTTCAAATTGCATTCGAACGAAGGTTGCGTGCGTGTGTGCGCGTGTGTGCGCGTGTGCAGGGGACGGAAGTGAAATCTAAAGATAAAACCATTTCGGCTTTAATGGAAGCCAACAATCTGACACTGGAGGAGAAGAAAATTCTGAAAAGACACACAGAAGCCTGTCTGGTGCGTCTCCGTTGTGCTCGCGTGCGATTCTGTTTATGTGCAGGAACAGTGGAATCCCTGTGTATGTACACCATTGGAACCTCATTTGCCAGTAGCAAAATATGATAATTGGTTTTTTACCCTTTTATCTAGCAACAAAACTGACATCTTTTTTACAAGGAGTCATGTTTGCATTGACTACAATACCTGCAGTCGTAATGCAAACAAAAAACATAGCTCTGATAATGTATGCACTGTCCTTGAAATTGTTTGGTCCACACACGAGACAGCTCTCCTTAGAGCCTAGTCTCACATGGTGTTGGACCAGATGACGCCAAAAGGCTGTCTCGTGTGTGGACCAATCAAAGGTGTCAGTTTTGTTGCCAGATTAAAGGGTAAAAAACCAATTATCATCCCTGTGTATGTGTCTCATCCTGTGTGCGTGCGTCTCCTCCGCATGGGGAATGGTAGTGCAGTAGTTTGCGTGCTGCACTACGAATCCGGCGACCCGAGTTCAATCCGCGCTCACGGCCAACACCAGTGATGATTATCTGAATTGGTCCTGGGCCTCCCCGTGGTCGACTCAGCCTCAAGTGAGAACCTGATGGGCTGTGTGTAAACACCACCACTGGGGGAGACAAAGGTGGCCAGGCGTGGTGCTGACCACCCACGCCCTCGTGTGCCGTGCCGGCCTTCATAGGTGCTCACTAACAGCACTTGCTCCAACAGTGTGTTCAGGCTATACGGGGCACGTGGTAGCGCGTTCGCCGCTTGTTGCAGATGTTCACGGTCTGATTCCAAGAGGTCGCCCTGGTTATTACTGCCGGTGTTTAGCCACCAAAAATATTTCGATTTAAAGCTTTCATCACCACCAAAAATACCTTGCGTCTGCTTCACAGTGGATGTTAAAAGACCCTGTGGCATGATTTGCAAGAGCAGGTGAAGCGTTATGCCGCCATCACGGTCCAAATTTTGCCAAATTCTAAAAATGACGCCACAAATCACTCAATTGGAATTATACTTGGCATGAACCTTCTGAAAAAAAGACTGCGTGAGGCTTACCTGGGTTAACAAGGAATCCTGTGTGGAACGGAGGGAGAACTTACAAACTCCACACACTCTTCAGAGCAGGGGGAGAGCGTACAAACCCCACACAAAGGCACCCGAATTGGGAATCGGAATCAGCCCTTTCTTGCTGTGAGGTGTCACCACTGCACCACCGCCACCCTGCCGCCCACCATCGATGAATCGACGAACTGTGACATGCCAACGTAGCGCAGTAACTGACACGCGCGGGACCTTGTGGAATGGAAACTCTGCGTGCGTGCGTGCAGGCAGGCAAGGACACGTACGTGGACCCCGTGTCCGGCTACTCCGTGTTCACGAGCCGCTCTCACTCGCTGCGCGGGAAGTGCTGTGGCTCGGCCTGCAGGCACGTACGTACGCACGCACTCACGCAGCGGCCAGTCGCACGCACATGCGGTCCCACAGCGCGGGTGGGGAACTGTCTGGAATGCTCTTCCAGTATGAGGAAGGCACTGGGGCTATGCACTTTCAAATCTAAAATTCACGTCTTTAAAACTGATCCCTCTATCTAGATTTGAAGTTTTCGTGACTGCAGGTTTCCATACTCTTTGGTTCTTTCGGTAAAGTCACGTAGGTAGAAAATAAAATAATTGAATCACGACTTTTCGGGACGCAACACAAGCGTCCGTCATCAGGTGGGACAACCACAGCAATAAACAATTGCTGATTGCAATTGCTGAAACGTCGTGATTGAATTTATTTTATTTTATACCTACGTGACTTTACCGAAAGAACCAAAGAGTATGTATCCCTCTTTTTAAGACCGAAACAGGAGGATTTCTCCACATTCCTGGCTGTCGCCTGGTGAGGCTGGTTGTAATTACCGGTGAAACGTCACAGTACTCGAATTGTAGATGTTGTGGCTTTACTCCAACACACAAGCGGTGTGCTGAACCAGCAACTAATCGGCACGTTTTGTTTACGTGGCAAACCTTTACTATATGGCTGTGTCAGGTGGTGGCGGGTTCAAGGACATCGTTACACGATCTCACCCAACAAAAAACCTCTTACGGATCTTTAAAACTGCTTCTTGTGTTTAGTTTGTTGTCCTTCCCCCGCACCTCCGACTAGCACGGTTGGCTACGTACGGTGCGAATGAAGTTCAATGTACGTCTCCTCTCCGGGGGCCAGAGGCGACTTTCACACACCCCCGGTTGGGCACAGAATCAGAATCTTTATTTAGCATGGGAAAAATCCGATGAGCTATGAAGCTCTTTTTCACAATGCCCTGTATTCGCGCACACCATTGATTGGTCCAATGACCACGGTGGTGGTAGTAGGAACGCGCGCGAAAAGTAACGCACGTGGCGTCCGAGTTGCTGTGTCCGTCACCGTTCTATTCAAGCAGTGGTTCTTAACCATTACTGCAGTCTTGTAACTCTGGTTCTGAATGGTTACAACTTGTATAATGTTAATAAATGCAAAGGGGTTTGATGAAACAAAGTAGTTGTGCTTACATGCCCGTACTTTATTTGTGCTTTCGATGATTTACCTTCTCAGAAATATGGCCGTGTCTCGCACCCCCAGAAATTAGGGATTTCGATCGGATTCTTGGGGTTTGTTAGTAATAAATCGGCATTTTGCGACCCCCACTGCCATTGTGTAGAATATTATTACGTGCCAGGGACTCTATGAGATGATAGGACAATAGTCTGAATCCATAATTGGCAATAAGTAACGGCAAAGCGGTTATAAGTGACTCACAGAATTGTGCACAGTTGCATATACAGCACACGGCTTCCCTGAAGGTATCAACACCTTCAGCGAGCGCGATGCCGATCACACCACGCGGTTCGAATTCGACCCTCGATCGATGGCTGCGCCATCGCCGCACACGCGTCGAATAAAAATCAAGGGACAACTCCTTACTCACTAACAACTCCTTACTTACTAACAACTCCTTACTAACAACTCCTTACTTACTAACAACTCCTTACTCACTAACAAGTCCTTACTCACTAACAACTCCTTACTTACTAACAACTCCTTACTTACTAACAACTCCTTACTCACTAACAACTCCTTACTAGCAACTCCTTACTTACTAACAACTCCTTACTAACAACTCCTTACTTACTAACAACTCCTTACTTACTAACAACTCCTTACTTACCAACAACTCCTTACTTACTAACAACTCCTTACTCACTAACAACTCCTTACTTACTAACAACTCCTTACTAACAACTCCTTACTTACTAACAACTCCTTACTTACTAACAACTCCTTACTTACTAACAACTCCTTACTCACTAAACAACTCCTTACTCACTAACAACTCCTTACTTACTAACAACTCCTTACTTACTAACAAGTCCTTACTCACTAACAACTCCTTACTTACTAACAACTCCTTACTTACTAACAACTCCTTACTTACTAACAACTCCTTACTTACTAACAACTCCTTATTTACCAACAACTCTTTACTTACTAACAAGTCCTTACTCACTAACAACTCCTTACTCACTAACAACTCCTTACTCACTAACAACTCCTTACTTACTAACAACTCCTCACTCACTAACAACTCCTTACTTACTAACAACTCCTTACTTACTAACAACTCTTTACTTACTAACAACTCCTTACTTACTAACAACTCCTTACTTACTAACAACTCCTTACTTACTAACAACTCCTTACTTACTAACAACTCTTACTTACTAACAACTCCTTACTTACTAACAACTCCTTACTCACTAACAACTCCTTACTTACTAACAACTCCTTACTTACTAACAACTCCTTACTTACTAACAACTCCTTACTTACTAACAACTCCTTACTCACTAACAACTCCTTACTCTACTAACAACTCCTTACTCACTAACAACTCCTTACTCACTAACAACTCCTTACTTACTAACAACTCCTTACTTACTAACAACTCCTTACTTACTAACAACTCTTTACTTACTAACAACTCCTTACTCACTAACAACTCCTTACTCACTAACAACTCCTTACTCACTAACAACTCCTTACTTACTAACAACTCCTTACTTACTAACAACTCCTTACTTACTAACAACTCCTTACTTACTAACAACTCCTTACTTACCAACAACTCTTTACTTACTAACAAGTCCTTACTTACTAACAACTCCTTACTCACTAACAACTCCTTACTTACTAACAACTCCTTACTTACTAACAACTCCTTACTCACTAACAACTCCTTACTTACTAACAACTCCTCTATCATGTATCATTGCTGGAGGGGTTTCCCCCCCCCCCCCTGAAAATCCTGGCTCCGCCCTTGACTGTACGCAAGGATCGCCTCTCGATCGGTTCCGCGTTTAATGTCTCTTGCTGGTTTTGTCTTATTTGTGCCGCTAGCCTGAAGGCACATTAAGGGCCGTCCATAAATGACGTCACGCACCTTGGGGGGGGACAGACATTGTGACGATGTGTGACGAGGGGGGGGGGTTTGAGAAATGTGACGTCACATCAAAACGCGCAACTTTAAATAAATATAGACAACACGTTCTACTTAATTAAATAGACTTTGTAATAAATGTTTTCTCCTACAACATCAGAGTGCAGCGGCACATTAAATACGCACTAAAATGACAATAGTGTAAAGCGATTTGAAGCATGTTTTATTTTGGGGGGGGGGGGGGGCAGAGCTTTGTGACGTCATATTTGAGGGGGGGGGGGTCTGACTTTTTGTGACGCCGTGTGACGATGGGGGGGGGGGGGGTCAAAAATCGTCCAAAATCGTCCAAAATCGCATGACGTCATTTATGGACGGCCCCTTAGCGCATGATTTGCATAAGCCGTAATTAACTCTTAGACTTACAATTCGAACCATTGTAAATGTAAAGAATCGGTCTTTATTGATGTGTCGTGAGATGCCTCATGCACATGTACATGTGAGTAACAGTGCAGAGGTACACTCCCAGTACACATGCGGATATGTACTGAGAGTATTTAGCCTGTGGTAATACACCAGGATAAATTACACATACAGAGATGGGTACAATGGGAATATAAACACAATGCCCAACAACACATAACTAAAAATAATCACAATAATCTCTAAATCATCTCAAAGCCTTCGTTATTCGCGTGCCTCCTGTGTGGCCACCCCCCCTCTTGGGTCTCTGCCTTCTCCACACCGCCCGCTGTCAAAACAGACTCCGCTCCTCCGTGCAACAGCAGCAGCAGCAGCATCGTCAAAGCCCTGATACAGCATCTTTCTCCCTGTTTTCTCCAATTTCTCCACTCCTTTTCCCTCCGTTTCCTTTTATTTCCCAAGCTGATGTATGCTGGTGTTTGAGTACCAACCGTGTATAAGTGTCAACGTGTACAATGCACGCGGACACAGGGATGGTTACCCTCCTTTTGCACTTAGTCACATATTCACTTTAAGATGTTTTTTGTTCATGTTTTTGTTTGTTGCGGTTGCACCCGATTCAAGAGCCGAATGGCTCACAGGGCTCTACCTAATACATGAACTTGAACTTGAACATTGACACTGGCAAGCGAAACGGCACAGGCGCACGTCCGTACACGCTGAAGCGGCGTCTCCCCTGTGGTCCCAGTGCCCCTTTGAGCAGGTGAATGTCAAGGACCAGCAGAAGAAGAAGACCTACAACGGCTACTTCTACACATGACGACTAGAAGATTGCGGATTACAGTCACCTTCACCAAGGCTGCTGGCAGGCGGGGATGGTCTTGTGCGTGGGCGGCTGCTCTGTGGAGCTGCTGCGGTGTCCAGAGGCACACGCTGATTCAAGTGTCCACAGGGTTAATGTTGAAGTTGTGGCCTAATTACGTGCGTGGAGATGTACCATCTAGTATTGCGTAAGTTATCCTAGGGGGTTCAATATGTTTTTTGTTTCACCAGGGTGAGAACTTAAGAGGCCAGGAGCGAGTTGCGTTTTGCAAGGGTGAGCTCGGTTGCCAAAGTTGCAAACGCAGAACAATAAAGAGCATAGTGCAACAATGAAACCAGTCGATATCATAGCGAACTCAAGAAAATGTGAATAAGAGTAAAAAGAAGCAAATATGAATCACTACGGCCAAGATAACCGCGTAACGGAAGCGATTGAGAGCGGTGCGTATGAAAGCTTGCGTTGGTGATGTCTCTCCTCTGGCTACTGCTGGTGGGAGGTCCACGCAGCGTTGTGCGATTCCCACTTCGTGGAAAGGGTGCTATACAGATCCAATATAGAACAGAATTATTACGGCGTGTGAGCCTATTATTACCAAATCAAAAAATGTGTGTATCGAGTACGTGCGTGTACTGATTTTGGTGATTAAACATTGTAAAACTATTCGTGCGTTTTTGTGATTTCGATAATAAAGAGAAAATGTCGAAACGGCTCTGATCGAAACCAACGTGGTTTGTGTGCTGCTGTGTGGGCCTTCATCCCAAGCAGTGGCGGCTCCTGCAAAATCTCTCAGGGGGGGCAAATGTCTGGATGATTGATAAGGATAAGGTCCACCCATGCAATGGATAAATTAACAGCTTAAGCATGTAAAGGCAACTTCACTACTTTAATATTAATGAAAAATAAAGTGACTCTTACAATACATCTCCTTGTTTGTTTCTATACTCACTATTATTACAATCCACTCAGTTTCTTTTATTAAAGATTCCACTAGGTGGCGTCAAATAATATTGTTGACTGAAACGTGCTTACGTATGATGACGTAAGCACGTTAGGGCGAGCCCTCCCGGAAGCCATAGAGAATGCATTGGAGCGCCCGCCGATCGAAAAAAAACATCTTTCAATGTAAGTCTATGGGGCCACTCGGGGCGATTCTCAGCCAGAGTGAAATCGCCCAAAAAGAGGCGGTACTCCACAGAACGTGACATGACGCTGATTGGACTATATCCAGAGGCACAGTAACGGCTAGCGTAACTCTGGTTGAATGAGATTTTGAATGTGATTGAAAAAGTCCCTTTCACACTTTGGTGGTGCATCGCCCAATCGCCCTAATGAAGAAACCGCCCCTGATCCCAAGTGCCATGTCCAGGTAGGCTTGGGACCTCGCCTGCTGCCCAGTAGTGCACTCAAGAACGCTGATGAGAAATGCCCTCTCAGCGGAGCTGCGCCTTGACCCTACACCGGTGGGTTCTTCACTAATTTTCAGAGGCGGGGGGGGGGGCACTTTCACCGAAGAGACATCAGTGTGAGGGTCGCCACATTTGAAAACATTGGGAGTTTGACAGCAGCGCGTTGATGGTGGGGCATGTTTTTGCCCTTTGTGTATTGTCGGAGGGCCGCACAGCAGTGGCCCATGGGCCTTGCAATGATGAACACTGCCCTGCAAACACAAACCTTCATATAATGCATTGTGCCGGCAACATTTCGATAATTTTACTTTTAACATAAATGCGTTTATTCACTCATCCTTTTGTTTATATTAAGGTACTTTCATAATAGAGTGTTTTTTTGGGTTAGATCACGTAAATATATAAATGTGTCGTTAAACCCGCCACCACCCGACACGGTCAATTAGTAAGGGTTGTCACGTAAACAACGTGGCAATTCGTCACTAGTACAGCAACACCGGTGTGTTTGAGAGCAAAGCTACAACATTTACAATCTGAGTACGACGTTTTCCTGTCGCCTGATGAAGCTAGTTGTAATTACTGACGAAACATCGTACTCGGATTTTAAATGTGGCTTGGCTCTCCAACACACCGGTGTGCTGTACTAGTGACGAATTGGCCACGTTCTGTTTACGTGGCAACCCTTTCTAGTTGGCTGTGTCGGGTGGTGGCGGGTTTAATGACACATTTACGCGATCTAACCCAAAAAAACTACTACGGATGATATTGGTCGCGAAAGCCTACGTGTTAAAGTGAAGCTACTTAATAGATACTATTAGCTAACTTCACCTACCTATTTAACAAATATAAAACCGTTTACATCAAGCCCCCTGGTATTGCCGATATCTCCCTTGTTGTGTGTGTGCTCTGAAGGGTCATTCCTCGAAATGTCGCCGATTACACTGGTCAACACACTTTTTCTGGAATAAGTTTTTCCAACGGTTTTAAGGTAATTTTGGGGTGCTGATTCCAAATCTATCACATCAGGTTTTTGAGATATCAAATATTGCATTTTCAATAAAAACTGCAGAAGAAAAGTATTAAATAGATGTGGATATCTACATAAAATGATATTATAAACACACTATCCTAAAAATACAGCACCATATTTTAACACTAAAGCAGTCACTGACTCGCAACAACTTGCAATCATAAGTAACAGAGTTAATTTCGGGTAAAATCAATAAAAATGGGGTATGCCGATAGCATTAAATGAGATGTGATAGAGCAAATCTGAGATGAGATTTGGAATCAGCACCCTGAAATTAGTCTAGAACAGCTGCAAAAGTCCCGGCCAGAATTTTTTTTTTTGTTGACCAGTGTAATATTTAATTTGTCGATGGACGAGACGAAGAAGTCGACCTTCGTGGAGATGGAGCGATGAGTCCGGCCAATTAGAGGGATTGTTGCCATCAAGGGGACCGTGACGCATGGTGACGACTTGGGGTGGCCCTCAGCCAGCGCTATTGTTCTTCGAGGACAATGGAAACCCTCCATGTGGGTGCGCGCTTGAACGACGGGGCATTCTGCTCCGCCGCTAAGTGAACGAGTCTTGAACAGCCGAATGGAGTTCAGAAGAAGTCGCAAACGGCTCGTTGTGAAAGACCCAACGCAGAAGATCCCTGGGGTTCTTTAATTTTCCACGAAGCTGCTCACGGTCCACCCTGAACCGCATCCACTTCACAAACCACGGCAGGAGATGCGGATACCCTGATGCAATATTCAAATATGCTCAAAATGTCCCCCCCAATATATTGCTATAAAATACATTTCTGTTCATACGGACACATTAATCTATTGGTGGTCTGGTCCACTTCGTTCCTACCAGTATAAAGTACAACCATAACCACAATCATATGATAAAATACATTTCTGTTTATATGATTGTGGTTATGGTTGTACTTTATTAATCCCTAATCTCTACCATACAATGAAACAAGAAAAGGTAAAAAAAAAAAACAGAGCAATGTAATACAATTCACTGTTAGACATTATTGTAAACAATGAATAAGAATAAGATTTGGTCCCAACCAATGTTGACTCCATGGCCTTGCCCTGATGCACAAATGGCAATGCGGCTGTGGTCATCCTGAACACGCCGTAGCACAAGGTGTGACGACGCAATGGAACGATCCACAAAAATAAATCAACGGCGATCCTCCACTCGGCTGGCTCCTGACTGGGTTGTCTGCTGCCTTGACCACCACCTGCATGTGACGTTGTTGCTGCTGTTGTTGTTGTTGCTGCTGTTGTTGCCCTGCATCGAACATCAGCAGCTGTACGACCAAGAGAAGAAGTGAGAGTCTCCACCACACCTCACCCCCACCCCTCACCCCCCTTATCAACACCCCCCCCCTCACCCCCCCCTCACCCCCACCCCTCACCCCCCTTATCAACACCCCACCCCTCACCCACCCCCATCCCTCACCCCCCCACCCCTCACCCCCCCCTCACCCCCCCACCCCTCACCCCCCCTCACCCCCACCCTCACCCCCCCTCACCCTCACCTCCCTTATCAACACCCCACCCCTCACCCCCCCCTCAGCCCCACCCCTCACCCCCCCACCCCTCACCCCCCCTTCACCCACACCCCTCACCCCCCTTATCAACACCCCCCCCCATCCCTCACCCCCCCCCCATCCCTCACCCCCCCTCTCCCCCACCCCTCACCCCCCTTATCAACACCCCACCCCTCACCCACCCCCATCCCTCACCCCCCCCCACCCCCCCACCCCTCACCCCCCCTCACCCCCACCCTCACCCCCCCTCACCCCCACCCCTCACCTCCCTTATCAACACCCCCCCCACCCCCCAATCCCTCACCCCCCCACCCCTCACCCCACCCCCCCTCACCCCCCACCCCGCACCTCCACCCCTCACCCCCCCACCCCCCCCACCCCTCACCCCCCCACACCCCCCACCCCCCCCGACAACCTCAAGTGTCACGTGACGCTACTGTATTTAAAGGGCGAGACGACGACGCCACGTGTGAAGCCACGTGCCGGCGTCCAACAGCTGCACTCGCATACAGTGCGTTACCATAATGCAGTGCGCTCCTACACACAACACTCCTACACACAACACCACTCCTACAGACACAACACTCCTACACACAACACTCCTACACACAACACTCTTATACACAACACTCCTCCTACACACAACACTCCTACAGACACAACACTCCTACACACAACACTCCTACACACAACACTCCTATACACAACACTCCTCCTACACACAACACTCCTATAGACACAACACTCCTACAGACACAACACTCCTACACACACAACACTCCTACACACAACACTCCTACACACAACACTCCTATAGACACAACACTCCTATAGACACAACACTCCTACACACAACACTCCTCCACACAAAACTCCTATACACAACACTCCTATAGACAACACTCCTATAGACAACACTCCTACACACCACACTCCTATAGACACAACACTCCTATAGACACAACACTCCTATAGACACAACACTCCTATAGACACAACACTCCTATAGACACAACACTCCTATAGACACAACACTCCTATAGACACAACACTCCTATAGACACAACACTCCTACACACAACACTCCTACACACAACACTCCTACACACCACACTCCTATAGACACAACACTCATACACACAACACTCCTATAGACACAACACTCCTATAGACACAACACTCCTACACACAACACTCCTACAGACACAACACTCCTACAATGCTGCACTCCGCCACGCCCGTGTGACGGTGTTGTGCGTCAACGTTGGGCACTGCACCAGCAATGGATGTCTCGAGCAAGCCCTGCTCACTCCTGCTTTGTGGTTGCCACTCGTGCCTGCTGAAGTCCCCCACTCCCAGGAGGAAGGCCGGTGTGACCGATGGGATCTTGTCGGACATTTATGTTTAATGTGGAGTGGGGGGCAGATACGTGAGGGATTCGTATTGTGTGTTTTTGTGTTGCATGTAATCTATAATGATTCGAGTTTGTATTATGATACACGCTTTGAATCCGGTACATTGCCAGGTGACGCTGTGCTTGATGATACCGGTGGGTTTCATTGTGGTTTCGAAAGTTTAGCGTTCTGATAATGATAATGCTGCAAGGGTTATGACTTGCAATGTCAGAGTCGGATAGGCTGCAGGAATCCGACCAACTGTGACGTTATTTTCCACGGATGTCCGTCAATGTGCCTCAATCATTGCGGGCAACTAAGACCGTGAGAATGACATCCGTGCTCTCGGATGTTGAACGAGTGGGGGGTGGGATGGCACTTCGAAAGAGACGGAGATTAGAACCCCCTCGACCTTCTTCAGGGCCCAGCAGTCTCCACGCTGCTGCTGCACTCACTGCACACACACACACCCCGCGGTGGAAGTGTTTTTTAAATACTTTATATTAAGTTCGCTTGCTTGCGTGCTTGCTTGCTTGCTTACGACCGTGCAAATCTTTCGGTCGTTTTGTAACCCACTTCCCGTGATCCAATCGAGCTGACATTTTCCACACAGACTCGTTGTGTGTGACAATTAATTTTCGTGAAAATGTTACACTGTTTAGGGAAAACAAATTCAACATTTAATTACCAATTGCTTAATACTGGCAGACAATCATCTGACCCATAGATTGCAGCCATCTCAAGCCAGAGGACGAGAGGACTCTAGCCGCCACGCATATAAAGGATTTAGAGTGAAAAACTTTGTTTTTACGGGTTTACTTGTTTGGTGTCTTTGTCAACCTTCTGTGACCCCCCCCCCCCCTCCTACACACGGCACGAGTGAACGGTGACATCCGTGGCATGAACGAGCACGTGGTGGTGGTGGTGGTGGTGATAGCGACGATGTTCGACGGCTTTCTGTGTGTGTATGAGCCATCGCGTGAGCAGGCGAAGACCATCGGCTCGCTTGACCCACAAGCGGCCACCGCCGTCGCCCGTGGTGCCATCACAGAACTGTCACAACGAGGGATCTCGACAGGGCCTTCCCGAAGTCCGTGACCTTCTGACACCGGTACTGTACGGCAATGAGCCTTGCTCGTGGCAGGAGGGGACTTGTATCCACTCGTTGTGGAGCCTGCACTGTACTTGTTGCTGTTATTGTTTGTTCATCGATTTGAGCACGTGCTCTAATGCCGACAGCCCCCAAAACACATTCCTCCTGCAGAGGGAGCTGGTAGGGACGTTGGGTTGCTCGGTCAATGGCCTGCAGGGTCAACGGCGGCGTGGTGTATTCCGCAAATATGGCCGACTGTGAGGGCGGGCACAAGCCGGCGTGAGTAGGTTAAACGTTGTGTTTTATAAGGGCACCACGGGATGACCAGCCCCTCCCCACCCTCCCCTCCCCACCCAGCCCCTCCCCACCCTCCCCTCCCCACCCAGCCCCTCCCCTCCCCACCCTGCCCTCTCCACCCAGCCCCACCCCTCCCATTTTTGGATGCACGACGGACGGACGTACACAATAATCCCCTGTGGGCTGGTGTAACCAGGAGGCTCCTACCAGTAAGAGGTTCATTTGAACGAGCCGGCCGAGCCGATCTGCCGTCTCCATCACAATTGAAAGGACATCTTACTAAGGGGCTGCCCGGTAAATGTGGAACATTCGGCCATTGTTTGTCCAACAGTTCAAACCAGATGCCAAACGTTTTCCCAACGTTCCCTGTTTTCTACTGGGTGTACATTTCGGCCACATTTACGGACGAGAAGTGTTGTATAAGGTAGAACCTATCCCCTACTGTGCGGCAGCAGCACTGACATATCACATATTCGTGATTTACAAAGCGATCCCAATATCAGGCAAGATGAGATTTTATAAAAAATTACGTATGCAACAAATATGCAAAAACATTTCCGATGTACACGTCATCCAAATGTTTCACAAATAGATTATTTAAAAATTCTATGGGTTTTACCCTTTCTGGCAAAAAAACAGGTGTTAAGATGATGTTGACAACGTATACATTCCTTTTGCAAGGAATCAAGTCTGTATTAACCACACGTGGTGACACATGGTGTTTGAGTATCTTAACACCCATACTCTTTGGTTCTTTCGGTAAAGTCACGTAGGTAGAAAATAAAATAAATCGCGACGTTTTGGGCGCAACACAAGCGTCCGTCATTAGGTGGGAAAGCACGGTCTGCTGCTGAGGCAGACTGTTTTAAAAGATGTGAAATGGGTGTAGCCCAAGGGTCATAAAGAAGTGGCCTGGGCTAGTGATGTTAATGTGAGAAATTAGCATGTAACTGTAAGATAGGATGAGAGTGGCCTCCTGGACGAGGGCACAGAAGTGGCTATGTTAATGTGAGAGATTAGCATGATGTTAATGTGAGAGATTATCGTGATGTTAATGTCAGAGATTATTTTCTACCCACGTGACTTTACCGAACGAACCAAGAGTATGGATTCCTGCAGTCACGAAAGCTTGAAATCTTAACACCTGTTTTATTTGGTTTGACACGGAGGCTTTCGCGACCAATATTATTCATAATAAAAGTTCTTGGGTTAGATTGCGGAAGTATAAATGTGTCGTAACCCACCACCACCCGACACAGCCAACCAGTAAAGTTTCTCACGTAAACAAAACGATTTGCCAAGAATTACCAGCGAGACGTCGTACTCAAATTGTAAATATTGTGCATTTACTCTCCAACACACCGGTGGGCTGAAGTAGTAACTAATTACATAGCCTTTTGAAGAATGCTGACTAATGGCTCGCCATTTGCCTCCTGTCAATGCATCGTCGATCTATGGATTTATATTTTCCATTACGCGTCGAACTCAAGGTTTTCAACAGTAGACTTCGAATCGTTGAAAGTTGTGCGGAGTTCTTACACTCGAGATAATTGAGAAAGCTAGAGAGAAGGACCGCTATAAAGTATATCTTTTTAATGATAGGTTTTTACCCTTTCAACTGGTACAAAATCTGACACCTTTATACAAGGCATCATGGTGTGGACCAATCAACTTCAAGGACAGTGCATATCATTATCATCAGAGTTGTTTCTTTTTGTTTGCATTTTGACTGCTTGTGTTGTGGTTATTCCAAACATGATGCCTTGTATAAAGGTGTCAGTTTTTGTACCAGTTGAAAGGGTACAAACCTATCACTATATTTTGCCACTGGTAAAGGAGGTCTCATAGTATATCGTTTTAACTTTAGGCGCTTTTGTCAATTACTGCTGAATTAAGGCAGTTTGACCATACGTCACCACGCTGGCCAGTGCAGGCTGGCTGAGGCTACAGTGGTGGAATACGTTCAGTCGATGAATTGGATGCATCTTCAGTGGTGTAGCGGTTGGCGCTCGCTGCATTACGAACCCGGCAACCCGAGTTCGATTGCCACTTCCAGCCCAACACCGGTGACGAATGTCTGCACCGGTCCAGGGCCTTAGGTCAGCTCGACCTTAAATGAGTACCTGGTGCGGCTGATAAACCTCAGCACTGGGGAGGCAAAGACGACCGGGCGTGGTGTTAATCACCCGCCCACCCCCTCGTGCGCCGTGCCGGCCTTCATCGGTACCCGCGCACAGCACTGGGCCCCAACAGTCTATTCAAGAGGCCCTACGGGGTGGAGGGGAGGCAGGGATGAACGTTGTTGTCTGTTGAACTTCCTTTGCACCATACGTAGGCGAGCGTTCTAATCTGTGCGTCGTTGCGGCACTTTGTGAGATCGGCGAGAAGGAGGCGGCGATGGCGTCTCCGCTGGGGGTCGGGGGTCAGGCGCACGACCCCGACGAGGTGACGCTGCCCTACGCGTCCGTGCAGCGCCTCGTGGGCGAGCTGGTGCCGTGCCTGCGCCTGACGGCGGGCGCACGGGACCTGCTGCGCGTGGCGTGCACGCGCTTCGTGCGCCACGTGTCCAGCGAGGCGAACACGGCGTGCGCGCACGCGCAGCGCAAGACCATCTCCCCCGAGCACGTGATCCAGGGTACACACGGATCCAGCACTGGGGCACTGTGTGTGTAACACTGTGTGTGTGTGTAACACTGTGTGTGTGTGTGTGTAACACTGTGTGTGTGTGTGTAACACTGTGTGTGTGTGTGTAACACTGTGTGTGTGTGTGTAACACTGTGTGTGTGTGTGTAACACTGTGTGTGTATGTAACACTGTGTGTGTGTGTGTGTAACACTGTGTGTGTGTGTAACACTGTGTGTGTGTGTGTGTAACACTGTGTGTGTGTGTGGGGAGCGGTAGTGTAGCGGTTAGCGCGCTGCGCTATGAACCCGGAGACACGGGTTCGATTCCCGCTCACGGCCAACACCAGTGACGATTATCTGAACCGGTCCTGGGCCTCCCCTAGGTCTACTCAGCCTGAAATGAGTACCTGGTGTGGTGTGTAAACATCGCCACTGGGGAGACATAGGCGGTCGGGCGTGGTGCTGGCCACCCACCCCGTGTGCCGTTCCGGCCTTCATAGGTGCTCGCTAACAGCACTTGCCCCTACAGTCTGTTAAGGCTATATGGGGAATCTTTGTCTTTGTATAACACTGGGGAGCGGTGGTGCAGTGGTTAGCGCACTCCGGTACGAATTCCCCGACCCGGATATCTGAACCGGTTCTCATCCTTCCCTAGGTCAACTCGGCCTTAAATCGGCACTGGTGAGAAAACAACGGCTGAAAATGTTGTTTGGCCACTCGCCCTCTCGGGTGCCATGCCGGTCTCAGTAGCCGCTCGCAAACAGCACTCGCCCCCACCAGTCTGCTGGTCTTGACGCGAGAGCGGTGTGTGTATGCGCGCGCGTGCGTCCATCTAGCGCTGGAGCGTCTGGGTCTGGCGGGCAGCATGGGCGAGCTGCGCGCGTGCCACGCGGAGTTCCGAGCGCTGGCGCTGTCTCGCCGCCGCGCCACCCGCCGCCTCGAGGCGCTCGGCGTGCCGGAGCCGGAGCTGCTGCGCCAGCAGCAGGCGCTCATCGAGCAGGCGAGAGGCGCAAGCTGTTTACCGCCCCCCACCTCCGCCCGACCCGTTCCCTGCAGGGCGCGTGCGGTTCCATCGTTTACACTCGAGTATTTAGCACGTTCTGCCGAGTGGCACTCCGTCGTTATGCTCCCGTGCGAGGAGGCCCACTAATAAGGCAACGGGAAGCAACCCCTCCGCTTTATGAGCAGCGTCATGGCCCTCGGGGTTGGCGTGAATGCGGTCGTGTTCGCATGGCGCTGCATGTGCAACACGAGTCTGTGTGTGCTCACCCTTTCCCGTTCCGAGACGACTGCAAGTTGCAGGCTGTGGTCTCCGTTCACTGATGAATCTCGGAACGCGTAAGCGGTTGGCTTTGATTTCATTTGGAGAGGCGGCGGAGCAGCGCCGTTGTTTTTAAAGACATTGTACTCACCGTAGAGAACTGTAGCGACACGACCGCTCTCAACAATCGCTGGCGCCAAACTGTGCCACGCGCCCTCCCGCATGGCCTTGTGGGAGCCTCGGTACCGATAAAGTGATTTTATTTTCGTTTTTCTGCTGGTTAACGTACATGACGACGTACATGTACGCCATCAGAATGGGGAAACAGCTGACGCCGTTATCACAGCACCAGGAGCACAGAACTCTCCTTTAGCTGCAAGCGGTCACGTCTCAGAATGTTGTGATCAACACGGCAAATGTTAATGGTGTAAAGGAGTACACAGCAAGGTGGAGCCTAGGGTCGGGCTCTTTATTAAGCCAAGCACACCACGGCGCTTCTCGCAAGCAGAATCACAAAGGCAAAATTAGTCTTCGGGCCCTAAAAGTTCTCAACACATCCTCCCCTCTCCTGGCCAATGCCACTTGAATCTCCCCAAGGGGTTTGTATTAACGGACCCCAGTTCACCACTTGAATCTCCCCAAGGGGTTTGTTTTAACGGACCCCAGTTCACCACTGGAATCTCCCCAAGGGGTTTGTTTTAACGGACCCCAGTTTACCACTTGAATCTCCTCAAGGGGTTTGTTTTAACGGACCCCAGTTCACCACTTGAATCTCCCCAAGGGGTTTGTTTTAACGGACCCCAGTTCACCACTTGAATCTCCCCAAGGGGTTTGTTTTAACGGACCCCAGTTCACCACTTGAATCTCCCCAAGGGGTTTGTTTTAACGGACCCCAGTTCACCAATTGAATCTCCCCAAGGGGTTTGTTTTAACGGACCCCAGTTCACCAATTGAATCTCTCCAAGGGGTTTGTTTTAACGGACCCCAGTTCACCAATTGAATCTCCCCAAGGGGTTTGTTTTAACGGACCCCAGTTCACCACTTGAATCTCCCCAAGGGGTTTGTTTTAACGGACCCCAGTTCACCACTTGAATCTCCCCAAGGGGTTTGTTTTAACGGACCCCAGTTCACCACTTGAATCTCCCCAAGGGGTTTGTTTTAACAGACCCCAGTTCACCACTTGAATCTCCCCAAGGGGTTTGTTTTAACGGACCCCAGTTCACCACTTGAATCTCTCCAAGGGGTTTGTTTTAACAGACCCCAGTTCACCAATTGAATCTCCCCAAGGGGTTTGTTTTAACGGACCCCAGTTCACCAATTGAATCTCCCCAAGGGGTTTGTTTTAACAGACCCCAGTTCACCACTTGAATCTCCCCAAGGGGTTTGTTTTAACGGACCCCAGTTCACCACTTGAATCTCTCCAAGGGGTTTGTTTTAACAGACCCCAGTTCACCACTTGAATCTCCCCAAGGGGTTTGTTTTAACAGACCCCAGTTCACCACTTGAATCTCCCCAAGGGGTTTGTTTTAACGGACCCCAGTTCACCACTTGAATCTCTCCAAGGGGTTTGTTTTAACGGACCCCAGTTCACCAATTGAATCTCCCCAAGGGGTTTGTTTTAACAGACCCCAGTTCACCACTTGAATCTCCCCAAGGGGTTTGTTTTAACGGACCCCAGTTTACCACTTGAATCTCCCCAAGGGGTTTGTTTTAACAGACCCCAGTTTACCACTTGAATCTCCTCAAGGGGTTTGTTTTAACAGACCCCAGTTTACCACTTGAATCTCCTCAAGGGGTTTGTTTTAACAGACCCCAGTTTACCACTTGAATCTCTCCAAGGGGTTTGTTTTAACAGACCCCAGTTCACCACTTGAATCTCCCCAAGGGGTTTGTTTTAACGGACCCCAGTTTACCACTTGAATCTCCCCAAGGGGTTTGTTTTAACAGACCCCAGTTTACCACTTGAATCTCCTCAAGGGGTTTGTTTTAACAGACCCCAGTTTACCACTTGAATCTCCCCAAGGGGTTTGTTTTAACGGACCCCAGTTCACCAATTGAATCTCCCCAAGGGGTTTGTTTTAACGGACCCCAGTTTACCACTTGAATCTCCCCAAGGGGTTTGTATTAACGGACCCCAGTTTACCACTTGAATCTCCCCAAGGGGTTTGTTTTAACGGACCCCAGTTCACCACTTGAATCTCCCCAAGGGGTTTGTTTTAACGGACCCCAGTTCACCAATTGAATCTCCCCAAGGGGTTTGTATTAACGGACCCCAGTTCACCACTTGAATCTCCCCAAGGGGTTTGTATTAACGGACCCCAGTTCACCAATTGAATCTCCCCAAGGGGTTTGTTTTAACAGACCCCAGTTCACCAATTGAATCTCCCCAAGGGGTTTGTTTTAACGGACCCCAGTTCACCAATTGAATCTCTCCAAGGGGTTTGTTTTAACAGACCCCAGTTCACCAATTGAATCTCCCCAAGGGGTTTGTTTTAACGGACCCCAGTTCACCAATTGAATCTCCCCAAGGGGTTTGTTTTTACAGACCCCAGTTCACCAATTGAATCTCCCCAAGGGGTTTGTTTTAACAGACCCCAGTTCACCAATTGAATCTCTCCAAGGGGTTTGTTTTAACGGACCCCAGTTCACCACTTGAATCTCTCCAAGGGGTTTGTTTTAACGGACCCCAGTTCACCACTTGAATCTCCCCAAGGGGTTTGTTTTAACGGACCCCAGTTCACCACTTGAATCTCCCCAAGGGGGTTTGTATTAACGGACCCCAGTTCACCAATTGAATCTCTCCAAGGGGGTTTGTCTTAACGGACCCCAGTTTACCAATTGAATCTCCCCAAGGGGGTTTGTATTAACGGACCCCAGTTCACCAATTGAATCTCTCCAAGGGGGTTTGTCTTAACGGACCCCAGTTTACCAATTGAATCTCCCCAAGGGGGTTTGTGCTCTTCACCTTCCCTGGCAAATCAAAGGCGAGCGACTCGCACTGCGCTAGTCAGGTCGAACGCTCAGCGAGCGGCCGATCGTTGCAAGCGAGTGTAAACCTCGCGCCTCGCAAGCCCCTGTCCGTGACAGCGGGCAATGGGGAAAATTATTCTCCGCATTCAATTGATCAGTCGTTAACCTGTCGTGGGCTGGAGTGTTCTCACAATTGATGAATTGGGTAAGGTTCGTGTGACCGCTTACATGCAGCTCACATTTGTCTACTCAAAATTCGCCGTATGCGGTTTGAATTCACTCGTACGCGGCTATGCGGTCGGACGTGGTACAACATTGTGTGGCCTGAATGTGCTATGCGGCAGGTTATATGGTTGGACGTGGTACAACATTGTGTGGACTGAATGTGCTACCCAACAGGCTATGCTGTCGGACGTGGGACAACGTTGTGTGCTGTATGTACTGTGTGTGCCATGTGCTACTACTCGGCACGCAGCGGTCTCGTGCGGTTTCGCTTTGTGCGCCGTTTTATTGGAACGCATCTAGCGGACGAAGCGAGGGGAACCTGCACTCGAGTCCTGGGCGATTCTGTCTGGGTGGCGGTGCGTCTTGGCGCCCTATGCACAATTAGAACGGCGTGAGTTTAAATCTCAGCTGAGGGTAAATTCAGCCGATCATCCCTCCTGGGGGTTGATACACTCAGTGATTCTTCGTGTTTTGTCGTGAGAATTCAAAGTGGTGGCTATCCAGCAAACTGGTCCATACCGTCTACCTGGTGAACATGGAACATCGGGCTGACGTTTGGCGATCGTTTTTCCAACAGTTCCAACCACATGTTTGCCCAACGTGAATGTTTACAAGGTTAATGACATTTTCCCTGCCAGCTCAGGACTGCCAATGAGTTGGATGAGCTGTGTACACACGTGTTTTGAAGTAAAAAAAAAATATCCTTGGAACATTGATTTATAATCCCTGGACCATTGATGCAACAAGTGCATTGACCTTCAAGTTGACCATGCATAATGATAATTGTTTGAGCAAGGTCAGTTAATCCAATGCAGGCCATGGACTCGTGTGTATGTATGTTGAACTTCTTTTGCACCGTACATAGCCAACCGTGCTAATTGGAGGTGCGGGGAACTTGTGTGTGTGCCTGCGTGTGTGTGTGCGCAGACCGCGGACACGTGTGCGTGCCTGCGTGTGTGCAAGCTACGGACTCCTGCCTGTCTGCGTGTGTGAGTGTCTTTGTGTGTTTGCGTGTTTGTGCGTGTGTTTGCGTGTGTGCGTGTCTGAGTGCGTTTATACGTGTCTCCGTGTGTGTGAGTGTCTTTGTCTGCGTGTGTGCGTGTTCATATGTGTTTGCGTGTGTGCGTATGTACGTGTGTCTGTCTGTGTGCGAGTGTCTTTGTCGTGTGTCTGTGTGTGTGTGTGTGCGCAGGCCCGGCAAGAGCAGACAGAGGTGGCTCAGCGCGACTGGCTGCAGATCCAGTGCGCCGCCGAGCAGGCCCAGCGCACCTCCACCGCGGACAGCCCCGGCGAGTCATCGGGGACCGAATTTGTCATCGACGAGGACGACGATGATGACATCACAGACGACTAGACTGTGATGTCATCATTGTGAGCGAGGGAACTGGGCTGCGTGATACCGAGTCGGTTTTTTCTTTCGTTAATTTTGTTAGTATGAGCTTTCGAATGTCTGACCGGGACGTGACGTCCAACACGGCGCTGGTTTTCTCGTGCAGCGCCGCTCGACGCGATCGTTTGCGTATTACCCGTAGGGAATTTAACCGTCGGATAATTGCAAAGCAGCTCATCGGTGTGAGGCAAGCGTGACGTTCGCTCAATACACGCGCGGTGTCTCTCGTGAAGCAAGACTCGGCGAACACGAGTGCAGTCGAGAAGGTAGAGACAAGGAGACACGGGTGGCTCGATAGAGATCACTGGTAGGATGGTCTAAACATGACAAACGGTGAAAGCATAACACTCATTCGTGATGACCAATGAAATTGCACGTAGGGAGGGTAAATTGTCACATGCTTAATGTTTACTCGGTGATTAGTCACGAACCGTTCGCTGAACAAGCACTAAGAGACTGGCGCACGCATGCCTGTAGACACATGGGGGTGTGTACGTATGTCTGTAAAAAAGTAATAAATGAAAACCCACAAATACACAGAAATCTTTGGAAAAAAAAAACATGTGTTTTTTGTGCAGACGTCTTGCTTGAGTCACCGGATGGAGTGGCGCCACCCCAAATGCATTCACTTCCCTCTGCATTAAATCTACGTGACGTGCAGTCAACATTTGTGAAATACCCACCAAGGCCAAGTTGAGATTCCAATGGCAGTCCCCCTTTCAGTGACTTTCGCCTCCCTACAATGCATCAATCAGAGAATTAGCGCAGCTTCTGGCAGCGGTACTGGAAGTCATCTTGGTTCTTTTGGTAAAGTCACGTAGAAGGGAAATAATAAAATAATAAAAATAAAACAATAAAATACAATTGTATTTTATTATGTTTTATTTTTATTAATTTTTATTACTTTATTATTTCCCTTCTACGTGACTTTCCTGAAAGAACCAAGAAGATGAATCCCTGCAGTCACGAAAGCTTTAAATCGGTACTGGAAGTCTTCAGCGGGAGCGTTCCGATTGCATTCTTGCCCTTTGCTTTCACGTCTTGTGTCTTCACCGTCGCTTGTTCGGGGAGAGCGTGTTGCTCAATGCGTCTTCTTTCTGCCTCGGCCGCTTGTGTAAGTCCAGCAGTGTGGAGGCAGCAAGGGTTGGTGGGTCACGCGTGTTGAGAAACTCTCCGATGGTCGTCACGTTCAAGATGAGAACTAAAACAAGACTTGTTGAGCAGGGTCCTGTGTTGGGATGTTTGGCCAATTCCGTGCAAGGCCGTTTGGTAGGAAACCAGAGCACTTGGAGACTATGCATGTTGAGAACACTCAGAGCTCAACCCAAATTGACTCCTCAATACGTTGCTGTGGTGTCATCACGATACTACTTCTCTGGAATCTGCAACCAGGAATTTCCCCACCCACCTATTATTAGCGCTGAACACGTCCTCGGTCCGGTTTCACCTATCACCATCACTGAAGTGGAACAAGCTATCAAGAGAATGAAGAATGGGAAAGCGACTGGCCCAGACGATATCCCTGCTGAGGCCTGGAAGATCCTTGGCAGGCAGGGTGCTGCCCTCCTTACCCAGCTCTTCAGCACCATCACGAGCACCAGTGAGGTCCCAGAAGCCTGGTCGACCAGCACGACGGTTCCAATTTGGAAGGGTAAAGGGGACGTGGCAGAATGCTCGAATTACAGGCCAATCAGGCTCCTGTGTCATGTGATGAAGATCTTTGAGCGAGTTTTGGACACGAGGATTAGAAACATCATCACCCTATCACCCAACCAATGCGGCTTCGTCAAAGGATGTGGCACTACGGACGCCATATTCGCGGCGAGGCTCCTGCTGGAGAGGCACAGAGAGAAGAACAAAGCTGTGCACGTGTCGTTCCTCGACCTTGAAAAGGCATTTGACAGGGTCCCCCACGACCTCATCTGGCACTCGCTTCGATCCCATGGAGTCCCTGAAACCTACGTGCATTGGGTGCAACTCCTATACAAGAACGTCACCAGTGCAGTCAGGTGTGCAGTGGGCATATCACCGCCATTTGCCATCAGCGTTGGAGTGCACCAAGGATCGGCCCTGTCACCACTCCTGTTTATCCTGTGCATGGACACGATCACTGCCGACCTGCACACGCCCCTTCCATGGTCAATTCTCTACGCGGATGACGTCCTCCTCTCAGATGAAGAGAGAGGAGAAGTGGAAAGACAAACGCGCCTGTGGAAGGAACGTTTGGACGAAAACGGGATGAGGTTCAACATCAAAAAGACGGAGTATATGGAGTGTGGCCCCCAAACCGACGGCACCATCAGTATTGACGGAGAAGATCTGAAGAAAGTGACGGACTTTAAGTACCTGGGCTCCACCATCAGCTCAGATGGTAGCATCACGACTGATGTGAGGTCACGAGTCAATGCGGCGTGGATGAAATGGAGGCAAGTCACCGGAGTCCTCTGTGATCGGAAAATGCCGGATAGGCTGAAGGGAAAAATATACAAGACCATCGTCCGACCGGTGGCACTCTATGGATCCGAGTGCTGGCCAGCCACAACTGTACACGAACAAGCTCTCCACACCATGGAGATGAGGATGCTCAGATGGAGCCTCGGGCTCACTCGATGGGATCATGTCAGGAATGAAGACGTTCGGAAGCGACTTGGTGTGGCCCCCATTGCGGACAAGATGCTTGAGGCAAGGCTTCGGTGGTACGGCCATGTGATGCGAAGTGAAGAGTCATCAGTGGCCAAGACTGCCGTGCGTATTGAGCCAGAGGGCCGCCGTCCACGCGGACGTCCGAAGAAGCGATGGATGGACCGAATAAAGGAAGACATGAAGACGGTCAACGCATCCCCTGAAGATGCCCTGGACCGAGCCAAATGGAGAAGACAATGCCGAAAAGCGGACCCTGCGCCACAGCGGGAACAACGCTAGGAAGAAGAAGAAGAAGGTGTCATCACGATACTACTGCAGGTGTTCCCGCAAAAGAGACGGGTGAAAGTTTTGCATTCAAAGGCAAACATTTGTCATTCAAATGTTAGTGTGGACAAGCGCTGTTATCAAGCACATGCTGACACGGTCAGTTACGTTTTTTGAACGAGCGTGATCATGAAGCCGACAGCAGCTAGGGCTTGCTGCCATTTCCTATTGAATCGGAACATTGCTAGGACCTTTTTGCTTTATAAATTGTCTGCTTTGAATGTCCACACACACAGGCAACAATAACAGCACCTGTGCCAGCCTATATGCACTTTAAGGCGACGTGAAATGTCGAATGCCTTCTGGCAGGTCATGGACAGACCCGGGTGCCTTGGGTTGACTGGCCGATGCACCATCAGTGCCCTCTACAATGCTAACTTTCTGTGTTTTATCCGCCCGGCGCTCCACTCATTGTTGTGAGCGTCACTCCTCTGCCCTCCTTTGTTGCTGGAGGGCGGTTGCCTCCAACTGCCCCGTAGCATCCTTCACGATTCTCCTCCACAGAGGCCAATCTCGACACCGCTGGTACCAGTTATTGGCAAGTCCATGACCCAGCCAACGCAGCCTTGGCTCCTGGAGGAGCTCACCGATGGGGCTGTGTCGAGGATTTGTGAGCTCACAATCCAGCCTGGTTAAACCCCGGATTGATCGTAAGCATGCCAGCCTGAATGTTTCTAACTGTCGAAGATTAGAGGCTCCACATTTCGCAAGCATAGAGAAGGGAGGACATGACTGTGGCCCACAGAACCCGAAGCTTTGCATGGAGTGACAGACCCGGTAGCTTCCATACAGCGTTACATCGCCGATGAAAAGGTAATGCCGCTCGACTGATTCGGAGCGACACCTCTGCTGTCAAACTGGAGCTGGTTATATGTGGAGGATGTGGAATACATATTTTATTATTTAAAAAATATCGGAATATTTGCTTATACCGGAGGAATCTGATGAGCTATAAAGTTATTTTTCATAGATGACCAGTTAATCAACGCGCGTGTGTGGGGTGGGGTGTATAGGGGGTTCTATAATCTTAGATTATTTTGGTGCTCCAGCTCACTGGCTAGGTGGCGCTGGTCGGAGATGCAGCGGGCCCTATGGCGTAGTGTTTTTATGAGGGAGTTCTTCTGGGCCGGATGGTGGTGGGAGTCAGGCTTTAGATAGGAATCCGTGTGGGTGGCTTTCCTGTAGACGGAATGTCCCATTGAGCCATCAGGCCTCTTCTCGATCAAAACATCCAGGAATGGTAGCTTGCCATCATTTTCCACTTCCATGGTGAATTTGATGGATGGGTGCATGGAATTGATGCGGTTGAAAAACTGGTTCAGTGCTGTCTGGCCATGTGGTCAGATGACGAAAGTGTAATCTACGTATCTCATCCACAGGGAAGGACGTAGGGTGGATGTCAGGATGGCATCTGTTTCAAATTTCTCCATGAAAACATTCGCTACCACTGGTGATAAGGGAGAACCCATAGGGGTACCTTAATTTTGTTTGTAGAATGTACAAACAATACTGCACGTAAATAATAGTACGCAAATAATACTGTACATACATAATATATAAATAAGTCAATGATGCAAAAGGATTCGTGGCTAATGAAAACTGCGGTGTTACATCATAATTAATACACTTACTGTGTTAATTATAATAAAATTGTGCAATATCTATGACAAAATGCGAACGTTACACTTAATACAACATTACCACTTTACTTAACAGAGTTAACGCGGCAACATTTGTATTGACTTCTGTTGATTTCCACTGTAGCAACAACCTACCGTGCACTTAATATAACGATATGGCTTCATCATTATTGTATAACTTCACAGCTTCACTCTACATTCATGATAAGTGCTATGTTGGTGTTAGATCGCGTACATTTAAGGATGTACACCCACCTCCACCCGACACAGGCAATTAGTAAGGTTTGGCACGTGAACAGAACGTGCCAATTATAGTTTAACGTCATACTTCAGCACCACCTGTGTGCTGGAGAGCAAAACCCACGCCGTTTACAATTTCAGTTTTACGACGTTTCGCTGGTTCGAGTCACCGGCGTGCTGAGGTTGTAACACATCAGAGTGTCGCTCAAAACAAGCCGTGGGAAAACGGCTTGATGCTTTGCGAAACATGGAACGTCTCTGTTGCTGGTTTGAAAACATGTCAGGCTGCCTTGCCAACGATCCGTCCTGGGTTTAACCAGACTTGGATTGTGTGAGGAGCTCACAGATCATCGAACAATCTGGACACAGTGCCGGATTATCCAAGTAGCAAAAGTAGCTACATGTGGAGTAGCTACATGTGTAGTAGCTACTACATTTGTAGCTGCTACATATGTAGTAGCTACATGTGTAGTAGCTACACGTGTAGTACCTGCACGTGTAGTACCTGCACGTGTAGTAGCTGCACGTGTAGTAGCTACTACATGTGTAGTAGCTACCAGAGGTGGGACAAAGTCATTGTTATGCAAGTCCAAGTCGAGTCTGAAGTCATCAAATTCATGACTCGAGTCTGACTCGAGTCCAAGTCACATGACTCGAGTCCACACCTCTGGTAGCTACTACATGTGTAGTAGCTACTACATGTGTAGTAGCTACTACATGTGTAGTAGCTACTACATGTGTAGTAGCTACTACATGTGTAGTAGCTACTACATGTGTCGTAGTAGCGACGGGCCCCGCACTTTTAAGGGCCCCACGCTAAATACTTTCAAGCTATCAATTCCGGTTCCGTGATTCTGCACTGGCTCTTACTATAGTACTATACTGCCTTCAACTTTTATGAACTGGGTGTTTAAGGTTCGCGATTTGTCGTATTATCTGGCTGTATAGCAAATGAAAAAATACAATTACTCTATGTAATTTGTTTTAATATTTTTGTTTTTTTATTGAGGGCCCCTTTATAACATACACTACAGGCTCCGCACTAGCTTAATCCGGCACTGCTACAGCACCTGGATATTTGACACATCACGTGTTTCGGGAGTGCACCTAGCCTGGCACAAGCGCTGTTGCTGTTGTCGGATTCCTCCAGTCGAAACAGTCTCAACTAAACAATGTTTTATTTTACCAGCTAAGGCCCACTGAGCTGTTTCGCTCATTTTCAGAAGCGACATGGCCACAAATATTAGCTCAACGAAGTGGCTTATCACGTGCACATTTACAGCAGGAGCCAAATACAGATGGTCCCCGAGTTACGATGGTCCGACTTAAGACATTTCGATCTTACGATGGCTATATCGATACGACAAAATTGTAAAATATTTAAAATTTCGCGTGGCAGGCAAACGCAGCAGCACGATTTTCTGTACGTTGGGACGCTGCCGGGATGTCACGCATCTCACGCCTTTCTATTAAATTGCAGTTCATATCGGTAGGCTAAGAATTTACCTTTTTTAACTTTACATTTTACTGTGCAATACAGTATTGTAATTAATAAATACACACAGTATATAGTGTATACAGTACGGTACTGTTAATTGCTCTGTTTTGCTAGATTATCACCATTCTGTAAGACTCCTGGGTAGGCTAGGCCATCTTCGACTTGCGATATTTTTGACTTACGACGGGGTATTCGTAACGCATCTCCATCGTAAGTCGAGGACTGTACTCTAAACGCGTGGTGATGTTGATTCTGAATGTGGAGGGAAAACCGGAGGACCCGGAGAAAAATCGGGGCGACCACGGCGAGAGATAAAGAACCAATGTAGACTCCAAATATACAGCAGCAGCAGGCGTCAAGGTCGGGATCGAACCCACGACCTCCTGCATACCAGGCGAGGTAGTTAACATCTCCTAGCCACCGCGGCGCCCTGATCCCGATTGTTGGTGGTTGTTGTTGTTAGTGGTGGTTGTTGTTGGTGGTGGTTTTTGTTGTTGGTGGTGGAGAGTGGAAGAACCTGGCGATTCCCACTCACGGCTAACACCGGTGACGATCATCTGAACCGGTCCTCGGCCTCGCCTAGGTCGACTCAGCCTCAAATGAGTACCTGGTGTGCAAGCATCACTACGAGGGAGACAAAGGCGGCCGGGCGTGGTGCTGGTGGTCGATGTCACTGGATTCACAGCCCCCACCACTCACCACCCCCACCTCGCTCCCCGCGTCGCACTCAATCAGGGCTGACGTCACGACTGTGTCTTGATGACGTCACGTTTTGGCGCGATTGCGTCACGGCGGTGGTGCCGCCTCGAGAGGGGGCGGGCTGCGTACGTGATGACGTCACGATACTGATTGGCTCTTCTGCGATGCCGTCAGGAAGCGGTTAGCTTTATTGAGATGACGTCACGAAAGTGGAGGACTGATGCGATGACGTCACAACAGTGGTTGGTTTGTTGTGATGACGTCACGACAGTGGATGGCGCTCTGATGATGACGTCACGACAGCGGTTGGCTCTGTTGTGATGACGTCACGACAGTGGTTAAAATCAGTCACGATGACGTCACGACAACGGTTGGCTTTGTTGCGATGACGTCAAGACAATTTTTGACTGTTGCGATGGCGTCACGACAAAGGTTGGCTCTGTTACGATGACGTCACGCCAGTGGTTGTCGTCTGTTACGATGACGTCATGACAGTTGTTGACTGTTGCGATGGCGTCACGACAGTGGTTGGCTCTGTTGTGATGACGTCACGACAGTGGTTAAAATCAGTCACGATGACGTCACGACAACAGTTGGCTTTGTTGCGATGACGTCATGACAGTTGACTGTTGCGATGGCGTCACGACAGTGGGCTGACTTAATTGCGATGACGTCACGACAGCGGTTGGCTCTGTTGTGATGACGTCACGCACCCCCCCCCCATGCGCGGAGACGGCCACGTGACTGCGGGCGGGGACGTCACGCGCGAGGAGTCGCGGCGAGTGACGCGGCCGGCAGAGGAACAAGTTCAGAGGCGGCCGCCTCCACCAGCAACCTCGTCCACCAACCTCGTCCACCTCGTCCTGCTCCACCTCCTGCTCCACCACCACCAACCTCGTCCTCCACCACCTCCTGCTCCACCACCAGCGTCTCCACCACCACCACCACCTCGTCCGACTGCTGCTGTCCGTGTCGCCCGGGCGCTGAGCGCCTCCTCTTGGTCGCGGGCTCCGTGAGGGAACTCGCCCCCCCCCACCCCCACCTCGTCACCCGTCACCCCCCCCACACCTCGCCCCCCCCCCTACCTCGTCCCCCCCCACCCACCCCCCAACTCGTCACCCCCCCCACCCCCCACCTCGTCACCCCCCACCCCCCACCCCCCCCTCGCCCCCCCCCCCACCTCGTCCCCCCCCACCCACCCCCCACCTCGTCCCTCCCCCACCCACCCCCCACCTCGTCCCCCCCCACCCTCCACTTACCCCCCACCTCGTCCCCCCCCCCACCTCGTCTCTGGCTGCGGCAGCAGCAGCGGCAGCAGCTGCGGCGGCGATGGAGTCGGGGAGTCGAGGCCGCGCACCGGGGCCAGCGGCGGCGCGGGAGACGTGAGGGGAGACCCCGGCCAGAGACATGGGCTCCAGACTCAGGTACTCAGAGACTCAGGTACTCAGGTACTCAGAGACTTAGGTACTCAGGTAGAGAGACATGGGCTCCAGACTCAGGTACTCAGAGACTCAGGTACTCAGGTACTCAGAGACTTAGGTACTCAGGTACTCAGGTAGAGAGACATGGGCTCCAGACTCAGGTACTCAGATACTCAGGTACTCAGGTACTCAGGTAGAGAGACTCAGGTACTCAGAGACATGGGCTCCAGACTCAGGTACTCAGATACTCAGGTACTCAGGTACTCAGGTAGAGAGACATGGGCTCCAGACTCAGGTACTCAGATACTCAGGTACTCAGGTAGAGAGACTCAGGTACTCAGAGACATGGGCTCCAGACTCAGGTACTCAGATACTCAGGTACTCAGACTCAGGTACTCAGAGACTCAGAGACATGGGCTCCAGACTCAGGTACTCAGATACTCAGGTACTCAGGTACTCAGACACAGAGACATGGGCTCCAGACTCAGGTACTCAGATACTCAGGTACTCAGACTCAGAGACATGGGCTCCAGACTCAGGTACTCAGACTCAGGTACTCAGGTACTCAGATACTCAGGAACTCAGACTCAGACTCAGGTAGAGAGACTCAGACTCAGGTACAGAGACTCAGGTAGAGAGACTCAGACTCAGAGACTCAGGCTCAGGTAGAGAGACTCAGACTCAGACTCAGAGACTCAGACTCAGAGACTCAGACTCAGAGACTCAGACTCAGAGACTCAAACTTTGAGACTCAGAGACTCAGACTCAGAGACTCAAACTCAGAGACTCAGACTCAGAGACTCAGACACAGAGACTCAGACTCAGAGACTCAAACTCAGAGACTCAGACTCAGAGACTCAGACACAGAGACTCAGACTCAGAGACTCAGGTACAAGGACAGGTTGAGAGGGGCGTTGCTACCTGTGAATTGCTCGGCTGTGGTTGTGGGGCACGGTGCTTGTGACTTGCGGTTTTGAGAGAGAATCTTTTTTATTGAAGATCGCGTGCTGTCACTTGCGAGAGTAGGCACGGCGTCATCGTCAACAGTGAACAAATACAATGTCAACGCCACAAATTACTAAATTGAAATCTACGTCGCAATCATCCCCCCCTACTGGGAAAACTTAGCAGCATCCTGGGTAGACAAGTTCTAAAAATTATGAAAATAATATTGTAGAATATTTGTGTGTGTGCGTGTGTGTGTGATATCGGTTATTGTTGTTGATGTTGACAGTGGTGATTGTGATATGTGGCCGTAGTGGTTGTGTGGATGTTTGTGATGGTCTTGGCACCTGGGTCTGTCAGCAAGCGAACCTTCGACAACTTCACGTGGCCTCAAAGTGCACCTGGCCTGGCACAGGTGGCTATGGGGCCCACATGCTCGTGCCGTCCTCTAATGAGTGCTGCGTTTGGCTACGTACGGTGCGAAGGAAGGTCAACGTACGTGCATTAACCTCCACGGGGAACTAGGAGCCGGCCCTGCTGAGATCGTGGGTTCACATCCTGGTTTCACACAGCGGTGTTTAGCCAGGTTGTCACGATCTAGTAATTCGATGGTTTCCATAGCATGAGATGTATTGCTGCGTTTGATTTCTTGTATACGTGTGATTTTTTTTCGGCTGTGTCTTTCACGAACGTATTTAGTATCACCGTCAACTATGGGCGACACGAAATAAAGACAATAGCGGCAATAACGTTGAGGATGTATATTGAATTAATAATTAATTCTAGATTAGAAGTTTTCGTGACTCCAAGGGTCCATACTCTGGTTTTTTCGATAAAGTCACGTGGGTAAAAAAGAAAGAAAATAAATAAATAAATAAATTTCTATCACGACATTTCAGAGGTTCAACCTGAAGACGGAAGCTTGTGTTGCCTCCGAAACGTGATTTAATTGATTTATTTTCTTTTTTTTACCTACGTAACTTTACCGAAAAAACAGAGTATGGATTAATAATTGTTAACTATACTGGTGGATATCAAACGTATACTACTCGTCAAACACAGCAACGAATATCGTCTGATATTTAGCTCCAAGGTGGCACATGGCTGCCAGATCGATCTCATCTATGACACATACTCTCGCTATCCTATCAGAATTGAATTTACACCACAGTTTATGCAATCCCCCCCCCCTTCCTTCCGCGTTTTAAATTCGGCACAAGCAAGCCGTGGTAAATCGACAACATTTACCTTCAGAATATTTATTGTACACGTTTGATCAGTGAACGTGTTTAATACTTAGTGATTTGATTTCATATAATGTCGATTCATTGAGGAAATAGTAAATAGGTTTGTTAGCATTTATTGTCGAAACAAAAACTTATATACTGTATTCTTGGTTCTTTCGGTAAAGTCACGGAGATAGAAAATAAAATTAAAATTAAATTAAATCTAATTAAAAATGATAAAAGAAATAACCTACGACATTTTCAATTTAATATTTTTACTTTGATTGAATTTTATTATTTTTTATTTATTTTCTATCTATGTGACTTTACCGAAAGAACCAAGAATATGATTTCCTGCAGTCACGAAAGTTTTAAGTCAAATTTATATCCTGTATATACATAAAATGAACATATGAACAAACATCATACCGTAGGTTTCATCCTGGTTAGCACAATTCGGTACCGCTGATGCATTGGCAGTTGTGCACAAGCACAACGATGAACTCGACGCACTCGTCAATAACACCGTGTGTGTATCCTTGAAAGGAAACATAATAGCCCACCGTAGGGCAATGGTCCTTCTTAATAGCACATAAGTCGAGAGGCCAGAGAGCCGGAGTGGATGTGACGAGTCGAGGCGCACACCAAGGCTGCACGTTAATAAAACCCCATCGCATTACATTGATTTATTTTTTACTCCAAAAATGCTCAGAGGACAATTAAACATCCTCTGCTGTTGGTTTTCAGGCCATATACGCCCGTGTGCCACCTCGTGTGGATTAGGGTTCCATTGAAAGAACTTGATATCTACGTAGTTCTGTATTGTCAGCTTGCAGAGATTTTGCCCTCACACAAGGTAGTGCTCTGCTCACTGTGAGAGTTTCCGAATGCAAATGTGACGTGACCCTGATTGTACAATTGGCAAAGCAACTGCTTGGGGAAAAGGTGAAGATCAATATATTCTGCTGAGAGTTTTTATTGGGTTATCTGTGTGCTCATGGATAGAATTGCAGGCATCGGTTATTGATAACGTGTGGGTTATGATTCCACAGTGTGGTAGATTGATTAGGTTCCAGGAAGTAAATATGCACGCTCACGTGCTCGCGGGATGCCCAACGTGCCATCAGCATGTTCTCTGTGAACGATAGGAAAGTGAAACGTGCAATTGTGCACCAATGTCGGTGGCAATTGTGTGCGTGTTAATTCCACAAAGTGTGACCTCATTTTGACATGTATTCTCTATAATTGGGCGTTCTACACGACATGTGAGTGCTTCGCAACTGTTGTGCTGCAGTGAGTCCCAGGTGTGCTGCTGTATTTTGGGAATTTTGAAAGGAACGAACTTCAAGACCCCCCCACCTCCCACCGTCCCCTCTCCATTGGTCTCGGTGCAGTATGGCAGACAACTGTCAGTCACCACCCCCAGCCCTCAACTCTCTCCGAGTCACATGCACAGTTGGACAAACAGTCACGGAGACATAGACACAAACGAACGCAGAGACACACACACAGACGAAGAGACACACACAGGCACACACAGACGAAGAGAAACACACAGACACGTGGGGAAACAGACAGAGGGTGGGGAGGGGCTGGGTGGGGAGGGTGGGGCTGGGTGGGTGGTGGGAGGGGTGGCGTTGGGTGGGGAGGGGCTGGTCACCCCGTGGTGCCCTTATAAAACTCAACGTTTAACCTACTCACGCCAGCTTATGCCCGCCCTCACAGTCGGCCATATTTGCGGAATACACCACGGCGCCGTTGACCCTGGCCATTGACCGAGCAACCCAACGTTGCCTACCAGCTCCCTCCGCAGGAGGAATGTGTTTAATTTCACTTATAATTAAGACGCCCAAGTGTCGCCCTGGTAACAAGGAATTGAGCTCCACTCATCTGGCGGCGCTCTTCTGATGTTAGATATGCTTCAGTCGCTATGGGACAACCGCTGGTGGCTTCGCACTCATTTTATTGACCTTGAAGGGATGATGATGATGCATTACCGGGATCTGAATTGGCAATCCTGCTGATGGTCAGTGGAGTGCTCTGCTCACAGCGCCACCTGGCACACATTGCATTCACTAGGCTAACGGATACATGATAACGTGGTAATTGCGTCCCTGAAGAACACCGCGTTATGGAAAATCACGTTATAATAAAATTATATCATATTGGGTAAAGTACAATCGGTGATAACACGTGAGATGCGTATGCAGGCTGAACAAAGGCTGAGATACGTGGGTAGCATCTAGAAGCATCCAGCAGCATCCCGTCGTCTTGTGTGATGCTACGCCGAGGCAGCCATACATCCGCTTTTTCCCACGCACGCGACGTAGTGTTGTTCACTCAATCGCGTTATATCCAATTCGCATCCACGTCATGACAAAAAAGTGTTCCCTAACGCATTCATTCATTGGGTTATATCCAATTCGCGTTATGAACACCAAGCGTTATAGTTGAACTGTGCGAGTGGTTTCCAGTAGCACATGGCAGCAGGACTGCCGTGGTCCTGGCCCACCACCACGTTGCGTGGTGTGAGGGTTCGCCCGCGTCTGTGAGACTGTTGACCTCTCTGTTTCTCGTTACTTTGCCTCCATATTCGGGTCCCCCGGTGTCTCCGTTTCTTTTCATCAGTGGCCGGGGCGTGGTGCTGGCCACACCGTGCCGGCTGTCGTAGGTGCTCGCTTGGCAGTGCTTGCCCTGGCAGCTTCTGCAGGCTGCACGGGGGAGCTTTGTATTTTGTTGTTTTATCTTCAATCTCTGTTAATGTATTATTCATGGCAGCCACTCGTGTTGTTCTCACGCTGATCTTGCTTCTCGATCTAAATCTGGCTGGACTTGTCGACCTCGGAGTGTTTCTCCGTCTCGTTCTATCTGTTGCAGTGCTTGTCCGTGTCTATCTGTGTGCTACCCAATCTTCTCTGTTGCTACATTTCAGCGTCTATGCATATCCTTCTGCCTTTCACTGTCTCTGTGTGCACGGACTTATAGTTCATGAGCATTCGTGTCTGCCCGGCCTGTAGCCACATCTGCCTCATCGCTGTCTTATCTCCCCGTGTCCCTCTCCTCACCTCCTCGTGTCTCGGTTAATTTCTCTTCCTGAGCTTTGTGACTCCTTGCATATGCTTTCCAATCCCCTTGCCCGTGCCAGGCTTCCTAAACTCGGTCCATTATCCCTGCAGGGTAAATAAATGAGCATAGTATTCCCTCGTCATTCACAAACTTGCCACGTGTGATGTTGGCTGTCCGCGAATCTCATCTGGCACTCTGCACGACTGCAGAGAGAGAGAAAGCGATGAGAGGAAATGTGACATGAGGAAGTGATGAAATTAAGCGATGAGACAAAGTGATAATGTTCACGTATTTAATAGCTAATTTAAGTATTTATTTAAGGTAATTTATCGTAGGCCGATATCATTATCCGCGAACTGTGCTATTCACGAGTATCCCTGGAACGTATCCCCCGGGTGAAGCGTTGTTATTGAATCCAAAGATCATAAAGTTAAAGTAGCGAATGCCTCTGTTGACACTTGAAACGATGCTCACGACGTCTGTTGTTGTTGCCGTTGTTTTCCAGGGAGAACCCGGAGCGCATTTTTGAAGTCTTCGTCGAGGTCTCCTGCCCGGTGTCGACAGGAGATGGTAACTGTGCTCTCGCTCGGTGCTACACCCCTTTGCAGAAAGCCCACAGACGCACGCATCACATTGCCCGCTGCTGGAACTCGCTGACCCGCCCATATGGGACATCTGTGAAAAAGAGCTTCATGGCTCATCGGGTTTCTCCTGCAGTCTAAATAATGATTCTAATTCTGAGATGCACCACTGGGGAAGGGGAGCGGTGGCTAGCGCGCTGCGCTGTGAACCCGACGATCCGAGTTCGATTCGCGGCCCACGATTCATAACCAGCGACGAGCGATACTTGAGCTGATGTTGCGCGTAAGCCCCATCGCCATCCCGCACTGACCAGCGTGGTGAAGTATGGTCCAACAATGCCCGTGAGGGAGGCTTTTACCTAGCGGTAGGATTCAGAAAGAGCTGTGAATTAAATGTTTAAGGTACAGTGTTCGCGTATGATATTTGTGTAACCGAGCGGGAGCCTGCCGGGACAGGTCTCTCGTGCACGCGGGAGTGAGGGCAAACGTAGTCACACAAATCGCAGATGAGATTTAAAATATTTATTTATTGCGACGTGAATTTGCAAAGGATGCACGCAGCGGGAAAATGTGACGCATTTGTCGGTGAGTCTGCGCGCGCGTGCCCCCGTGCGTGCCCCCGTGCGTGCCCCCCCGTGCGTGCCCGCCCGCGCGTGCCCCCGTGCGTGCCCCCGTGCGTGCCCCCCCGTGCGTGCCCCCCCGTGCGTGCCCGCCCGCGCGTGCCCCCGTGCGTGCCCCCGTGCGTGCCCCCGTGCGTGCCCCCCCGTGCGTGCCCGCCCGCGCGTGCCCCCGTGCGTGCACGGTTGGTGCCTTGTAATTAGCGGATGTGCTGGGCGCGTGTGCGGGTGGGAAGGCGTTTGACTTGCCCCATGACCTTTGCTTGGGGGGGAGGCTCGTCAGGTTTCCGGCAGGTGAGGCGCCAAATTTGCACTTTTTTTGGCCTTTGATTTGATACTTTCAGAAATTACAACAACAACAAAAGTAACAACGCGTTCGTCAAGAACACTGTGGCTTTAACAAAAAAGAAGGGCAAAATGGCCCTTCCTCACAGCTGATAGGCCAGAGAGGCCTCACTGGTCGGTGCAGGAGGGCCATTGCCCAACACGTCACCTGTGACTTTAATTTATTATCGTGTACTTTCTACTGGTAGGAACCTCCTGGTTACACCAGCCCACAGGGGATTATTGTGTCTGTCGTGCAGGGAGGGGTTGGGTGGGGAGGGTGGGGCTGGGTGGGGAGGGGCTGGGTGGGGAGGGTGGGGCTGGGTGGGGAGGGTGGGGAGGGGCTGGGTGGGGAGGGTGGGGAGGGGCTGGGTGGGGAGGGTGGGGCTGGGTGGGGAGGGTGGGGCTGGGTGGGGAGGGGCTGGTCACCCCGTGGTGCCCTTATAAAACTCAACGTTTAACCTACTCACGCCTGCTTGTGCCCGCCCTCACAGTCGGGCATATTTGCGGAATACACCACGCCGCCGTTGACCCTGGCCATTGACCGAGCAACCCAACGTTCCTACCAGCTCCCTCCGCAGGAATGTGTTCGTTATAGTGCCACAATGTTATTGAGACAGAAATAAACTGTTTTCATGTTACCAGGTAGGGCCCACTGAGCTATGTAGCTCTTTTTCAGAAGCGACCCGGCCACAAATTATAGCTCAGCGGAGTGCCTTATCGCCTGTGGGAATTTATAGTAGCAGCCAAATGCTCTATAAGCGCATTGACGAGTGTGCTGAGGTTTGTTGTTGTCGTTGTTGTCGTGTGTGTGTGTTTTTGTCGTGTTTGCTTGAGCACCACTGCCAATGTAGCATAAGCGAATAATTTAGGATTTTTATTTTTATTTTAAGAGACTGACTATTTTTGCGCGGTAATCGCAGTGAGAAGCAAGTGAGAGCACTCGGCATGTTTAGGTAGCAATGTGCGTAATAATAACAACGCAGGTTGTGAAGAGGAGATCGAGTGGCGTTTTGCTTTAGCAATGCAGTTTTTTGATGGACTGCACGAATCACTTCATAGGAATGGAGAGGTCGTTGTTCGTGTTATAAAGATGGACCTTTGATTTACGGGTCGGAGAGCAAGACTTGAACAACACAAAACTAAAAAAATGGGCATCTGTCCTCTGGATGAAGGCGCGCGTAGTGTAGGAGGCTTGAGAGTAGGTTCAGCAACGTTTTTTTTTGTCAACAAACAGTGGCAGGTCGCGTTGTAGGTGCAATCGGGAAGTGTTGGGGTGCAGGACGGAGGGAGGGAGGGCGGGCGGGTTGGGGACACCGGTGTTAGGAGTGGCTCTCGGAGCTCGGCGTTGAAGCGGCGAACCCCTTGGTGAGAGATCGGGTGTCGACTGTGCAACAGTGATGACCCTGGCAAGAGGCAGCGGTGACAGTGTAATGGCATCAAAGCCATTGACCGTGATGACTCCTCGATTTGATCCTGAGTGAGGTCTGCCAGCTTCAAGAGCACTGATTGATCTAGTGACATTACACAAAAAAGCATGTTCCAGGACACGTCACCCCGGCGTGGCCAGGAATAGCAGCGGCTATTGCCTCGCTGCTGTGACCCGGCCTCATTAAAGCGTGCGGCGCAGAGTGGCGCTGCTCGGCACGCCAAGGTGACCTGGCCACCTGATTGAGCCTCCGTGCTGCTCGCTCCGTGCCACTCGCTACGTGCCGCTCGCTACGTGATGCTCACTCCGTGGAGCTCAATCGAGCTCATTTGGCAGCGGCGGCAGGGGCAGCAGCGGTGGCAGCAGTGGCGGCAGCAGCAGCTCACTAATGCGACGTGCCTTCCTGTCCCTTCCCCACCCAGGTGCCGAAGTGCTGTGGAAGTACCCGGAGGATTATTACAAGCAGGTGAATGCACTCGGGGGGGGGGGGGGGGGGGGGGGGGGGTGGGGCTGAATCTCACATCGTGCCACACAGAGCCAGGGTACCGCGCCACCAGCCGATTATAAAACCCTCTTCCTGCCATTAATTTTGTCTAACCGTCGAACAAAGACGGCCACCGCATCGCGCGCTTTTAGATGCGCTTCTGCGGCCATCTGGAACGCTCTTCCGATATTAGGGAGCCACTGGAGCTATGCATTTTTAAATCATCTCGGTTGGCAAACTCATTCTTTGGAACTGCTACTGTTGTTTAGTTTTTGTTGTCCTTCCCCCACACTTCCGATTAGTTGCGGTCGGCTACGTTCGGTGCGAAAGAAGTTCAATGTACAGCAATCCCTCGCCAAACGTGGGGGGCGAGGTTCCTGGAAAATGCTGCGGTAGACAAATCTGCGGTTGGTAAAGTGCAGGGGCCTGTGGGAAATAGGGGCTTAGGGGAACCACGGCCGCGGTCAGACTCCTCATAGCTTAACTGAGTTCCCTGTTTGTTAACTAGACACTGACAAAAATACAGTACATTACACAATAACATAATAAAACAAATAAACATTAACCTTCACATACCTTTCATATTAACGATGATGATGACGGTGAGAATTAGATGATGGCGGAAGGGCTGGTGAGTAGGAGTAGGTGCCGCGCCTGGTCGTCCGGCGCTTGTGAGCTGGGGTTGGTGGATTACGCAGAGATCACCGAGTGCTGTGAGGCTCCCCCGTGCCGACTTTGCTGCTTTTAAGTGTCCAGGTGGTGGAAGCACAGCACATGCTGCCCGTGTGGATCTCGAGGGCAGGAGCGGTGCGAGTGTTCGCTCGGGGCTTTGCAGGAAACGCAACTTAATTCGTAATTTCCTCCCACGTACAAAACATTAACAAAGTGGCCAATATAGACCCCCCCCTCTTCCCCTGTTCAGAGAGGTTTTTCAGATGGTGACATGGCCTCGCCGATTCTTACAGAGGAGCACGGTTCGAATCCAGCGATGCGCCCCGATTGTTACCGCCGCTGCACAGTGGACGTTCAAGGACCCCATAACGTCATTCGCAAGGATGGGCCACCATGTGCCGGAGTTGGGGCTCTACAATCTTCCACGAATTACTCAACTGGGATGACGCACACGGCAGCAGCACTCATTGACCCCCCCCTGCTGGCAGACTCACGCCCCAGGTCACTCTTGCAAATGAGCCTCATCCTGGCCTTTGAGTTCTTACCCAGTTGAACGAAGGAAACTTGAGTAGTTGAAGGACTTGTGTTGTGATATGCACATGCTAGACAATAGAAGGGGGGGGGAGCGGTGGCGCCCTGGTCATTGCACTGTGCTATGAACCCGGCGACCCGAGTTCGATTCCCGCTCGCAGGCGACCGGTGACGAATATCTAAATCGGTCCTGGGCCGCACTTAGATCAACTCGTCCTTTTAATTCCTCCCCGGCGATGGCTATCATCAGCGGCGAGTGATGTCTGGACCAGGTCTGGTGCTGCTTTCACGTAACCTGCACTGATTAAGTATGCTGCAACACGCCGCCCCCCCCGTTTACAATGCGGCGTGGCGAAGCCTCCATCCAGCAGTGGATTGGCAGCGGGTTGTAATTGGCATATTTGCGTATCCACCATGGAAATGCTCGTGGCAATGCGTGCTAGCGCGCATCGCGTTGCAACACTGCTGACTGGTGGGGCGGACGGTGTTACAGAAAAGCCAGTGTGTGTGTGGATGAGATGAGCGTCCCTGGAGGGGTGTGTTGACAAACCTGCAATCTGCAGCCCCCCTCTGTTGTGATCCAACAGAGAAGCAGAGATGACACCTGTTTGCTAAATCATCGGATAGCGGGAAATAATTCTGGCTATCAGATAAAGGACGGATGTCTTCCTGAGAGAGATCACGAATTGGATTTGTGTAATTTGCTACGTGCGTCGTCATGCACGAGAGTGTGCTTGTGTCGTGTGTGAGTGCGTGTCATGTGTGAGTGCACGTTGTGTTTGAATCGCTGTATGTGACATAAGTGTATGTAAGGCATGGGTTGTATGCGTTTGTGTGCGCGCGCACACGTATGAGTGAGTAGGCACTTGTGTGTGTGTGCACGCACGCATGTGTTGTGAGTGAATGTATGGGGGTGCATGTGAGTGAGTAGGCACGGGTCGTACGTGTGTGTTATGAGTGTGTGTATGCGCGCACGATTAATTGAGTAGACATGGGTAGTACGTGTGTGCGTGGGGAGCGGTGGTGCAGCGGTTGACGTGTTGTGCTACGAACCCAGCCACCCGAGTTCGATTCCCGCTCATGGCCAACACCAGTGACGATTATCTGAACTGGCCCTGGGCCTCCCCTAGGTCGACTCAGCCTGAAATGAGTACCTGGTGCAGCATGTAAAATTGTTGCCACTGGGGAGACAAAGGCGATTGGGCGTGGTGCTGGCCACCCACCTCCTCGTGTACCGTGCTGTTCTTCATAGGTGCTCGCTAACAGCTATATTTGGGGGTTCTTTGTCCATGTGTTCACGTGTTATTGACACTGACGCTTCATGTCTCCCGCAGGATGTGCTCGGCACTATCCCCAAGTTCTGCTTTCCTTTCGATGTGACCAGGTGAGTGCTCGGTTTGTTTGGGGAGCTGGTGTCATCTGTTCTGGTTGCACCTTTGTGTAGCGACTGGCCGAATATGTTCACTTTTGTTTGTAGCGATGGGTTTGGTTGACTGTCACGGTGTGTGTGTGTGTTATGGTGAGACCCGAGACACTGCACGTGTGCGACGAGGTCACAGTCATTGATCGGTGCTTCCTGTTCACACAATTAAATGTATGTTCACCTCGTGTGGTAGCTCCGTCTAAATGCTGCCACGACTTAAGCCATTTCACAGACTTTTGCTTAAAATGATAACAGATTGCATGCAAAAGCTAGAGAAACTATTCAATCAATGTTAATCCATCGTTTTTTGTTTTTATATTTTTGTTTCGATTTCTATTGCCATCACTGCTGTACCTTTATTGGTTTTGCTTCCGTTCTATCGATGTCCCAAGTCACTGTTGCAAACGAGACTCCACCTGGTCTCTGGAGTTCTTACCTGGCTTACACAAAATCGACTTGACACTTAAAGCAACTGTGTAGAACCCTTGAGCTAGGCTTGCTACAACATAGTCGAACCACCGCACCAGGCGTGTCATTGCACAATTTCACGTTCGCCTGGACTTGCCCCCCCCCCCCCAGTGCCCTTTGTCAGAGCCTGAGCACTGGTGGTGGTGGCTATGCTGTGCAGCATTCACCTGTCTTGGGTAGCCATTAACTGCGCTGTCAGCCAGCGCACGAGGTGGGGGTGGGGGGTCACAGCCTGTATAAGTGAAGGTTTGTGTAAGTTTAACACGTTCCTTCGCAGTGGGCGGGTAGGAAGTTGGTTGGACGGCGCATTCGTGCGATCCGTGTCACACGGCGCAAGCTGCGTGGGGCGGCGCGTCACGTGGTGCTGAGCCCGCCCCGAAGCGCTCTATGAAATACAAATCGAGGGTGTGGCTATGCACGACAGACAGACAAATAATCCCTGGTGGGCAGTGTGGAACTGTTGTTCCTACCTGTATCATTGTCTTAATGTCCCCGAGTGTGCGTGCCGTCATGTGAATGTTCCTGCAGTTCTTCGCCGTTTAGAACGTCTCATGATTTACCCCCCCCCCCCCCCCCGTGTTGGGAAGTCAGCTGTTGGCATCCTACAGAGAGGCTGGCCCCTCGTCTTGGAAGTGGATCCTGATCGTGGTTAGCCTTGGCCCGTTCTTGGGTAGTTAAACGAGAGGTCGTGCTGTGGAGCGATTAGCTCCTCTCGTAGTAATGTGGAATGTCCTCCGGCTCAATATACACGAGTTGTCACTATTAAAATTGCAAAACTTAAACATTGTCCCTGTAAATAATGTGCCCTGCCCAATTACGATGTCTCCCCTGAGAAGGTGCAAATAGAAATCTATGGGCTCTTAGCCAAGTACTTGAAATACGGCACTTGAATAAAATGAAACTGTGTGTGTGTGTGCGCGTGTGGGGTGAGTCTGCACATGGGGAGCAGTGGTTAAGCGCACTGCTCTACAAACCTGCTGACCCGAGGTCTATTCCCGCTTCGGGCCAACACCGGTGACAACTATCTGAAACCACCGCTTGGCCTCCCATAGGTTGACTCAACCTTAAATGGTGCGATGTATAAACATCCTCATTGGAGAGACAAACATCTGGGCGTGGTGCTGGCCACCCACCCCTCGTGTGCCGTGCCGGCCTTTAAAGGAGCTCGCTAACAGCACTTGCCCCAATGGTCTGTTGAAGGCCACGTGGGCGGTCTGCACTTCTACGACGTCACGAAGCATTCCTGGAACCCCGAAGTTGTCAATTGGATCGTCGTAAATCTGAACTTACTTTCCCATAGACCAGGGGTTGCCAACCTGCGGCTCCTGCACCGCATGCGGCTCTTTAAGGACACCGCTTCGTGACGACGTCATTTATTAAGGACCCACCGTCTTGTGTTCGCATGCATTGCGGCTCTTGAAATATTGCATTTGTTACTGAATTCGAATTTTTTTTTCTTGTTATGATGATTGCCTACCCCTGCCGTAGATGGTAGAAATGGTAGAAACATCACCTGGCGATGTGTATTTACACTCATCATCCGTATCTAACGGGTTTAATCGGTAAACATCCATAAAAAACACTCGAATAGTAAAAGCTCCATGCCAAGTCACATCGTAAATCAAGTTTCTGCTTCGTAAATGAATCCGTCCGATTAGCACGGTTGGCTGAGTACGATGGCATAGAAGTTCAACATCCCGACAAACGTGGATTATGTAAACGCCGTGAATGTGGTTTGTTGCAAATCAGACCATCGTGAACCGGAGGCCGCCTATACAGGTCACTTCTTCTGAAAAATAAATTAATACCTCGGTGGACTTTGCCTGGTAGGATGGGGATGGTTTAGTTTAATTTGTATGCTTTTGGATGATTCGTTTACCTTTCTTGTACTTTGCACTGCTATTGTGTTTTCGGATTGTTGCTGTAACGTTCTCACCCCATGCCCCTACTGGACATCTGTGAAACACATTCCTGCGGAGGGAGCTGGTAGGAACGTTGGGTTGCTCGGTCAATGGCCAGGGTCAACGGCGGCGTGGTGTATTCCGCAAATATGCCCGACTGTGAGGGCAGGCACAAGCCGGCGTGAGTAGGTTAAACGTTGAGTTTTATAAGGGCACCACGGGGTGACCAGCCCCTCTCAACCCACCCCTTCCCACCCAGCCCCTCCCCACCCTCCCCTCTCCACCCAGCCCCACCCCTCCCATTTTTGGATCCACGACGGACGGACACAATAATCGCCTGTGGGCTGGTGGAACCAGGTGGTTCCTACCAGTATAAGAGCTTCATAGCTCATCGTATTCCTCCTGCAGTGATTGAAGCCGATTTGTCTTCGCAGGGTGAGCCTGCGGGACGTGGGCCAGAGCTTCACGTTCGTGCTCACGGACGTGAGCGGCACCCAGAGCTTCGGGATATGCCGCATGTGCCCGGCGTCGCACACCTGCCTGGCTCTGCTCAGGTGAGCCACGTGGGGGCGGAGCGGGAGCGGGCTGGGTGGGTCGCAGGGCACCCCCTCATCAGCCGGGCGCATGTGGACAGAGAAGAGAGCTGAAACCGCCCTCTGTGTGTGTGTGAATCGCTCGAGCGTGCGGAAAGGGTCCTTGCTAATGAATGTTCCTGCAGTGGAGAGAAGTGGCATATCGCGACCTCCCCCAGCAAGATTCATGACCATTCACAACGTCGATAGCAGGTGGCCTAGACCTCACCAAAGGTTAGCTCGGCTTTAAATGAATACCCAGTGCTGTTGTGTAAACAACAGTGCTGTTGTGTAAACAACAGCAGCACTAGGGGAGACAAACCGGTCAGGTGTGATTCTGGCAACACAACTTACTTGTGCGCTGTGCTGGCATGAACCATTTCTCTCGAACGGCACTTAATCCCTACAGTCTGTAAGCCGACATTGGAGGGTCACACAACATTATTTTTTGGTGCGATCTGTTGTTTACTTCTGCGTCGAACTGGGACCCATGTCTGAGAGAGAGAGTCCTTGCAGTTTACCAACATTGGTTTAATGAAGCCTGACTTTGCTGATGAGACATTGACCAGTCGAATCTGGGTGCAAAGTTTGCCTGTGTTGAACCAATGCTTCTGAAATTATGCACTCTTGAGAAGGCCGTGCGGCTGATGCGCTTGTAGTGTGTCTATGTGGCAGAATAGCTTGGCAGCATTCATAACTCTTAACCAGTGTTCACATCGATGGTTCAGTTCCCCAAGTCACCCATCATCTTGTGAGGAATTGCCAAGACCTGCCCACCGCTTCGAAGTAGACATTCAAGAAGAGTCGGCAGCTTCGTTCCAGTGCCAATGTCCAAATTCTACTTTTTATATGACTTGGCACGTTGCAACAGAATGCTTTATGAACACTAATAATTACCCACAGCGAGCAATGATTGCCTAGGCCTCCGTTGTGAACGGAATTATCCGATAGGAAGAACGCTCCCAAGGAAAGCAGCAGCTGGCTCACGGCAATGTTTGCTGAGAAAATCTGCTCTCACCCCACTCACCCCACGCACCATGCGTCGTGACGTGATCACGTTCGACGTCGTGACAACACGAGAGCGAGTGACATGGCGGCGCTTCTTGTTTTGCTTCTGGCCTGGGATGTCAAGGTGGCTAGGAGATGTTGACTACCTCGCCTGGTAAAGAGGAGGTCGTGGGTTCGATCCTGACCCTCTCACGCCTGCTGTATATTTGTAGTTTGCGTGTCTCTCTCCCCGTGGTTGCGTAGATTTTTTCTTCGGGTCGTACGGTTTTTTCCTCCACATTTATAATCAACATGTGCTTAGAGCATTTGACTGCTATACATTTCCAGATTATAAGCCACTTTGTTGAGCTATCATTTGTGGCAAGGTTGCTTCTAAAAAAGAGCTGTATGGCTCAGTGGGGCCTTAGTTTGGAAAATAAGAATAGTTTAAATTGTTTTTAGTCTTTAAAGTCTTTTGTCATTAATGAAGCTTCAAGCTCATGTGGTGCAGTCCGGGGCACACGTCTGAGGAGTTTGTAGGTACAAACGTAAGGGGCTGTTTGTTTTTCTCCAAACAAATCAACACATTTGTCAAAAACGCCGTGGCCTTAAAAAAAGAATAAATGATAGGTGACGTTTCGGGCGGTGTCCCGTCTTCATAGCACGTGATGTGCCATGCCATTGCACGTGTGTTATGAAGAATGGGGTTCATTGCCCGAAGCGTCGCCTACGGTGTATACCCTTCCCTCTAAGGCCACAGGGTTATTGACGAATGCGTGGAGTTGTGTTTGTTAATTGTGGCTTGTTGCGCCACTGCCAACGCAGCAGCATCATCGTCAACTAATTTGTTCAGTTTTTAAATTGACGCATGGATAGTTAGACTCTTTGGTTGTTTCGGTAAGTAACGTAGGTAGGAATAAAACAAAATAAATCACGACGTTTCGATAGCAACACAAGGTCTTCAGGTGAAAATCGCGACAGCCGCGATGTCTGCTGCGATGTATCACCTGAAGACGATGGCTTGTGTTGCTATCGAAACGTCGTGATTTATTTTGTGTTATTTTATACCCACGTGACTTGCCAAAAGAACCAAAGGGTATGGATTCCTGCAGTCACGAAAGCTTCAAATCAAGATTGCATGGATAGTTACCTAATAGTATCCATTATGTAACAGTCAAAACGTTTCAATGATCAAAAGTATGACGACGAAATGAACTCATTTATAACACTGGTCAACACACTTTTTCTGGCATAAGGTATTCCAACAGTTTTAAGGTAATGTCTATCACATCAGGTTTTTGAGATATCAAATATTGCATTTTCAATAAAAACTGCAAATGAAAAACATTAAATAATGTAGATATCTACATAAAATTATATTATAAACACACTATCCTAAAAATACAGCACCATATTTTAACACTAAAGCAGTCACTGACTCGCAACTACTTGCAATCATAAGTGACAGAGTTAATTTCGGGTGAAGTCAATGAAAATGGGGTATGTCGATAGCATAAAAATGAGATGTGATGGAGCAAATCTGAGATCAGATTTGGAATCAGCACCCTGACATTAGTCTAGAACAGCTGCAAAAGTCCAGGCCAGAATTTTTTTTTGTTGACCAGTGTAATCATCCAGCATTGCCCGCCCATTAATTTGCGTGGAATACACGCCCGTGGTGGAGACTTGGTGTAGGAGAGACACGACGCGCTAACCCTGCTCAACGCAGTGGGATGCGGCTGACGTCATCACCCAGACGCGTGCGGTGACGTCACCACCGGGCACTTGGCCGCCCATGTGACAGCCAGCAAAACTCTTTTCTTCTTCTGTTTATTTTAAAAATCTAATTATTATATGTTCCCGGCACACTGCATTGTGGGAAGATGTATTCTTGCTAGAATAAGGGTATAAGCCACCCAGCAATGCATTCCTTCAGAAAAAACAAGTGGCAGTTGTGTTTCTCTTTAATTGGCTATCGCCGATGAATTACCTGAATTGAGATTCTCTACTAAGTAGACTCGCTTCAATGCCACAAGTGGGACATCAGTGCAGTGTGAGGCCGCAGAGGCCGGGTCTCCTAAGTGCATGTTGTAAATATATGTGTGTCCGTGTGTCCGTGTGTGTGGCGCTTTCTTCTCTAGTTACCTGCCATGGTTCGACGTTTTCCACCGTCTCCTAAACACCCTGGCTGAGCACATCAACAAGGCAGAGGCACGCCCATGCACGCACGCTCGCACGTACCCACGTCCTCGGTCGACCTCCTTGCCTCCACCTACGCAACATTTCCTCTCACTGCTGCTTCAGCGACCACGGCCTTCTCACGAAGCCCCGGGTCAACCTTTGCACTGTGGGAGGTCACTCATTCCCCCTCTGCTGCCCCCGGGAAGTCTTGGGAAATGGCAGTTCAAATCCCGGTCGTAGATCACTCGGCCTATCATCTCTCTAGACTTGTTTTAACGAGTACCGCTTTGTGGGAAGTCCGCATTGGTGCTTCACTGGAAAGACTGGCCACCATTGTCATCATCGTCAGCCACGTTCTGTCAACTGCTTGACAAGGGCGCCACAACGGCGAGATGTTAACTACCTCGCCTGGTATACGGAAGGTCGTTGGTTTTATCCAGACCCTGATGCCTGTATGTTTGGATCTCCCTGTGATAGTGCGGATTTGTCTCCGGGTCCTCCGGTTTTTCCCTCCACATTTAGAAATATTTAGAGTATTTCGCCGCTATAGGCCACTTTGTTGAGCTATCATTTGTGATAGCCAGGTTGCTTATGAAAAAGAGCCACACAGAGTCCCTGTGTAGAGGGTGTGGGGAGCGGTAGTTGTAGCGGTTAGCATACTACGCTACGAACCCGGTGACGTGAGTTCGATTCCCACTCACGGCCAACACCAGTGACGATTATCTGAACTGGTCCTGGGCCTCTCCTAGGTCGACTCAGCCTCAAATAAGTGCCTGGTGCGGTGTGTAATCATTGACGGCTGGGGAGACAAAGGCGGCCGGGCGTGGTGCTGGCCACCCACCCCCTCGTGCGCCATCCTGGCCTTCATAGGTGCTCGCTAACAGCACTTGCCCCGACAGTCTGTTAGGCTACACGGGTGATCTTTGTCTTGTGTGCAGGAGGGCTGTGTGCAGCAGCTGCTGCTCTCGCTGCACGAGCGCGAGGTCCCGGAGCCCGGCACGCCCCTGCAGCTCACCCAGGTGAGCTGCGTCCACCACCCCCGCTCCCCCCGCCCCCTCGTCCCCCGCCCCACCCGCCCCACCGCTCCCCCCCGCTCCCCCTGCCCCCCCGCCCACCCGCCCCACCCGCCCCCCTGCCCCACCCGCCCCACCCGCCCCACCCGCCCCCCCGCCCCCCCACACCCCCCCCACCCACCCGCCCCCCACCCACCCGCCCCCCACCCGCATTCTCCCCACATCTGCGCTCTCTGCGAGTCGTGCCGGGGCGTGCCGGGGCGTGCCGGGGCGTGCCGGGGCGTGCCGGGTGGTGGCGTGGGGGAAATGCTCGAGTCCAACTCGAGCGCCTTCCCGCGGTGCAGTTTTGTGTCGTTCCCCCCCCTGTTGTTAAGCGTGGGTTCACCCCGGGTTCTCCGATTGCCTCCCACAACTAAAAAAAACACACAATGTCACGCTATTGGCCAAACGTCGCCATTGCGGAAACGTTACCGGCAAATTACTCGATTTGGGTCACTTGGCGTGGTGCTGGGCACCCATCCCCTCGTGTGCCGTGGTGGCCTTCATAGGTGCTGCTCGCTAACAGCACTTGTCCAACAGTCTTAAGGCTTCTAGATTTGAAGCTTTCGTGACTGCAAGGATTCATACTCTTAGTTCTTTCGGTAAAGTCACGTAGGTAAAAAATGAAATTAAAATTAATAAAAATAAAACAATAAAAATCACGACGTTTCGGAGGCAACACAAGCTTCCGTAAAGTAACCCATGTGACTTTACCGAAAGAACTACGAGTATATAGTCTTAAGGCTGTCTTTGTTGATGAAGCCAAGCGTGCCTGTGTTGGTGGTGGTGGTGGTGACCATGATTAATGTTGCAAACGGTGGCATGTTTTGCAGCTCACTTACTTCATCTCTCCGGATCTCAGAGAGCTGCCAACGATTCCAGAAAATGTGAGAAGTGGGCAAGTATGGAGTGGGATGAACGCAGTGTAATGGTTTCATGAGTTTGTTGACGTCACAAAGATGACTTTCGTGGTACTGGGGATGATGGAGTGGACGGCAGCTCATTCTCTATTAAGCAGCGGGGAGAGAGAAGGAGCGCTGTGTAGGAAAGGGAAGAGGGGGGGCGGGGGAGAAGGAAGAACCGGGCCAAGATATCGGGGATGGGAGGGTGCTGGTGATGACGATGAGAGGGGAGGGTAGGGAAGAGAGTGAGAAGAGAGAAGGGAGGAGAGAGCAGTCGTGAGTTGCACAGAGTAGCAGTGGCGTCTGTTTTCAGAGGGGGTGGCGGGGAGAGGGGAGGGATTCAGGGTGCTGGTGGCCACGCAGAGAAGCCAGGTGGTTTACGGGAGGCTTGAGCTGATTCAGATCGAGAAATAGAACAGGCACAACGTTGCCTTTATTGTGCAACGTTAGCCGACTCGAGGTTTGTTTGTTGTGAAGATGGTGTGCGTAGCGAAGTTGGCAAGTAGTTTTGGTTCAGACTTCTACACGTGGATGTCACTGGGTAATACCGGCTCAAGCGAGGCACGGTGTGCGATGTATCGACATCGCGGACACCCCGTACACGTGGGTGTAGTACCAGCCTTAGAGGGACTCGGTGAGCGCTGAGTTATGGCGCTGAGTGGCACCACACGTGGCGTGCAGGGTCGATCCCTACAGGATGGGGTGTGAGAGTGTCGGGCATAGAATGGGGTTACCCCAGGCCGTGGCACTCTGGTTGACCCTGGAAGGCACGTGACGAGTAAGATATACACAGAGGCCCCCAAGTGGGGGGCTAGGGATGGTCACGTGTCGGGCGAGATATTGCTAGAGGGTTCGAGAAGGTGGTCGTGGCCAAGGGCGGGGCCAGCCACGACCCGTGAGGATATTCACCGGGTCCCCAGAGGGACCGGGGTTCAGCGTTGCTGTTGTCATCCTGAAGATCTACGTTCTATGTTCTACGTCTGAGAAGAGTCACCAACACGTGGACATGGATCCAGGCCGTGGTCCGGTCCATTGTAGCTACTCCCAATGTCATTAGTGTCGTTAGCCTGGTGGTTACGTAGCTAGTTATGTTGTAACTAGTGTAGCTAGCCTGGTGGTGACGTAGCTAGTTATGGTGTAACTAGTGCAGCTAGCCTGGTGGTGACGTAGCTAGTTATGTTGTAACTAGTGTAGCTAGCCTGGTGGTGACGTAGCTAGTTATGTTGTAACTAGTGTAGCTAGCCTGGTGGTTACGTAGCTAGTTATGGTGTAACTAGTGCAGTTAGCCTGGTGGTGACGTAGCTAGTTATGTTGTAACTACTGTAGCTAGCCTGGTGGTTACGTAGCTAGTTATGGTGTAACTAGTGTAGTTAGCCTGGTGGTGACGTAGCTAGTTATGTTGTAACTAGTGCAGCTAGCCTGGTGGTGACGTAGCTAGTTATGTTGTAACTAGTGTAGTTAGCCTGGTGGTGACGTAGCTAGTTATGGTGTAACTAGTGCAGCTAGCCTGGTGGTGACGTAGCTAGTTATGTTGTAACTAGTGTAGCTAGCCTGGTGGTGACGTAGCTAGTTATGGTGTAACTAGTGTAGTTAGCCTGGTGGTGACGTAGCTAGTTATGTTGTAACTAGTGTAGCTAGCCTGGTGGTGACGTAGTTAGTTATGGTGTAACTAGTGTAGTTAGCCTGGTGGTGACGTAGCTAGTTATGTTGTAACTAGTGCGGTTAGCCTGGTGGTGATGTAGCTAGTTATGTTGTAACTACTGTAGCTAGCCTGGTGGTGACGTAGCTAGTTATGTTGTAACTAGTGCAGCTAGCCTGGTGGTTATGTAGCTAGTTATGTTGTAACTAGTGTAGTTAGCCTGGTGGTGACGTAGCTAGTTATGTTGTAACTAGTGTAGCTAGCCTGGTGGTTATGTAGCTAGTTATGTTGTAACTAGTGTAGTTAGCCTGGTGGTGACGTAGCTAGTTATGGTGTAACTAGTGTAGCTAGCCTGGTGGTGACGTAGCTAGTTATGGTGTAACTAGTGCAGCTAGCCTGGTGGTGACGTAGCTAGTTATGGTGTAACTAGTGTAGCTAGCCTGGTGGTGACGTAGCTAGTTATGGTGTAACTAGTGTAGCTAGCCTGGTGGTGACGTAGCTAGTTATGGTGTAACTAGTGTAGTTAGCCTGGTGGTGACGTAGCTAGTTATGTTGTAACTAGTGTAGCTAGCCTGGTGGTTATGTAGCTAGTTATGTTGTAACTAGTGTAGTTAGCCTGGTGGTGACGTAGCTAGTTATGTTGTAACTAGTGCAGCTAGCCTGGTGGTGACGTAGCTAGTTATGTTGTAACTAGTGTAGCTAGCCTGGTGGTGACGTAGCTAGTTATGTTGTAACTAGTGCAGTTAGCCTGGTGGTGACGTAGCTAGTTATGTTGTAACTAGTGTAGCTAGCCTGGTGGTGACGTAGCTAGTTTTGTGTAACTAGTGTAGCTAGCCTGGTGGTGACGTAGCTAGTTGTGTTGTAACTAGTGTAGTTAGCCTGGTGGTGATGTAGCTAGTTTTGTTGTAACTAGTGTAGCTAGCCTGGTGGTTATGTAGCTAGTTATGTTGTAACTAGTGTAGTTAGCCTGGTGGTAACGTAGCTAGTTATGTTGTAACTAGTGTAGTTAGCCTGGTGGTGACGTAGCTAGTTATGTTGTAACTAGTGTAGTTAGCCTGGTGGTTATGTAGCTAGTTATGTGTAACTAGTGTAGCTAGCCTGGTGGTTATGTAGCTAGTTATGGTGTAACTAGTGTAGCTAGCCTGGTGGTGACGTAGCTAGTTATGGTGTAACTAGTGTAGTTAGCCTGGTGGTTATGTAGCTAGTTATGGTGTAACTAGTGTAGTTAGCCTGGTGGTTATGTAGCTAGTTATGGTGTAACTAGTGCAGCTAGCCTGGTGGTAACGTAGCTAGTTATGGTGTAACTAGTGCAGCTAGCCTGGTGGTTACGTAGCTAGTTATGGTGTAACTAGTGTAGCTAGCCTGGTGGTGACGTAGCTAGTTATGGTGTAACTAGTGCAGCTAGCCTGGTGGTTACATAGCTAGTTATGTTGTAACTAGTGCAGCTAGCCTGGTGGTTAAGTAGCTAGTTATGGTGTAACTAGTGTAGCTAGCCTGGTGGTGACGTAGCTAGTTATGTTGTAACTAGTGCAGTTAGCCTGGTGGTTACGAATCTAGTTATGTTGTAACTAGTGCAGCTAGCCTGGTGGTGACGTAGCTAGTTATGGTGTAACTAGTGTAGCTAGCCTGGTGGTTAAATAGCTAGTTATGTTGTAACTAGTGTAGTTAGCCTGGTGGTTACATAGCTAGTTATGTTGTAACTAGTGTAGTTAGCTTCGTGGTTACATAGCTAGTTATGTTGTAACTAGTGTAGCTAGCCTGGTGGTTATGTAGCTAGTTATGTTGTAACTAGTGTAGCTAGCCTGTTGGTTACATAGCTAGTTATGTTGTAACTACTGTAGCTAGCCTGGTGGTGACGTAGCTAGTTATGTTGTAACTAGTGCAGCTAGCCTGGTGGTTATGTAGCTAGTTATGTTGTAACTAGTGTAGTTAGCCTGGTGGTGATGTAGCTAGTTATGTTGTAACTAGTGTAGCTAGCCTGGTGGTTATGTAGCTAGTTATGTTGTAACTAGTGTAGTTAGCCTGGTGGTGACGTAGCTAGTTATGTTGTAACTAGTGCAGTTAGCCTGGTGGTGACGTAGCTAGTTATGTTGTAACTAGTGTAGTTAGCCTGGTGGTTATGTAGCTAGTTATGTGTAACTAGTGTAGCTAGCCTGGTGGTTATGTAGCTAGTTATGGTGTAACTAGTGTAGCTAGCCTGGTGGTGACGTAGCTAGTTATGGTGTAACTAGTGTAGTTAGCCTGGTGGTTATGTAGCTAGTTATGGTGTAACTAGTGTAGTTAGCCTGGTGGTTATGTAGCTAGTTATGGTGTAACTAGTGCAGCTAGCCTGGTGGTAACGTAGCTAGTTATGGTGTAACTAGTGCAGCTAGCCTGGTGGTTACGTAGCTAGTTATGGTGTAACTAGTGTAGCTAGCCTGGTGGTGACGTAGCTAGTTATGGTGTAACTAGTGCAGCTAGCCTGGTGGTTACATAGCTAGTTATGTTGTAACTAGTGCAGCTAGCCTGGTGGTTAAGTAGCTAGTTATGGTGTAACTAGTGTAGCTAGCCTGGTGGTGACGTAGCTAGTTATGTTGTAACTAGTGCAGTTAGCCTGGTGGTTACGAAGCTAGTTATGTTGTAACTAGTGCAGCTAGCCTGGTGGTGACGTAGCTAGTTATGGTGTAACTAGTGTAGCTAGCCTGGTGGTTACATAGCTAGTTATGTTGTAACTAGTGTAGTTAGCCTGGTGGTTACATAGCTAGTTATGTTGTAACTAGTGTAGTTAGCCTCGTGGTTACATAGCTAGTTATGTTGTAACTAGTGTAGCTAGCCTGGTGGTTATGTAGCTAGTTATGTTGTAACTAGTGTAGCTAGCATGTTGGTTACATAGCTAGTTATGTTGTAACTACTGTAGCTAGCCTGGTGGTGACGTAGCTAGTTATGTTGTAACTAGTGCAGCTAGCCTGGTGGTTATGTAGCTAGTTATGTTGTAACTAGTGTAGTTAGCCTGGTGGTGATGTAGCTAGTTATGTTGTAACTAGTGTAGCTAGCCTGGTGGTTATGTAGCTAGTTATGTTGTAACTAGTGTAGTTAGCCTGGTGGTGACGTAGCTAGTTATGTTGTAACTAGTGTAGTTAGCCTGGTGGTTATGTAGCTAGTTATGTTGTAACTAGTGTAGCTAGCCTGGTGGTTATGTAGCTAGTTATGTTGTAACTAGTGTAGCTAGCATGGTGGTTACATAGCTAGTTATGTTGTAACTAGTGTAGCTAGCCTGGTGGTTACATAGCTAGTTATGTTGTAACTAGTGTAGCTAGCCTGGTGGTTACATAGCTAGTTATGTTGTAACTAGTGTAGCTAGCCTGGTGGTGACGTAGCTAGTTATGGTGTAACTAGTGTAGCTAGCCTGGTGGTGACGTAGCTAGTTATGTTGTAACTAGTGTAGCTAGCCTGGTGGTGACGTAGCTAGTTATGTTGTAACTAGTGTAGTTAGCCTGGTGGTGACGTAGCTAGTTATGGTTTAACTAGTGTAGCTAGCCTGGTGGTTACGTAGCAAGTTATGTGTAACTAGTGTAGTTAGCCTGGTGGTGACGTAGCTAGTTATGGTGTAACTAGTGTAGCTAGCCCGGTGCTGACGTAGCTAGTTATGGTATAACTAGTGTAGCTAGCCTGGTGGTTACGTAGCTAGTTATGTGTAACTAGTGTAGCTAGCCTGGTGGTGACGTAGCTAGTTATGTTGTAACTAGTGTAGCTAGCCTGGTGGTGACGTAGCTAGTTATGTTGTAACTAGTGTAGCTAGCCTGGTGGTTACATAGCTAGTTATGGTGTAACTAGTGTAGCTAGTCTGGTGGTGACGTAGCTAGTTATGTGTAACTAGTGTAGCTAGCCTGGTGGTTACATAGCTAGTTATGTTGTAACTAGTGTAGCTAGCCTGGTGGTTACATAGCTAGTCATGGTGTAACTAGTGTAGCTAGCCTGGTGGTGACGTAGCTAGTTATGTGTAACTAGTGTAGCTAGCCTGATGGTTACATAGCTAGTTATGGTGTAACTAGTGTAGCTAGCCTGGTGGTGACGTAGCTAGTTATGTGTAACTAGTGTAGCTAGCCTGGTGGTGACGTAGCTAGTTATGTTTTAACTAGTGTAGCTAGCCTGGTGGTGACGTAGCTAATTATGGTGTAACTAGTGTAGCTAGCCTGGTGGTGACGTAGCTAGTTATGTTGTAACTAGTGTAGCTAGCCTGGTGGTGACGTAGCTAGTTATGTTGTAACTAGTGTAGCTAGCCTGGTGGTGACGTAGCTAGTTATGGTGTAACTAGTGTAGCTAGCCTGGTGGTGACGTAGCTAGTTATGGTGTAACTAGTGTAGCTAGCCTGGTGGTGACGTAGCTAGTTATGTGTAACTAGTGTCGTTAGCCTGGTGGTTACGTAGCTAGTTATGGTGTAACTAGTGCAGCTAGCCTGGTGGTGACGTAGCTAGTTATGTTGTAACTAGTGTAGCTAGCCTGGTGGTGACGTAGCTAGTTATGGTGTAACTAGTGTAGCTAGCCTGGTGGTGACGTAGCTAGTTATGTTGTAACTAGTGTAGCTAGCCTGGTGGTGACGTAGCTAGTTATGTTGTAACTAGTGTAGCTAGCCTGGTGGTGACGTAGCTAGTTATGGTGTAACTAGTGTAGCTAGCCTGGTGGTGACGTAGCTAGTTATGTTGTAACTAGTGTAGCTAGCCTGGTGGTGACGTAGCTAGTTATGTTGTAACTAGTGTAGCTAGCCTGGTGGTGACGTAGCTAGTTATGTTGTAACTAGTGTAGCTAGCCTGGTGGTGACGTAGCTAGTTATGGTGTAACTAGTGTAGCTAGCCTGGTGGTGACGTAGCTAGTTATGTTGTAACTAGTGTAGCTAGCCTGGTGGTGACGTAGCTAGTTATGTTGTAACTAGTGTCGTTAGCCTGGTGGTTATGTAGCTAGTTATGTTGTAACTAGTGTAGTTAGCCTGGTGGTTACATAGCTAGTTATGTTGTAACTAGTGTAGTTAGCCTGGTGGTTACATAGCTAGTTATGGTGTAACTAGTGTAGCTAGCCTGGTGGTGACGTAGCTAGTTATGTTGTAACTAGTGTAGTTAGCCTGGTGGTTATGTAGCTAGTTATGTTGTAACTGGTGTAGCTAGCCTGGTGGTTATGTAGCTAGTTATGGTGTAACTAGTGTAGTTAGCCTGCTGGTTACGTAGCTAGTTATGTTGTAACTAGTGCAGCTAGCCTGGTGGTGACGTAGCTAGTTATGGTGTAACTAGTGCAGCTAGCCTGGTGGTGACGTAGATAGTTATGGTGTAACTAGTGTAGCTAGCCTGGTGGTTACATAGCTAGTTATGTTGTAACTAGTGTAGTTAGCCTGCTGGTTACGTAGCTAGTTATGTTGTAACTAGTGCAGCTAGCCTGGTGGTGACGTAGCTAGTTATGTTGTAACTAGTGTCGTTAGCCTGGTGGTTACGTAGCTAGTTATGGTGTAACTAGTGTAGCTAGCCTGGTGGTGACGTAGCTAGTTATGTTGTAACTAGTGTAGCTAGCCTGGTGGTTATGTAGCTAGTTATGTTGTAACTAGTGTAGTTAGCCTGGTGGTTACATAGCTAGTTATGTTGTAACTAGTGTAGTTAGCCTGGTGGTTACATAGCTAGTTATGGTGTAACTAGTGTAGCTAGCCTGGTGGTGACGTAGCTAGTTATGTTGTAACTAGTGTAGTTAGCCTGGTGGTTATGTAGCTAGTTATGTTGTAACTAGTGTAGCTAGCCTGGTGGTTATGTAGCTAGTTATGTTGTAACTAGTGCAGCTAGCCTGGTGGTTACATAGCTAGTTATGTTGTAACTAGTGCAGCTAGCCTGGTGGTTATGTAGCTAGTTATGGTGTAACTAGTGTAGTTAGTCTGGTGGTGACGTAGCTAGTTATGTTGTAACTAGTGTAGCTAGCCTGGTGGTCCACAACCACAGGTTGTTATCTGGTAAAGGGGCAGTTACCCTTTGAGTTGGTATCAATAAATGTGTTTCCTCCAAAGAGTGCATCTGCTACTCGGTTGAATCCACTACAAATGTAATCGTGGTGGTCACCTGACTCCCTTCGGGCATCTGGCTTGCCGCAATGCGTGTGCAGCTCCATGCCTGTGCCCCAGGCACAGCTGACGGGCGCTCTTAATTGGCGCTCATGCTTATGAATGTGCACCTACCCCCCGAGGTGTCGGACTGAGCGGAATGTGTCTTTGTGCGGTGTCCGTGTGCGGCATCGCCCGGCAGCGCAACCTGACGGAGTTCACGGTGGCCGTGGACGTGCCCAACACGCTGCAGCTGTACGCCAGCCTCCTCAACGAGCGGCGGATCATCGTCACCTCCTCCAAGATCAGCACGGTAACGCGCACTGCCGCCCCGCGGCGCGCGCGACACTCGCGCGTGTCGACGGGCGCAGTCTTACCGCTGCCCTGGAGCACCTCCGATTTGCACGGTTGGCTACGTACGTTGCGAAAGGAGTTCAACATACGTACGGAGCGGAACAAGGCCCCTGCCGCAGCGGTGTAGTGGCCAGCGCTTCGGAAGCGAAGTCCAGAGGCCGCCGCTGCGACTCCATCCCACGGCGTGGCAGTTGAAACAACGGTGTCTCACGTCCTCCCCTTGCTCCCCCCGCCACCGCCTCCATTCACCCACCGCCAGGAATGGGGTTCACCCACCGCAGCAGTCGATTGGCAGGCTGTGTGTGGTGGGGTAAAGCGTGGGTACGGCCCACTCATTGATCTTCGTGCTTAGTTGGTAGTCCTCTGATTAGCACGTACAGCGCATAAGAAGTTCAACGTCTTCCGACGCTTCTGGGCAGTGCGGAAGAGTCGACCACAATACCCTCTCGGAGTTTGCCGTAGGGGAAGCCTGTTGTCCGCCAGCAGTGGCATGAGCGAGCGATGGAGGAATACGGTATGGGCTAGGCCAGGGGTCGGGAACCGAAATCACAAGAAGGGCCATTTGTTTTCGAATTTGGTTAAACAACTCAATATTTCAAGAGACGGCGATGCACTGTGTGGTGAATAGGGGAGGGTGAGGCCTCAATAAATGACGTCACGAAGCAGCAGTTTGCCGACCCCTGGGCTAAGCGTACGCTACTGGAAATGGCCTGAAACTCTGAAATAGGCCCATCGCCCGAAACGTTCGCCTGGCTTATTAGCTCGTGATTTTGTCCTCACGTTAATGACGACGGTGTCATCGTTGCCTGTGGCTCGTGCCTGTGCGCCACTGCTCACGTAGGGGGATGTTTACGTTAACGCTGCTTCGCGAAAAAGCTGAACATTCTAGATGTAATGTTTTCGTGACTGCAAGGATCCAGACTTTTTGGTTTTTTTGGTAAAGTCACGTGGGTGAAAATTGTAATAAATAAATTTAAATTAAAACAAGTAAATTAAATCACGACGTTTCTCCAGCCCCCATCCGTCCCTGCACACCACAACCCCCCCCCCCCCCCCCCCCCTGAACTCCTGCAGCCACAACTCTACAAAACCCCAACCCCCCCAACCCCCCCCCCATTCCCCCCCTCCTGTACCTATATAAAGCCACAACAGCAGATCATTTTTTTCACCTGATGACGGACGCTTGTGTTGCGACCGAAACGTCGTGATTTTATTTAGTTGTTTTCATTTTAATTTATTTTATTACATTTTTACCAACATGACTTTACCGGAAAAAAAGAAAGGTGTACATATGAAGTATATGATTCGAAACCTCCCGGGCAAGTCCACAGCATGGCCACACAGCACATTGCTCTGTAATTAGGGCTCGTGTGCCAAGCCGTACTCTTGTTGATACTTTTGGCATTTATATTATTTTGTAGTTGCGGTGTGGCACGGTGATGAGACCTTATGTGGGTGAAACGCATTCCTGTTGCTCAAACTCTATTGTAATGCCCATTGCACCTGCGTTTCTGTTTCCCTTGCTCCAAAGAATGATGAGCACATTGTCACAAAGCTGCGTGGTAATCCGCGACAAAATGTTGAGATGTGATATTGCTCGGCTGGTCCATTAAAGTTGATCACCAACGCTCTCAGGAGTTGGGCCGCTAGGGAGTCTAACGGCGACCTGGGTTCCTGGCCACGGCCGACATCAGTGGCAAAATACCTGAAGCCGTTCTGGGCCTCCTGTAGGTCGGCCCGGCCTGGTGCACCGTTTCAGCATCAGGATTGTGGAGACGGACCCGGTGAAGGCCACCACCAACGCCTCGTGGGCCGTGCCCGCCTTGATCGGATTCTCACCACCCCCCCACCCCCTGCCCCCCTTCCCTTTCCTGCCCTTACCCTCCTCTAAAATTGCCACGTATCTGCACCATGGCAGCAGATGCGGATGCCTGACGCACAAATGTAAACTTTAAAACTCTCCAGTAGTGCGCGACTGTGGTCATCCAGATCAGACCGTGCGACTTGTATAACGACGCAATTCCCCGATGCACAAATACGAAGGAGACATCGCAGCGATGATGCACTCCGCTGCTCCTGACGCCGTTGTCTGCTGGCTTGACCACCACCTGAACGTGACATTGTAGTTGTTGCCCTGCATCTAATATCGGTAGCCATACGGCAAGAAGCGACAACGTTCCTCAACGTTACCCACCATGTGAGTAGGGAGCCATTGAGCTCAATCTGCCTTTCCCTCCGCCGACCTCGCGGGCACCCGGCCTTGGGCTTGTCGTCCGCGGAATCACTGTACCTCCTATCCCCGATCGCTCGTGCTTCATATAAGCTCACCAACAGCACTTGCCTCAACAGTTTGTGTAGGCTACACGGGGGTGGGGTGGACCTTTGTGTGTCTGTGTGCGAGGCGTGCAGCTGTCGTCATGCGTCCACGCGCTGGCGTTGCTGCTCTACCCCATGAGCTGGCAGCACGTGTACATCCCCCTACTGCCTCCACACCTGCTCGAGTACTGCAGGCAAGCACCGCCGCCACCGTCACCACCACCGTCACCCCCCGCCCGATGTTCGTAGCTGCTATCCTTTGCCGCAGGAGGCCAAAAACCACGGCGCTGTCACCGCCGTGCGGTGGCGACGTGGCGAGCCGAGCGACGGGCAAGGGCGACGGAGCCGTCGGAAAGTTACAACTTGAGCCATGGGGGGCAGCCTCTCATGTCAAACATCTATTGAGTGTCGCTCCACATGACCCTTGGCGAAAGCGCGCCTCAACTTTGGCGAAAGCTTCGTCGCTGGAGCGTCAATGGGGAATGAACTACGGAAAATATGGCACGGGCTGGATGAAGGAGGCTACAATGAAGGACTCTGAATAAATATGGGCTCAACAAAGTCGCACGGGTTCACTCAACAATCACAGATGTCCATTGGAGGGTTACACCTGGCATACTGCAGAATGTGCGAACCTAGGGCAGCTGTTAAATGCCGATTGTATGTACGTTGAACTTCTTTCGCACCGTACGTAGCCAACCGTGCTGATTGGTGGTGCGTGCGGGGAAGGACAACAAAACTAAACACAAAAATCCGTTCTAAAGAGATGAGCTTTCAATCCACTCGATTTGAAAGTGCATAGCTTCAGTTTCTTCTTGAAATGGCAGTGGGTTGAGTGGCGCTCACGTGCAGGGGGGGGGCTGGGTGTGCTTGCGTCCCAGCGCCGTGCTCCTGGTCACGCCCCGGCTCAGGTTCGAGCCTCTCCGTTGCCATCAAAGACGCATTGGTGGCTCGGCTCAGGCTGAGCTCAGAGGCAAGGCCGAGTCGTGGCTAGGAGCGTGTGTCATGTCGCCTCCAGAGTGGGCGAGTCACGCGGAGCGTTGTTGTCGTTTCTCTGTGTGCAGTGCTCCGATGCCATTTCTCATCGGAGTCCATTCCTCGCTCATGGACGTATGTATACTTTGCATCAACGTCTACCCACGGTCTGTGTGTGTGTCAGTCAGTTGTGGGGAGCGGTGGTGTAGCGGTTAGCGCGCTGCGCGATTCCCGTTCACGGCCAATACCAGTGACGATTATCTGAACCGGTTCTGGGCATCCCCTAGGTCGACTCAGCCTTAAATTTGTACCTAGTACGGTGTGTAAACATCGCCACTGGGGAGACAAAGGCGGTCGGGCGTGGTGCTGGCCACCCACCACCTCGTGTACCGTTGCAGCCTTCATAGGTGCTCGCTAACAGCACTTGCCCTTACAGTCTGATAAGGCTATATGGGGGATCTTTGCCTTTTGTCAGTCAGTCAACCCATGGCACCTGAGTCTGTCCCGTACCGACCTGCCAGCGGGCGTTCAACACTTCACCTGGCCTTAAAGTGCGCCTAGCCTGGCACAAGCGCCGTGGTGATGTCATCGCCACTTGGTGGCGAATGGCGGTTGTTGTGTTTGTGGATGTGGGGAGTAGTAGTTAGCACACTGCTGCGTACCCAGTGACCCACGTTCGATTTACGCTCGCAGCCAACATTAGTGATGAATATCTCAACCGGATTTGGACCTCCCCTAGGTCGACTCGGCCTTAAATGTGTACCTGGTGTGGTGTGTAAACATCAGCACTCGGCAGACAAAGTTCACCGGGTGTCGTACTGCCCATACCACCCCTTCGTGTCTCGTGCCGGTCTTCATAGGTGCTCGCTAACAGCAGTTGCCCCAAACAGTCTGTGAAAGCTATACGGGGGTGGGGGGTCTTTGTTTGTGTACGGCGCGCTTGTATTCCCCTGTGCAATAGCTAAACCTTCATAGAAAGAAGGATTTCTTATTCAATGTGTGCTCCTTGGGCACGTGAAGTATTCATACTTTTTGGTTTTTCGGTAAAGTCACGTAGGTAAAAAATGATAAAATAAAATAAATAAAAATGAAAACAACTAAAAAATGTTTTCTTTTATTTTATAATTTTTTACCTACGTGACTTTACTGAAAAAACCAAAAAGTATGGATCCTTGCAGTCACGAAAACTTCAAATCTAGAACAGGAAGTATTATTTTCAATATCGATTTGTGATCGTGTGTACAAGCATTCGCTTAACCAGGCTGCTTGTTGAGCGATTAGCACTTTCGATTTGCACGGTTGGCTACGTACGGTGCGAAAGAAGTTGAACGCGCATGCATGCAATGGAGCAACGGTCGGCGATGCCACCGATCTCACGCCGCACTCGAGGCTGTTTGAGAACGAAAGCGCCTCTCTCGTCCAGCAGAGCTTTATTTACAACTTACTGTGGCTTTTAATCGGAGGTAACGAACGACACCGAGCTTGACTTATATTGCACACGCGGCACACAGCTGATCGCGCTAGAAGCACGGCGATAAACAACCGCTAATGCTCCCCGCGGTGGCAGCGGGAAACAGACGGGGCGAGGAGGTGTAGAAGGAAAGTGAAACTCTGCACCCAGGATTGCTTGTGCTGGAAGTGTCGGCAACAGACGCAGGTGCGCTGCGATTTGGCTGTCCCCAATTCGTCACCTCACTGCGCCATGAACCCGGTGACCCGTGTTTGAGTCACGCTTCAAGCCAATATCAGTGGAGAATATCTGAACTAGTCCTGGGCCTCCTCTAGGTCGACTCAGCCTGAAAGTAGTACCCAGTGCGGTGTGTAATATCAGCACTGGGGAGACAAAGGCAGAAGGGCATGTTGCGAGCCAAACCACCCCCACGTGCGCAGTGCAAGCCTTCATCGGTGCCCGCTAACAACGGTTAACCCAACATTCTGAAGAGAACCACGCGTGCTGAAAGGGTGTGAGGGGGGGGATCTTTGTCCTTATCTCTATGTTGTCTTTGTTGCGCGTGGATGTTGCGTAGCGTGTGCGGACGATGCCGCTGGACGATGCCATCGTGTTCACCATCGACACGAACACCATCGAGACGCCGCTCAATGACTTGCAGGGCCTGCCCAGCGACGTGGTGGGTCCAACACGCACGCACCACGCACGCACCACGCACGCACCACGCGCGCACCACGCGCGCACCACGCGCGCACCACGCGCGCACCACGCGCGCACCACGCGCGCACCACGCGCGCACCACGCGCGCACCACGCGCGCACCACGCGCGCACCACGCGCGCACCACGCGCGCACCACGCGCGCACCACGCGCGCACCACGCGCGCACCACGCGCGCACCACGCGCGCACCACGCGCGCACCACGCGCGGCACCACGCACGCACGCACCACGCACGCACCACGCACGCACCACGCACACACGCTCGCACAGTCACCAATAGCTAAGTAAGTCGAGTTGATCGACCGTGTCCAGTTAGCAGAGACTTATACGTAGGTAATGCATGACGTGGGTTCATAAGCTCATCAATGATGTATGTATGCGCGTCTTTCGCACCGTACGTAGCCAACCATGCTAATCATAGGTGCAGGGGAAGGACAACAAACTAAACACAAAAAGCACTTTTAAAGAAATTAGTTTTCAACCTAGATGATTTAAAAGTGCATAGCTCCAGTGGCTTCCTAACATCGGAAGGGAGAGCATTCCAGACGGCCGCTCTTACTCCTTCAAACGAGTGAGGTCCCTCGCCAATCAAACGTGCACAATGCTACGGAGCCACTGACGGATGTGCTCGTCATACTTTATCAATCATCTTGTCCAGTATGGAGCTGCTCATTCAGCGGTCAATGAAATGCAAGATTATTGAGGTGGGCGTTTCACTACTCCAACCCCTCCTTAACCACCCCCAACTGTCCTCCTTACTGTCACCATAACTACAGCAACACTTTGAATAATCCCACTCTTTATTTTAACCACAGTCCTCTAATATACAGTTGTATAACTATTGTAAAGTGCCTTCGACTAAGGCGCTATATAAATCTATATAAGACAAGATGAGATTTGCATGTCCCATGGTGTGGAGCGCACTTTGTCAACTTAGGTTCCTTTTCACTATTTAAGTCCTATTTAAAAACCGTTTAGTTTATGGCGGCCTTTAACCGAGTTGACCTTGGTTTTGGTATGCTGTACGTCTTTTTGTTTTTGCTGTTGCCTTGTACAGCGTTGTGAGATGCAGTTTTGCATATAGATGGCGCTATAAAAATGTATTATTCTAATCATACATACGCTCTGGAATCGGAGGAAGACGGCTTCCTAAAACAAACGTGTCTGGTCTTAGAGAGATACGCACTCAGGCGCCGAATTATCTGAACGTGCTTTGCAACGTTTACGATGTCCTTCCCTCCCCCCCCTCGTACCTCTGATTAGCACGGTTGGCTGCTGCGTATAGTTGCGAAAGAAGTTCAACATACATAAAACTAAAAAATTAAATTATTTTCATCTTACCCACTGAGCTATGAAGTTTTTTTCAGATGTGACCTGGCTATCACAAATGAGAGCTCAACCAAAGTGGCTTATCATGTGGACATTTATCGCAGCCAAATACTCTAAACGCGTGTTGTTGATTCTAAATGTGGAGGGAAAAACCATAAGAATCCACGCAACCACTGGGAGCGAGACACCGCAAACTCCAAACATGTAGGCGTCAGGGTCGGGATCGAACCCTACGACATCTCGCCAACCGTGGCACCTTATACACACAGCAGCACGGCTCAGCTTATGCAGTGGAAAAACAGCACGGTTCCCTCCAAAGCTGCGCCGAGCCGGCTCCGCACGGCCCCGGTGCGGCTCGGCTTATGCAGTGGAAAAACAGCATTTGGTGTTTGTCTCCGCTCGTGTGCGGATGCAGGTGGCGGCGCTGCGCTCCCGCTTGAAGCGCCCGGCGAGCGTGGGAGACGGCGTGGCGCGCGCCTTCCTCAAGTCGCAGGCGGCGCTGTACGGGAGCTACCGCGAGGCGCTCCGCTTCCAGCCCGTGCGTGCGCCACGTCTTCACGTGTCTCTGCGTGTATCCGGGTCTCCGCATCTCCGAGTGTCCCTGCGTGTCCCTGCGTGTCTCCGCGTGTCTCTGCGTGTCTCCGCTTGTCGGCCTGAAAATAGTTAAATTTCGATTTAAAGCTTTCGTGACTGCAGGGATTCATCTTCTTGGTTCTTTCGGTAAAGTCACGTAGAAGGGAAATAATAAAATAATAAAAATAAAACATGATCAAATAATTCTCACGACGTTTCGGCCATAACGCAAGCAGCCGTCCTCAGGTGAAGAACACGTCTGTCGGAAAGACAGCGTCTGAACACACGCACACACATGCAGATCTTCAACAGGTGACCCACACACACATCCAGACGCTGTCTTCCCGACAGACCTGTTCTTCACCTGAGGACGGCTGCTTGCGTTGTGGCCGAAACGTCGTGAGAATTATTTTATTATGTTTTATTTTTATTATTTTATTATTTCCCTTCTACGTGACTTTACTGAAAATAGTTGTTCGCAAAATGGCCCTTGACGCAACGGTCCGTGAAGAGTCTACACGGGAACCTTTGCCTTTGTTGTGTCCACCTGCAGGGGGAGCCGATCACCTTCAGCGAGGACGCGTTCGTGTGCCACCGCTCGGCGAGCATGCGGACGTTCCTCACCAACGCCACGCAAATGCAGATCTTCAAACAGGTGACCCACACGCACACACACACGCACACACACGACACGCACACACATACACATCTTAAAACAGGTGACCCACACACACACACTCGATACGCACACACATACAGATCTTCAAACAGGTGACCCACACACACACACGACACACACTCGACATGCACACACATGCAGATCTTCAAACAGGTGACGCGCGCACACACACACGACACGCACACGACACGCACACGACACGCACACACATACAGATCTTCAAACAGGTGACCCACACACACGACACACACACACGACATGCACACACATACAGATCTTCAAACAGGTGACCCACACACACACACTCGATACGCACACACATGCAGATCTTCAAACAGGTGATCCACACACACACCCGATACGCACACGACACACACTCACATGCAGATCTTCAAACAGGTGACCCACACACACACTCGACACGCACACACATGCAGATCTTCAAACAGGTGAAGCACACTCCCTGTTTCTTGGTAATTCCCTGCCCCGAGTGGAGTACTGTCGTCCCCTTATGGTGACTGGAGCTAGAACCAGTCCACCGGAAATTCGAGGATTCCACGGAGGTCCAGGCGGTATCGGTCGATCTCCTGACAGTCGCTCCTCTGCAGTGAGCGGTTGAAACATTACACCGGGCCAACCTCAGTGGGTTTTCTTTTAATGCTGTTTCTGGCTCCTCCAAATGGGGTTTGGCCAGGAGGCGTCAGAGCACCCTGTACCCCCAGGGCCTCCGGCACAAACTTCGTTTGCTGCTTTCTCCGTGGTTATTTCATAATGTAGTTGAAGTGGAGTGTGACCACACACTAAAACGACAACGATCCTCGTAGAGCCATAACAGACAGGTGGGGCAAGTGCTGTTAGCGAACCTATGAAGGCCGAACGGTACAAGAAGGGATGGGTGGCCAGCACCACGCCCGGCCGCCTTTGTCTCCCCAGTGGCGATGTCTACACACTGCACCAGGTACTCGTTTGAAGCGGATTCGACCTAGGGGAGGCCCAGGACCGGTTCAGATAAAAGTCACTGGTGTCGACCGTGAGCGGGAATCGAAACCAGGTCGCCGGGTTCATAGCGCAGTGCGCTTGCCACTGCATTTCCTACGTGAGTTGAACTTCGTAACCAACCGTGCTAATCGGAAGTGCTTACTACTCTGCCACACACACGAATACAAGCATGAGTACAAATATCTTCATGAAATAACGCAGCAATATACATTCATGCACATACACACACAGATACATGAACTAGCCTACAGACACATACACAGAGACATACACGCACTTTCTTTTTAACACTCAGCACCAATTACATCATGACATTCAAACAGGTGATGCACGCGCGCAACACACAATGTGCTTGTTGTGTGTGCGGCGGGCTATGTTGCAGTGTGATGCTGTGTAAGCCTGTGTGTGATGCCGTGCGACGCTGTGCGGTGAGCGCAGTTCATAGAGGAGCGTCTGGAGCGGTTGAATGCGGGCTCGGGGTTTAACGACGTGTTTGAGGAGGAGATCAACCGCAGTGAGACCGAAGGAGGTCAGGAACTCGCACGCACCCACAACAACCACAACCGCCGTTCACCACATACACAAAGTCACTTGGGTCGCGTGCACACGTTCCTGCGCACGTGCGTGCGTGTACACGCGATGTCACACGTGTGTTCTGTTTTACAGGAGCAACGAAGTCCTACAATCAGTGGCTCACAACGGTGAAGGTGAGCGCTTTGTTTCATCTCACTAGAACATTCATGCTGAGTGCATCGTGGCTGCCAGCGGTCGTGTGGGACTGACGCGTGATTATCGATTGGATTAACGATTAAAGAGAGGCCGTTCCTCACTGCTGCCTGTGAATTGTAAACATCCTTGTCCTCTCGTGTTGTATGGGCATCTCAGGCAGTTTATCATCAGCGATACCGTGGTGGCTAGGAGATGTTAACTACCTCGCTGGGTATGCAGGAGGTTGTGGGTTTGATCCCAACCCTTGATGCCTGCTGCTGTATATTTGGAGTTTGCGTGTCTCTCTCTCTCCGTGGTCGTGTGGATTTTTCTCCGGGTCCTCCGGTTTTTCCCTCCACATTTAGAAACGACGTAACGTCCAGTGGTGTACGTGCAGTCTCTCCTATCTCGTTCGTTATAGTTTCTTTTTTTACATTGTTACACGGATGATCCCTTTTAGCCTATCGCCCGACTATTTTACGTAGGAATATCCGTGGTGTGTGGGCGCTGGGGTGGCGAGATGTTAACTACCTCGCCTGGTATGCAGGAGGTCGTGACGCCTGCTGTATATTTGGAATCTGTGTCTCTCGCCCTGTGGTCGCGTGGATATCTATCCGGGTCCTCTCGTTTTTCCCTCCACATTTAGAATCGACATCACGCGTTTTAGAGTTTTGGTTGCTATAAATGTCCACTTGGTTGCGGTAGGGGCCGTCCATAAATTACGTCATGCACCTGGGGGGGGGGGGGGGGGTCAGACATATGTGACAATGTGTCACGAGGGGGGGGGGGGTTCGAGAAATGTGACGTCACATGAAAATGCGCAACTTTAAGTAAATATAGACAACACGTTCTACTTATTTAAATAGACTTTTAATAAATGTTTTCTCCTACAACATCAGAGTGCAGCGCCACATGAAATACGCACTACAATGACAATAGTTTAAAGCGATTTGAAGCAGGTTTTATTGTTGGGGGGGGGGGGGGGCAGAGCTTTGTGACGTCATATTTGAGGGGGGGTCTGACTTTTAGTGATGCCGTGAGACGACGGGGGGGGGGGGGGGGGTCAAAAATCGCATGATGTCAATTATGGACGGCCCCTAAGGAAAAAAAAATGTTGAAACGTTTTGGGCAATAGTCCTTAATCATAGCACACGTGAATTTAGAGGCCAGAAAAAGAGTGGACACTAAGAGTTTGAGACTAGCACTTTGCACCATAGTGGCCTGATAAGAATAACATTTTAAATCTGTGCTGGATTTGAGGTATAGCAAATGGTATGCGGTCAATTAAAAGTGTTATAACCCAAACCCAGAATGAAACTGTGCTTTTAACCATGGGCCCTGCTAAGAATTACTTTAATCAAAAATGGTTTTGATGTTTTTTTCTTAGCGTATTTCGGCGAATGATTAAGCACGGCAGCAAGGGGTCCTTACGCAATGAGGGTATTTTTCCACTGACTTTGCCGTGCAGATCGAGAACTAAACAGCGAAACGCTGGCCTCACAAGACGTCTCAATCTGGCTCGGGGCCAAGCAGGGCCAGGGGTGGGGTTAATGACGAATGCATTGCACGTGATGTGCGGATGAGTGGTGAACTTCTTTCGCAACGTTCGTAGCCAACCTGTGCTAATCGGAGGTGCACTGAGTGACTGATTTGGGACTGATGTCAGTCGGTGCATCACCGACTGACAACACGGCATCACCGTGTCACCTACACGCACCTCAACTCGCCTGTTCTGGGCGACGTGGGCGGCACGGCTCTGGTTCTCCTGAGCCGTGCTGGGCTGGATCGGCATGGCCCCGGCACGGCTCGGTTGTGCAGTGGAAAAGAGGCCTTGGTGCCGGTGAAGTGGCAGACGTTGGGCTGGGTTCCTCATATCGACGTGCGTCTGAGCTCTTTTGCTCTCGGCCTTTGTACGAATTATTCTTCATGTTGCTTTCTTTTACTTTCACCTCGATTTTACTTTAGACGCTTGGGTGCCTTGCTTCACATCGCACTTTACTGGGGAGCTCTTTGTATGATGACGTTTCCTCAGCAGAAAGAGTGCAACATGTTTAAACAGTCAACCCAACTTTGTGTCATCGGAGGGGAGATTTTTACCTTTTGTGCCGCACCCCGATAGACGACGCTCAAGTGCGGCGCTTAAATTGCTAAACGGGAGCCTGTTCAATAACGGAATAGTTTCCCAGACAGTTCGGCGATGATTGTTGAGATTTTTCGAGTTTCAAACAATGTTGTTTCAATTGTGAATTATTTGTTGATGAAAAGAAGAACAGGCTTCACCCTTTCTGGCAATACAACAAAGGGGTGTTACGATATTCAAACACCCAATAGACACCTAATGCAAGGCATCAAGTCTGCATTAAACACGCATGTTTGTGGTCAAACATGCTCTCGTAAATATATGTATTGTCTTTGAAATTGATTGGTCTACACCAGAGACAGTCTGGATTTGAAGCTTTCGTGACTGCACAAATCCATACTCTTTGGTTCTTTCGGTGAAGTCACGTGGGTAGAAATAAAATAAATCACGACGTTTAGGGCGCAACACAAGTGCCCGTGATCTGATGAAAGATCTAAAGAGTATAGAGGCAGCCTTCTGTTGTATGGCCTTATCCCACCAGTGTTAGGCCAGAGAACAGATAAGGCGAACAACAAAGAGGCGGTGCAAATTTCACTGCATTAGTAGCTCGGCTTTAGCAGTTATATCTACGGCACCATTTTTTCCCGGTACCAAAATGTTGAAGAAAAAACTAATAGGCTTTTACCCTCTTCGGAGATAACACACGTGTGTTAAGATGTTCAAACACCAAGTAAGATCACCTACTTGTAAGGCATCAAGTCTGCATTAACGACACGTGCTTGTGGTAAAAACACGCTAGCAAACGTGCTTTGAGGACGTGTGCATTGGTCTAAGATTGGCGAGACAAGGCAGACATGGGCCTGGGTGAGCAGCGGTGGTGCCGTGCCCGCTTGCCCAATCGCGGCCCAGCCGTGCCTGGCTCGCAAACTCGACGCACGAGTAAACGATCACGTGTCTGCCCCGTGCCCCAATTGTCTGCTGCAGAAAGGAGGCGGGGCCATCTTCCAGACGGTGAAGTCCAAGGCCAATCCCGCCGTGAAGTCTGTGTACAAGTTTGTGAGCGGACGCACTCAGACGCAATGCAGACGCACGCAGACAACTATTCGCGAGCACCCCCCCCCCCCGTCTCCGCTTACCCCGTACATCGTAGCCGCTGCTGATTTCCTGCGAGGACTCGGCAAGCGCACGGCCTGCCTCTGTGTACGTTCGATAGGCCTTGACTCTGTTAAAGATTTCACGGGGCGGGGGAGGATCGTTGCCGACGCGTGTGTACGCGCGCGTGCGTTGATGTGCGCGCGCGTGCGTTGATGTGCGCGTGCGTTGATGTGCGCGTGCGTGAGCAGGCGAGGGAGCAAGCGAAACTCGCGAAAGACCAGGCACGCATGGGCATCCAGGAGGTGAAGAGCCGCCTCAAGCAGAAGGTGCGACCCTGACACGCACAACAACTACACACGCACAACTACACACGCACAACAACTACACACGCACAACAACTACACACGCACAACTACACACGCACAACTACACACGCACAACAACTACACACGCACAACTACACATGCACAACTACACATGCACAACAACTACACACGCACAACTACACACGCACAACTACACACGCACAACAACTACAACGCACAACAACTACACACGCACAACTACACACGCACAACAACTACACACGCACAACTACACACGCACAACAAGAATTACACACGCACCGCTACACACGCACAACTATACACGCACAACGACAACTACATGCACACAACAGCAACAACTACTCACAGACAACAACACCTAGACAACCACATGCAGCGACACCGCTGGCCTGAAGGCCCATCCGCTACCACGGCGCCCCCCCCCCCCCCCCGCACTCCCCCTGGTTGGTCGTTCACCCTGCTGCCTCTGCGGGGTGGGGGGCCCGCAGGAGGGATCCTCCGTGGACGACTTCTCCCCGCAAGAAAGCCCCACGACGTTCAGCCGCCTGGGAGAGCCGTGGGCCTCGCCGGACCACGACCCCTCGCCCACCGGGGCCGCCGCCGCCGCCGCCGCCGGGGCGGCCCCGCTGGGCTCCAACGGGGACGTCGCTGACTGGAAGCGCACGTCGCTGCCCAGCCCGGACATGTACGCACGCCCGCACCTCGCAAGTCCCGCGCAGGGCGTCCGCGACTCCGTGTGCCGCGCGCCGCGACGGTTCTCCCCGAGCTCGGGTGGCGCCGGGGGGGGGGGGTGGGCGGTGGGGGGGGGGGGAAGAAGCCGCGCAAACGAGAGGCAGGAAGGGGGGCGGCCGTGAAGCGGCGCTGCCAAACGATGGAGCCCCAAGCTCTCTGCCGTCCTATGTCGGCATGGGGGATCCCGTTGACGAGCGATTGTTAATTGTTAGGAGGAAACGGAGCGCCCGGGGGCAAAAACGCTCCGCGTACAGATGGAGACGAGTCCACTTGCTGTACTGCCGCAGTGGGTTGCACCGCAGAGCCCGCTTGCTGCCCGCCCTGCGTCCACCTCACAGCCTATGGCACCTATAATGCATAGCGGTTGGCAGCCACCACCGAGGAAAGTCCAGGCTCGTCTTCTGCTTGGCTTTCAAAAAAATCCGACAAGGCCACGGAGGGGGCGATGTGATGTCCGTCGTCTATTTTGCGACGACTTTCCGAAGTGGAGCACCGCTCGTCGTGTTGGATTGATCTCGGCAGCAGCAGCTGCGTGTGGCCCCGTGGCGGCGGCTGTGGTGAACCGTGACCACCTGGGCCCCGCTCGCCAGGGATGTCGGCGCGTCCACTGCGTTTGAAGCGCCGTCCTGAAAAGCAAACCGGTCGGCACGTGCTGCTAAATAACACAGCGGTGTTGTTAAAGCTGGCATGCGTCGAATTAAACGGCGGTGTGATTGCAAGGGGCAACTTGCCTAATGTTGTGGGGTTTTTTTTACCGGGGCTCGTTTCTGGAACTCATTACTTGTCTTTACGTAACGCGTGCATCCCCAACGCTTCCGTATTCGTAATGAAGAATATGGCACGTGAGTGAGCGCTTTTACTGTTGTGAGTCAGGTGTGTTCAGGTTGAAGGTTATAAATATCGCTTCCGCCACATTCAAATCTGTCGCTATCCTTCCTCTGTCCTGATGTCCTAAAAAAAAACTGGAATCCCTTCGCTCAGCACTCGCGCAAATGTAAACGCACGCATTTCCCAACGCCGCCTCTTAAATGTTCCGGTCCTTCTGGGCCCTTTTTCTGCTTCCTATCGTCTGGCTCCTCCCCCCCTTTCTCTCTCTCTCTCTCCCGTCCTTCCTGCTTTGTATTTCTAGCCCTTATTTTCTGGAGGATTCCGGCTCTGACCCCGAGGATTCCGCTCCTGGTTTTCCGGACACTCGGCTACTGGGCTGTCACCTCCGCTGGTGTGTCTGCATGTACGTGACGCGCGCGTGCGCGGGGAGAGAGGGAGTGATCGAGAGAGAGACAGCGTGTCGTGTGTAGGGGCACGATTGACGCAACACAGAAAACATGTGGGCGGTAGTGAAGCATGTGGGCAGGTCGTGAAGAGCCGCCACCGTGGGGGGATATTATCTCCCTCGCTGCTATGGAGGAGGTTGTGGGTTTGATCCCAACCCTGACACCTGCATATTTCGACTTTGCACGTTCTCCCCGTGGTCGTGTGGATTTTTCTCTGGGCCCTCTGAGATTTCCCCTCCAGATTTAGAAACGTGTGTTTTGAGTATTTGGCTGCGATACATTTCCACACGATGATGAGCCACTTCATTGGTGCGATCGTTTGTGGCCAGGTCGCTTCTGATCAAGAGCTCCATGTGGGCCTTACCTGGTAAGAGAAAAATGCGTTTGTTTTTTTACAGAATCGAGAGGAGGGTAGAAGAAAGGCCCTTTGTGAATTGTTGTGGGCCGTGTTCATCCATCGCTCGGTTTTAGCGCCGGAGCAAACCCAGGAGACGGCAACACGGACCAAACCGTGACGTCTCTTCACCACCCTCTTAACCACCACTGGGTGGCACACATGCCCTGCTGATACCATCCAGCTGTTTGCATTCCGATTTAACATTAGTGACCGGACCAAGACCTGCAAGCCCAGTTTAATAACAACTTGGGCTATGTCGGTCAGCGTGTAGGTCTCTGTAAGGGTGTGGCTCTCGGTGTAAGTCTGTGGGCCGATGCAAGTCGTCGGTGGCTCGACTCGTAACCCCGCATTGCGCGCGAACGGCTGGAGATGTCGGCGGTTCTGAGAAACTCGCCGGGCTTGGAAATTCCACGTTGGCACAGCGGTAGGCGGTACGGTCGTGCTAGAGAGCCACGGTGGCTAGGAGATGTTAACTGCCTCGCCTTGTATACAGGAGGTCGTGGTTCGATCCCAACCCTGACGCCTGCTGCTGTATATTTGGGGTTTGCAACATCTCTCTCCCCGTGGTCGTGTGGATTTTCTCCGGCCCCTCCGGATTTTACCTCCACTTTGAGAGTATTTGGATGCTATAAAGTTCCACATGATGAAGCACTTCGATGAGCTTTCATTTGCGGCCAATGCGCATCTGAAAAAGAGCTTAATTGCTTAGTGGGCCTTACCTGGTAATATACAAGTTTAGTGAGCTAGAGGCCAACGACCTATACCCACAAAGGTACTCATTTTATTGGCCACCAAGGAATTGTGGGTTGAGTGGACTTGAACTCGCGAGCTTTCTGATTGCGAGTGAAGCTCCCTGTCACTCTTGTTGCCTCGCTGGATGTTCGGAATGTGTTGGGCAAAGTTGCGTTTGTGTTTTTGGGTTGCTCCTCTCAGCCAGGGCTGGGTGAATCTTTTCCCTGGCTGAGAGCCCGAATGGCATTTTCAAATACATTGCTCCGCCAAATGCGCGTTTATATGCATGGCTCGGTGACTTCTGTGATTTGAAACGCAGTGAAACTATAAACAATTGTGAAACTAAACAATTTTTATTTTTACCAGGTAAGGCCCACTGAGCTACGTGGCTCTTTTTCAGAAGCGACCTGGCAGCCACAAATGACAGCTCAACGCAGTGGCTTATCGCGTGGAAATTTATAGCAGTAGCCAACTACTCTGAAAGTGGAGGGAAAAAGCAGAGGGCCTGGAGAAAAATCCACGTGACCACGAGGAGAACTTGCAAACTCCAAATATACAGCAGCAGCAGGCATCATGGTCGGGATCGAAACCACGACCTCCTGTATACCAGGCGAGGTAGTCAACATCTCGGCACCGTGGTGCCCAGGTGGAAGATTTTCCCTTTAGTACCTGATTAGTGCTGCTGAAATGCTGCAATGGGGGATGTCTGCGGCCTGTTCCGGATTCCCATGCCGCCCGTGGACCGTGTGAAATTCGTTTTGGGGCCGTGTCTGCCACTGCTGCTGCCGCTGCTGCTGCTGCTGCCGCTGCTGCTGCCGCTGCTGCTGCCGCTACTGCTGCTGCTGCAAGCTGCGAGGGCTCAGAGCCGCTCCGTGCTGGATCTTCTCCGAGAGGCCCTCCCCGAGGGGCTAGGGCACGGCTAAGGCGCATCAGCGCGGACACTCGAGTCCACCGCAGCCAATCGGTGACTGAGTCGGCCGGCGGTGGTCTTGCCGTGTGCTCGCGTAGTCGACTCCGTGACATTGCCGTAGGAGATGGAGGCGTGGGGCGGTGTTCACCTGGGGTCATGTTCACTGTGGGCAATATTTACCTGGGGCAGTGTTCACGTGGGTTGATGTCAATGCTGTGGGGGATGTTGAGAGTGACCGTGGATTGCTGCGTGGCCGTTCCCAGGTCGCAGCCCTACCGCTCGCTGGACAATCGTCATCACAACCGTGCGGAGCGATCCGATTGGCCGGCGGAGGCCGTGCGGCATCAGCTGGCGGCGAAGTCATTGGACGACCTGCGAGGAGACCGACTCATGAGCAGGGTGACTCACGCGCACACACATACAAAGATAAAGATACCCCGTATAGCCTTTCACAGGCTGTTGGGGCAAGTGCTGTTAGCGAGTAGCACCGATGTAGGCCGAGAAGGCACACGAGGGTAAGTGGCCAGTACTACGCCCAGCCGCCTTTGTCTCTCCAATGGCAATGTTTACACACTGTATGTGGTACTCATTTGAGGCTGAGTCGACCTAAGGGCATCCCAGTACCGGTTCAGGTATTCGTCACTGGTGTCGACTGTGAGCGAGAATCAAACCCGGGTTGCCGGGTTCGTAGTGGCAGCACGCTAACCACGACGCCACCACTCCCCACACACACAACAACAGCAACTGCCATTCGCCACTAAGTGGTGGTGACGTCACCACGACGCTTGTGCCAGGCTATGTGCACGTTGAGGCCACGTGAAGTGTCAAACGCCCGCTGGCAGGAGGTCACGGGGCAGACTCAGGTGCCACGGGTCGACTGACTGAGATGACCGAGATGACTGGCTGATGCACCACCTGTGCCTCCTACTGTGCCAACTTGCTGTGCTTTAGCCACACGGTGCTCCACACGTTGTTGTGAGCGTCGCTCCTCCGCCCTCCGTTGTTGGTGGAGGGCGACTGCCTCCAACTACCCAGTAGCGTCATTCACGAGCCTGCTCCACAGAGGCCGATCTTGACACTGCTGATACCAGTCATCGGCAAGTCCACTCAGCTCCACATCCTCCTGTATCACATCACTCCATCTCTTCTCTAGCCCCCTCGATCCGGCCGATCAAAAGCTGTTTAGGCATGCGGTGACTGGGCATAAGGGCTACATGACCCAGCCAATGCAGCCTTGCCTGCCGGAGGAGCTCACCGATGGGATTTTGTCCAGATCTTCAAGGATTTGTGAGCTCCCACAATCCAGCCTGGTTACACCCAGGATGGATCGTAGGCAGGCCAGCCTAAATGTTTCTAACCGGCGAAGATGTTACATTAGGGGGGTCCATGTTTCGCAAGCATAGAGAAGGGAGGGAATGACTGTGGCCGAGAAGACCTGAAGCTTCGTGCGGAGCGACAGACCAGGTAGCTTCCACACAGCGTTACGCAACCAATGAAAAGATAATGCCGCTCGACTGATTCGGAGTGAGACCTCTGCTGATAGACTGGAGCCGGTCATAAGCACACTGCCCAGGTATGGGAAACTCTCCACTCTCTCCACAACTGCCCTATCACCAATTGGGAGTTGTGTGGGTGGATTGTCCGATGGTACAAAATGCCCAGGCAGGTGCTTAGTTTTGGTGGGGCTGATGGTAAGGCCCCACCTCTTAGTGGCAAGCTCCAGGTTCAGCAGCAGCGCCTCCAACTCCTCCTCTGAGTGAGCGGCAACTACCGGATCATTGGCATACATAACATGGTTGAGCAATAGGGAGCCATCCCTTGACCGCACCCAGGCATCGATCAGCCTCCAATTGTATCTGTACCAAATGGAAATTCTCCCGGTACAGCTATTGAAGGCTTCACGAACTACGTGGTCAAAATAGATGTTAAATAATGTGGGAGCCAGAGGACATTCCTGTCGCACCCCAAGGTGTACAGGGAAAGGCTCTGACTCCCGGCCACGTAGTTTTACCCGCGCCCGCTCACCATCATGAAGCTACTTGATGATCATGAGCAGAGCGTCAGGGACTCCGAAAGCACAAAGAACAACCGAGAGCCCAGGCCTACTGATGCTGTCATAGGCCTTGACCAGGTCAATAAAGCAGAGATGTAGGTCTTGTTGGAATTCCCTACACCTCTGCTGTAGCAGACGGACAGAAAATATGGAATCTGTGCAGGACCGCCCTTTGTGCACCTTGAGGCCACGTGAAGTGTCAAACGCCTGCTGGCAGGAGGTCACGGGGCACACACACACTAAGATAAAAGATCACCCGTATAGCTTTAACAGACTGTAGGGGCAAGTGCTGTTAGCGAACACCTATGAAGGCCGGAACGGTACACGAGGGGGTGGGTGGAGAGCAAACACGCCCGACCACCTTTGTCTCCCTAGTGGCGATGTTTACACACCGCACCAGGTACTCATTTGAGGCTGAGTCGACACACACACACACACTTTCACACACACTTTCACACACACGTTCATGAAAGGGGTGGACGAGGGTTGCTGGTTTGGCTCGCGTCAGACCTTGACTTCAAATCACACTTCCCTGGGAATCGATCGATACTCAAGCTTCAGCCAGGTTCTCGGTTGCCGTGCGTTGAGAGGGACGGCGTGCCACACTATAGAGTGCATAATGTATACCCACAATTGGAAGGTTCTGGGTGAAAATCACGATTGGTGATTCATTAACGAGATACCGAGCTGTTGGAAGTTGGTAGTGGTTGTGTTATGGAGGGCCTGGCAGTGGTTCGGGGCTGCTAGTGCAGATCAGCACCTCTCGGTGGATTCCAGCTCCGTCAAGGACGTACGCCATGTGTGAAGTGCATGCGTGTGCGTGTGTGCGTGTGTGCGTGCGTGCGTGTCCTCAGCCGCCTGCTCCAGGCCTCTCGTTGGCCGACGTTGGCGCTTCCCTGCCGTCGCTGACTCCGCCCCTGCCCCGCTTCCCGACCAACCAGAGCGCTCCCCGGCTGCTGGCCCCACCCCCGGCCGCCCACCCCTCGAGAGCGGACGCGGGGGACTCCAACAACAACCACGGCGCCAAGCCGCGCCGGCGCGCCGAGAGGGCCGCGGCGCGTCGCCACCCCGGCGGCTTCGACGACCTCGTCAGCCTCGACGAGCCGGGAGACGGCGAAGGCGGCGGCGACGGGGGGAGCGCCGGGGGGGTCGAGGAGCCGGACCTCCTGGATCTGCTCGACCCCCTGAAGCGGCGGACGCAGCTCCCCGGCGCCACCGCCGCCACCGTCGCCGGGGAGCCGAGCGTCCGCGACCTGCTGGAGGCGTCTCCCCCCGCCCCGCGGCGCTTCCACCCCTCGCCCGCCCTGAGCCTCTTCGATGCTCCACATCCCGCGATGGTGTCGGCGAATCGCTTCGCCCCGTTCCCGCCGGCCAATCGGATCGCTTCCTTGCCAGCAAATCGGTTTGCGGTCGCGCCGCAGCAGCCGCCGCCCGCGCTGGCCAATTGCCTTCAGGCCACGCCCGTTGCGTTCGCGACGTGCGGTCCGGCTGTCCCGCCAGCCAATCGGACGTTCCCCTTCAACTATCAAGTGGCCAATCGGATGCAAGCTCCGGTGCCGCTGCCCCCGCACGCGGCCAACAGGACGCTGCCTGTGCAGCCAGCCAATCAGTTGCCTCCATTCTTAGCCAATCAGACGTCTCCGTTTAATCAAACCTTCCCACCGGCCAATCTCGTGGCAGCGGCGGCAAACCATCACGTGACCGCGCCGGCCAACCAGATGCCTGCGCGGGCGAGGAGGCCGAACCCGCCCACGTCTCTCCCGCTCCCGGATCCCGGGTCACGTGACGGCGACGTCACGCAGCGCAGGCAGCAGTGGGAAACGTTCGATTGATGATCGCGGGACGGACACGTGTCTGGAGAGAGAGAGGGGGGGTGTGGAGCGTGGGGCGCAATCGCGGCCACGATCGAACACTCGAATTATACCGCCAAGGTTCAACCGCTCGACAAGAGCGACCGAGACGCGCGATCGCAGCGGAGAACTCGCCCGCCAATGGCTCGGCGCAAACGATTGGGAAAGTGGTGGCGCTCCTCCCGGAAAGCCACTTCCCCACACCCTCCCCCCGCGGCTTCTCCCCGCTCTGCCCGGAAGAAAGTAGAAGCGTAGGCGGTGAGCGTGTTGGGGACGATGCTAGTATACGTGAGTGCCTTCCAGTGTTAATTTGTTTTGCCTGAATTATGGACTAATGCCACTGCTATTTTATTATTTTTATTATTGTACTTTTTATTTTTGGGGGGATGAACGCAAAATCCATGGCCTGAAAAGAGAAGTGGAGCTGCAAGATAGGGTCGCTGTTCAGGTGAACATCTCTTGTTATCAAGGAAGGATCACCAGATTACAAATTGATAGCTAACTCTGGTCTTTGTTGACGAGGCGTTTGCAATCGTATTGCTTGAAACAAATGGTGAATGTGACAGGTTCCTTACGAGTTCAACACCAACCGGTTGTGTGGTGGAGGATAAACCCACGACAACATTTACAATTCGAGTACTGTCACATTTCGCCGGTGATAACAACCATCCTCACCAGGCGACAGACGTAATTTTTTTTTTTTTCACGGCAAGCCTTACCAATTGGCTGTGTTGGGTGGTGGCGAGTTTAAATGACACATATTTACGCGATCTAACCCAAAAAACAATCGATTATGGATAATATCGGCCACGAAAGCCTACTACGTGTTAAATGATGATGATGATGACATTTATATTTACGCGATCTAACCACAAAAAAAAACGATTATTGATAATATCGGCCATGAAAGCCTACTATGTGTTAAATGATGATTATGATGAAGAAAGCTCACTTGCACTTCCAGAAAGCCCCCGTAGAGAAGTTCCGTGGCTTCATCACGGTTACTCGCCGCTTCCCGTGTTGGCCCATCGACCTTCCGGTCACCTCTCGTGAATTACAAGCCGGGAGGAGACGCGGCGTTTGGGGGCAACGCCGAGATGGAAATATCCCGGTTAGGCATTTCACAGGGGGACAGCTCATGAAGTACGAGCCGATTCCCCTTTGCGATTGGTTCGTTTACGCAGCTGAGAGCCCTCTCTCGAGTGACGAGGAGGTGTTGTGGGTCTGAAGGTGGACAACCGGAGGAAAGCGCTCGCTCTCCGATTAACATTAATGCACAGTGTAAACAAGTCAACAAATAAACCCAATTGCTCTCTTCGTTCTACTTCCATCTCCGTTACGTCCTGCACCACGAGACCTTTGCCAAGGACTGCCGTGGACTCACCGGACTGGAAGCCACGACGTTTAGTTTGCCCGGATGTGAGCGGAAAGCAAAGACGCCATGGTCGACGGAGCAGTGAGCGGCACCCCCATCCCTGAGCCGGTGGTGGAAATTCGCCGTTCTTGGCGAGGGAGCCAGCCAGCGCCGTTGGCCGTGTCGCTGCTTCAAGTCGGGTTTCCGAAACTGAAAATGTTTTAGTTTAGCAGGTAAGGCCCACTGAGCAATGTAGCTCTTTTGCCTGAAGCGACCTGGCCACCACAAATGATTGCTCAGCTTAGTTGGCTGATCACGCCGAAATGTGTTGCAGCCAAATACTCTAAACGCGTGGCGACGTTGATTCTACACGTGAAGGGACAAACCGGAGGACCCAGAGAAAAATCCACGTGACCACGGGGAGAGCGAGACGCACATGCAAATTACAAATATACAGCAGCACGTGTCTGGGTTGGGATCGAACACAGGACCTCCTGCACACCAGGCGAGGGAGATAACATCTCGCCACCGTGGTGCTTTTGCTTCACTGACATGTGGCGCCTCTCCGGCACAAATCTGCCACCCAAAGCGATTTATAATTTTTTTTCCCCGTTTTCAAACCGTCTCTCCAAGCGGAGTCCGAGCGGTGCGCATCCCTGCCTATCGGCCTCCCCGATTCCACATTCCCATTGCAGGGGGATTGATGTCTCCACGAAAGGATATTTGTCGACTTCCCCACAGAGGACACAGGAGTGGGTCGTCCTCGCTGCAAATCGCCCCCCCCCCCCCTCCCCGGAGAGACGAAATGCTGAGTTGACCACCCCCACCTCGCCGGGGTTCGATCATGCGATGCTTTTTGGGCGCTCGCCAGTGACCGCTGCCGCTGTACCCGCGCGGGGAGCGACGGCCCTCGTTTTGTTGTTCAGCCATTCGGCAGTGAGGCTGCTCTTACCCGTGCGGGGATGCCCTCTGCTCGCCGCCGCCACGGTGCCTCCTGCAAGCGTCGTGCCGTGCCTCCCACGTCGTGCCGTGCCTCCTGCAAGCGTCGTGCCGTGCCTCCCACGGGCTCTCTGCTCCCCAGTGGGCCGGAATGCTACGCAGAGGCCACCTTCACGAGACCCAACGTCATCCGCCGTGCTCAACCTCACGGACCCTCCCCTCTTTCTACCGGCCAAATTTTTTTATTTGTCATTCCCGCTGCTGCTTCGCGCCTGTGGCCATTAGAGAGGGGCAACTACGCGAGATCCGGTTGCGAGGGATTTCGCCGTTTTATAGCTTTGTCTGAGATTGGTTGGTCAATTGCAGATGCCATTACTCACCCACTCGCCCAACCCACTCACTCGACCACCCACGCACCCACCCGCTTTCTTACCCATTCACCCACCCACTCACCCACTCACCCGCTCACGCTCCTACTCACCCACTTGCCCACTCGCCCAACCCACTCACTCGACCACCCACGTACCCACCCGCTTTCTCACCCACTCAGCCGCTCACCCACTCAGCCGCTCACCCACTCGGCCGCTCACGCTCCCACTCACCCTCTCACGCTCCCACTCACTCACCCACCCGTTTGCTCGCTCCACTCGCCCACTCGACCACGCACTCGCCCACCCGATGAAGGCACCCATGTGACTCATTTAGCCCTGAGTCGTGAACCAACCCAGCAAGTACCTTGCTTGGGGGGTGGTTGAGGCCGAATCTTGATTCAGACTGGAGGAATCTGATGAGCTGTGAAGCTCTTTCTCACAACGCCACTGTTACGAGACCCCGGACCTTTCGATTATCATCACAAGTAATTCATTGACTTGTGTACAAGTGGTTATTACTTGCAACGAATAACAACAACAATGACGGCCCAATATCCCAAATCTGAACGTCCACGTCAACTTGAGCGTGGTGAGCACTGCGGCACCGCTCCATCGAGCGTGGAGACGCTTCCGCTCGAGAGGAGACATCGTGGCTGGCTTCCCTCTCCCAGCACCTCCCAGCCTCCTCCCAGCCTCCTCCCAGCTGCCCCTCCCCCCAGCTTTCCCCCTCGCTCCCCCCTCCAACTCCCCCCCTCCCCTCAGCTCCCTCCCCCCTGCTCCCCCTCGCTCCCACGTCTGGCTGCTGTCTGGCCGCGTCTGGCTGCTGGTGTCTCGGCGTGTGACGGGCGCAGGAGGAGGACGAGGGGTGGGGGGCACTGCCATTCCTCCTGCTGAAAGCCTCCAACTTGAGCCCCGACTCGACGCTTCGCTTGCCGTATGCAGAACCGCAACCCGGACGCCAAGCCTTGACTATAACCTCGGCTCAGCCTGTAGTGGGTATCTAAAGTCCAAACCCTAACCCGGTTCTTAAACATGCCATATATGCTTTCACCTTGATGTTAACCCTGTCATTAACCATAACACAGCCTTAACCCACTTTAGTGTCCCTAATGCTAAGACTCGTGCAAAGCTTATCCTTAACCATGATCCGGGCCTGCACCCTCATCCTACCCCGAGCTCCCCTTCGTTATAACCCCAGCGCTGTCCTTACACCTCGGCTCGTTAGCCCCTAAACCCGAGCTCTCTAAACAACAACGCACATTTGCCACCGGTGCTGCGTTAGCGAGTCACTTGACTTCTTATTCGGTGTTCCCGGCTGTGCACTTTGGGACCACCGCCGCTGGCGGCGCGCTCGTTGGCGAGTCCGGCGCGTTGCTTGTACGACGCGCGCTACACACTTTTGATCGCGTTCGCGCACCGCACGCGGCTTCCAAAGAGAGAGTTGTCGGGAGAGCGTCGGCGCTTGGGATGCTTTGTGGGGTTTTTACTGCCCTCTCCAGGGGTTTAGAACTTCTGCAGTTTGCAGTCACCTTAGCCCCGTGGTCTCTTTCTCTGTATGTATATATGTGTACACACACACATATATATGTGTACACACACACACATATATATGTGTACACACACATATATATGTGTGTACACGTATATATATGTGTGTGTAGACACACACAGACAGCTTAGCAGTGTGCGGGGAAAGCCTAATAACGCGGGCGTGTGACGGTTAAGTAACGTCACGCTTGGGCTGCGGTGGAGAAAACCGGACACGAGACGGGCAATAAATGAGACGGTGGTAACGGGACGGAGAGGATCGATGCTTGGACCGTGACCTTGACCCGGGAATATTTCGTGTTTTGTGGGGTGAAGTGAATCGTGGCAGTGACGCTGCGCGTGCTAGGCGCTGTCTGCGTGAGCTTGAGTTCAAATTCTGGCCCAGGACCCACCTCTCTCTCCCTGGCCCCCTCCGTCCAGGGTCAATACCTCAAGTGCAACTCTCAGTGTTCGTTCTCGTGGATAAATTGGCACCTTCCTCGGTCAGGTGGAATTTCCGTCGTCGACTCGGCACCACAAACTGAGGAAGGTCCCGGCCCCATGCTGCTGCTGCTGCTGCCGCTGCTGCTGCTGCCACTGCTGCTCCTGGGTTGAGTGAGAGGGGGCGCTTTGAGTAAGTTGGCGTTCAAATAATTTTTCATAAGTTCCAGCTTGCCGTCTCGCGCGCCCGATTTCATTTCTGTCCACGAACCTCCTTGCCATGGCAATGCGCTGCGGAGGCCAGCGGTGTCAGAGGCGCGGCCACCGGCTGTTTGCGATGTCGCTCGCGTGAAGTTCTTTCTGAGCAGGGTTTGAGGGGTGCCTCTCAAGAGTGCGGTCTCTGCCCAGTCTCCCCTGTGCTGCGGGAAGAAGAAGAAGACGAATCGGTCCCTCAAAGTCGGACTTCCATAATCCCTCTGCTCGGACAAGCTGCCGCCGCCGCCACCGTCACCGCCGAGCTAGTCGTGCAAATTCCACATTCCCATGGCGGGAGGCGATCTTTCCCCAGAGAAGAGGGCGCGTGTTTCCAGCTCGCGCCGTTTGCGCGCTCGTTTGACCGACGCCGTCAGGATGATGTGTTGGCGGGTGGGGAGCGAGTCGACCCCCCGACCAGGATTTGGGCCTTCCGACTGCGCGTGGCCGGGAGTCCGTTGTGTCTGATGGAGCGCCCCCCCCCCCCACTGCCTCGCGCTGCTGAGGATCGACTCCCGAGGGCTCCTCTCTCGCCCCGAGGCCCTCGGCCACAGGGCGGCGTTGCCCTTCCCGTGCTGCTGGGTGCCCCGTGGGGACGTGGGACTGCGCTGGGTTCTCGGGGCCGGTGGGGGAGTGGGGGTTGCTGCTGGCGCTTGCGTCGCCTGTGCTGCTGCTGCTGCTGCCTGTGTTATCCGAGTATCCGTACGTGCATGTGGTGTTCGCGTCTTTTCGTGGGGGCTATTCGCAGCCGGGGTCGTGTTCGTCTGACGGTGCATGTAGTCGCGTGCTGTATTTACGCGCCGGTTGAAAAAAAAGAAATCGATGAAAACCGTGATGAGTTTGTCGCTGTAACAACCGATCCGTGCGAAATATATAAAATATATATATAACATATATATAACATCGCGCCGGTCCTCCGCCCGCATTGCGGCCAACGAGGCCGAGAGCCAGTCGCGGCGGCCGGAGTCGTGACGGTGCCACCAGCCTTGGCCTTCGTGTTCGCTTTCCTTTCCCTCCCTCCTTCCTCCGCCACACAGTCGAGCCGCGCCGCGTCGCGTCGCTGGTGTCGCGCGCGACGAAACGTGTCCAGGTACACGTAGGTGACGGCGGCACTGACGCGGTGTTTGAGTTGTGTAGTAACTGACATCACATCCAAGACAAAGACCCCCCCCCCCCTCCCTCCCCGAGTCGCCTTGACAGACTGTTGGGGCAAGTGCTGTGAACATTCACACAACGCACCGCACCAGGTACTCGTGTTGAGGCTGAGTCGACATAGAGGAGGGCCAAGGACCGGTTCGGATAATCGTCACTGGTGTTGGTGGCCGTGAACTCGGGTCGCCGGGTTTGTAGCGTGACACCACCGCTCCCACGATCACATGCAGTGCCGACGTCACGTGCAATGCCTGCACAATTAGCCTTGGCCCTGGCCATGT